CAAGAAATAATTTCGTATAGATATGATCAAATATGTCACAAAGAACTGTTTTTTTCATATTACATCCTGACAGTCGAATGCGAAGTACTAGATTTGATTTTTTCAAAAATTATCCATTATAGGGGTGAAACGTCAACTCATCCCCATTAGCAAGAAATAATTTCGTATAGATATGATCAAATATGTCACAAAGAACTGTTTTTTTCATATTTCATCCTGACAGTCGAATGCGAAGTACTAGATTTGATTTTTTCAAAAATTATCCATTATAGGGGTGAAACGTCAACTCATCCCCATTAGCAAGAAATAATTTCGTATAGATATGATCAAATATGTCACAAAGAACTGTTTTTTTCATATTACATCCTGACAGTCGAATGCGAAGTACTAGATTTGATTTTTTCAAAAATTATCCATTATAGGGGTGAAACGTCAACTCATCCCCATTAGCAAGAAATAATTTCGTATAGATATGATCAAATATGTCACAAAGAACTGTTTTTTTCATATTACATCCTGACAGTCGAATGCGAAGTACTAGATTTGATTTTTTCAAAAATTATCCATTATAGGGGTGAAACGTCAACTCATCCCCATTAGCAAGAAATAATTTCGTATAGATATGATCAAATATGTCACAAAGAACTGTTTTTTTCATATTTCATCCTGACAGTCGAATGCGAAGTACTAGATTTGATTTTTTCAAAAATTATCCATTATAGGGGTGAAACGTCAACTCATCCCCATTAGCAAGAAATAATTTCGTATAGATATGATCAAATATGTCACAAAGAACTGTTTTTTTCATATTTCATCCTGACAGTCGAATGCGAAGTACTAGATTTGATTTTTTCAAAAATTATCCGTTTTAGGGGTGAAACGTCAACTCATCCCCATTAGCAAGAAATAATTTCGTATAGATATGATCAAATATGTCACAAAGAACTGTTTTTTTCATATTACATCCTGACAGTCGAATGCGAAGTACTAGATTTGATTTTTTCAAAAATTATCCGTTTTAGGGGTGAAACGTCAACTCATCCCCATTAGCAAGAAATTATTTCGTATAGATATGATCAAATATGTCACAAAGAACTGTTTTTTTCATATTTCATCCTGACAGTCGAATGCGAAGTACTAGATTTGATTTTTTCAAAAATTATCCATTATAGGGGTGAAACGTCAACTCATCCCCATTAGCAAGAAATAATTTCGTATAGATATGATCACATATGTCACAAAGAACTGTTTTTTTCATATTACATCCTGACAGTCGAATGCGAAGTACTAGATTTGATTTTTTCAAAAATTATCCATTATAGGGGTGAAACGTCAACTCATCCCCATTAGCAAGAAATAATTTCGTATAGATATGATCACATATGTCACAAAGAACTGTTTTTTTCATATTACATCCTGACAGTCGAATGCGAAGTACTAGATTTGATTTTTTCAAAAATTATCCATTATAGGGGTGAAACGTCAACTCATCCCCATTAGCAAGAAATTATTTCGTATAGATATGATCAAATATGTCACAAAGAATTGTTTTTTTCATATTTCATCCTGACAGTCGAATGCGAAGTACTAGATTTGATTTTTTCAAAAATTATCCGTTTTAGGGGTGGAACGTCAACTCATCCCCATTAGCAAGAAATTATTTCGTATAGATATGATCAAATATGTCATGAAGAATTGTTTTTTTCATATTTCATCCTGACAGTCGAATGCGAAGTACTAGATTTGATTTTTTCAAAAATTATCCGTTTTAGGGGTGAAACGTCAACTGATCCCCATTAGCAAGAAATAATTTCGTATAGATATGATCAAATATGTCACAAAGAATTGTTTTTTTCATATTTCATCCTGACAGTCGAATGCGAAGTACTAGATTTGATTTTTTCAAAAATTATCCGTTTTAGGGGTGAAACGTCAACTCATCCCCATTAGCAAGAAATTATTTCGTATAGATATGATCAAATATGTCACAAAGAACTGTTTTTTTCATATTTCATCCTGACAGTCGAATGCGAAGTACTAGATTTGATTTTTTCAAAAATTATCCATTATAGGGGTGAAACGTCAACTCATCCCCATTAGCAAGAAATAATTTCGTATAGATATGATCAAATATGTCACAAAGAATTGTTTTTTTCATATTTCATCCTGACAGTCGAATGCGAAGTACTAGATTTGATTTTTTCAAAAATTATCCGTTTTAGGGGTGAAACGTCAACTCATCCCCATTAGCAAGAAATAATTTTGTATAGATATGATCAAATATGTCACAAAGAATTGTTTTTTTCATATTTCATCCTGACAGTCGAATGCGAAGTACTAGATTTGATTTTTTCAAAAATTATCCGTTTTAGGGGTGGAACGTCAACTCATCCCCATTAGCAAGAAATTATTTCGTATAGATATGATCAAATATGTCACAAAGAATTGTTTTTTTCATATTTCATCCTGACAGTCGAATGCGAAGTACTAGATTTGATTTTTTCAAAAATTATCCGTTTTAGGGGTGAAACGTCAACTCATCCCCATTAGCAAGAAATAATTTTGTATAGATATGATCAAATATGTCACAAAGAATTGTTTTTTTCATATTTCATCCTGACAGTCGAATGCGAAGTACTAGATTTGATTTTTTCAAAAATTATCCGTTTTAGGGGTGGAACGTCAACTCATCCCCATTAGCAAGAAATAATTTTGTATAGATATGATCAAATATGTCACAAAGAATTGTTTTTTTCATATTTCATCCTGACAGTCGAATGCGAAGTACTAGATTTGATTTTTTCAAAAATTATCCGTTTTAGGGGTGGAACGTCAACTCATCCCCATTAGCAAGAAATTATTTCGTATAGATATGATCAAATATGTCATAAAGAATTGTTTTTTTCATATTTCATCCTGACAGTCGAATGCGAAGTACTAGATTTGATTTTTTCAAAAATTATCCATTATAGGGGTGAAACGTCAACTCATCCCCATTAGCAAGAAATAATTTCGTATAGATATGATCAAATATGTCACAAAGAATTGTTTTTTTCATATTTCATCCTGACAGTCGAATGCGAAGTACTAGATTTGATTTTTTCAAAAATTATCCGTTTTAGGGGTGAAACGTCAACTCATCCCCATTAGCAAGAAATTATTTCGTATAGATATGATCAAATATGTCACAAAGAACTGTTTTTTTCATATTTCATCCTGACAGTCGAATGCGAAGTACTAGATTTGATTTTTTCAAAAATTATCCATTATAGGGGTGAAACGTCAACTCATCCCCATTAGCAAGAAATTATTTCGTATAGATATGATCAAATATGTCATAAAGAATTGTTTTTTTCATATTTCATCCTGACAGTCGAATGCGAAGTACTAGATTTGATTTTTTCAAAAATTATCCATTATAGGGGTGAAACGTCAACTCATCCCCATTAGCAAGAAATAATTTCGTATAGATATGATCAAATATGTCACAAAGAATTGTTTTTTTCATATTTCATCCTGACAGTCGAATGCGAAGTACTAGATTTGATTTTTTCAAAAATTATCCGTTTTAGGGGTGAAACGTCAACTCATCCCCATTAGCAAGAAATTATTTCGTATAGATATGATCAAATATGTCACAAAGAACTGTTTTTTTCATATTTCATCCTGACAGTCGAATGCGAAGTACTAGATTTGATTTTTTCAAAAATTATCCATTATAGGGGTGAAACGTCAACTCATCCCCATTAGCAAGAAATAATTTCGTATAGATATGATCAAATATGTCACAAAGAATTGTTTTTTTCATATTTCATCCTGACAGTCGAATGCGAAGTACTAGATTTGATTTTTTCAAAAATTATCCGTTTTAGGGGTGAAACGTCAACTCATCCCCATTAGCAAGAAATTATTTCGTATAGATATGATCAAATATGTCACAAAGAACTGTTTTTTTCATATTTCATCCTGACAGTCGAATGCGAAGTACTAGATTTGATTTTTTCAAAAATTATCCATTATAGGGGTGAAACGTCAACTCATCCCCATTAGCAAGAAATAATTTTGTATAGATATGATCAAATATGTCACAAAGAACTGTTTTTTTCATATTTCATCCTGACAGTCGAATGCGAAGTACTAGATTTGATTTTTTCAAAAATTATCCATTATAGGGGTGAAACGTCAACTCATCCCCATTAGCAAGAAATAATTTCGTATAGATATGATCACATATGTCACAAAGAACTGTTTTTTTCATATTACATCCTGACAGTCGAATGCGAAGTACTAGATTTGATTTTTTCAAAAATTATCCATTATAGGGGTGAAACGTCAACTCATCCCCATTAGCAAGAAATTATTTCGTATAGATATGATCAAATATGTCACAAAGAATTGTTTTTTTCATATTTCATCCTGACAGTCGAATGCGAAGTACTAGATTTGATTTTTTCAAAAATTATCCGTTTTACGTCAACTCATCCCCATTAGCAAGAAATAATTTCGTATAGATATGATCAAATATGTCACAAAGAACTGTTTTTTTCATATTTCATCCTGACAGTCGATTGGGAAGTACAAGGTTTGATTTTTTCCAATAATTTTCAATTATCATATTCTTATTATTTGCCATTTGCTTTCAATTGTGGAAAACAATATAGATTCCAATAATATACCTATGATCACTATGCTATTATCAGCCTTTTTGTGGAAATGAGACATTTATTCAAAATTTTCAATCATCATAAAACAATTTTTATTAAAATACGTGACACTGGTCTTTGGGTAACTTCGGAAATACTAGCAGATGGAAATCCTGCTGCCAGGCAGCCAGATGTAAGTTTTATTAAATAAACGTGACGCCACTGGTCTTCGGGTAAGATCGGAAATGCTGGCAGATGGAAATCCTAGCAGCTGCCAGCTGCCAGGCAGCCAGATTCACACGGCTAACTACATGGCACAATTTATTCTTCGAAAAACAATAATTTTCTGATTTCTAGAGAGTGTCTCCTCAAAAACTTCCAAACAAAGCAACGTCCTACCTCTATGGGGCAACGAAAGAACCATGAATTTAAATCCTCTGATATTAACTAATATTCAAAGCTCCCATTACTTCAAAGGTAGGTATGTTAACATCACATCATCTTTCATGGAGTAGTGAAAGTTGTGTCATTATATTCTTTCAAATTTCAGTTAACTTGTATGAACTCAAAACTTATCATGAAGTAGTCGACGAAATATACTACAAAGTATCCCATTTAGAACCCTGGGAGAAAGGTTCTAGAAGAACTTCAGGACAAACTGGTATGTGTGGTGGAGTTAGAGGTGTTGGTGCTGGAGGAATTGTCTCCACAGCTTACTGCCTTCTCTACAAACTCTTTACCCTGAAACTCACAAGGAAGCAATTGAATGGTCTCATCACTCACTGTGATTCCCCATATATAAGGGCCTTAGGTTTTATGTATATACGTTATACTTTTCCTCCAGCCAACCTCCTGGACTGGTATGAAGATTATTTGGAGGATGAAGAGGTGCGTAAGCAAAGGTAGAGTGATGCCTCTTGATTTACTTTCCAGATTTTTTGTTGGAATACTTTGCTGGAATTGTTATTAAACTGTTGAGTGTTCCAGGAATTGGATGTTAAAGCTGGTACTGGACAAACTATGACTATGGGTTTGATGCTGAGGCAATGGTTGGTCAAGTTAGAGTGGTTTTCAACTTTGTTTCCAAGAATACCTGTGCCCATTCAACAGAAAATTCAAAAACATTTGGAGGTTAGTAAGCAAAACATTGCAGTATTGAGAAGCAAATATACTCAAAATCATCTCCACAATTTCTCTTCAAATAACATTTTTTGAGCAAAACAATGAATTATTGAAATAAAACAACATTTCCATACTATATTGGAGTATAATAGACTGAAGGAAGATAGGAAGAACAAAATCCATTATCAATGCATATTCTCTCTATATGTATAATGAAGTTCCACTTGATGCATGATTTATCACCTCATGAAATCTACAACACAAAAAATATCAAGAGTGTATTGATTTTTTGAATGTATAAATATAAAGTGTATAGACTACTGACCAGTCCACAATCTATAATTTTCCTCTAGTCTGCTGACCATTCAGTAGAATACATTCATTCTGTATAAAACCAATCTGCAGCTCAAAAAAAAAGTATAGTCTGTGGGCTGGTCAGTAGTCTATACTTTTTTTGGGATGCTGACCAGTCAGCACCCTATACTTTTTCTCTAGACTGCCGACCATTCAGTGGAATACATTCTTTCTGTATAATGACTATGATGAAATGATGTATTGCTAAGGGAATGCAGAGATTGGCTATGATATTTTGAATATCTCTAGTTATCTAGTAGGTTAAGAACCTTTTGAAACACTCAATAAATTCCTTACTGTTTTGCTATGACCCCCTCTGGAAAATATCCGTACGCCCCTGTAGTAGTGATTTCATATTTTACAAATGTACAGCAAACAAATTTTTGAGATACCAACCCAATATCCTGATTATTGCATTTACCCATTTAATGCCCACCTTGATGAAATGAGCACGCCCCTGTGTATTTATTTCGATTTTCTCTTGGGTGGTGTTCATAGAAAATTTCTAAAAATGAAATTTTTGTTCACTTTGACTCCGAAACTTAAATGGGTTTGCCCCTGACGTCATTTTGATATTCTGGAGAGAGAGAGATGGAGGAAGCGGGAGAGGATGAGAGGGAGTGATTAAGATGGGGAAAGGCAGAGGGAGAGGGGGGAGGATGGTAGAGAGAGGGGGAGAGATATATGGAAGAGAGAGAGAGAGAGATAGTAGGGAGAGAGAGGAGAGAGATGGAAGACAGAGATAGTGGGGAGAGAGACTTACACCATTTCTGTAGGCAAGAACATGTAACAATGATATTATTATTTTTACCTTGTTACATTCTCACTACTGAGATCAATTGAATTAGAAGGAGGTGAGATGGATCTGAGTTGTCGATTGAATAAAAAGAACACGTTTTCATCTGTCGGGAAGGGCAAGGGAAGAAAACATAATTAAACCAAAATGTAAAATGGCTGAGGAAATTAATGAGGAGCATAGAATTATTATTGTAGTGAGTATTCATAGGATTTATCCTGTGGACTGAAACTTCAAAGCTGAAAGCATGTCAAAATGAAAATATAACCTCACAATTTTCAGCACAGAACCATAGAATTACTAGAATTAATCCAGTCTCACCTTTTTCTCACTACAACACCATATGAATAACAAGCTCTGTTGGGGTGAGGGGAAAGAAATTGTCTCAATAAGTTCTCAAGACAACTCACATCAGACTAAGATAAATGAAAGATGTAATACAACTGAGCTATTGAGCTGCACTGATAATCTTGGTTAATCTCAGTCAAAATTGGTAAAAAGAATATTACTAAATGACAAACATTTGCATTCAGTCGGTAGATTGTAGATGGGTCGTATAGGCTGGGAGACCTCTCGATCACTGCGACCTAGAAGATCTACTGTGATTACCCCTATCTAGTTTTGGTCCTCTAACCCTAGACTTCTGATGAAGCCTACGATTTTCCTGACGGTTGAATTTTCCACTTCAGCAGGGGTGAGATAGACCTGTTCTAGGTGGTGCAGCCTTTGGCGGACTAATATTTCACATGAGCAAAGTATGTGTTCCGCGGTTTCGGTCGCATTGTTACAAAAGCGGCAAGTGTCAGTCTCCGCCAGGCCCATCTTTTTTAGGTGGTACCTCAGAGGGCCGTGTCCTGTGAGAAAGCCTGTAATAAGCTTTAGCTCTGGTTTGCTGAGGCTGAGTAGCTCTTTGGCTCGGTTCTGCGAATGGTTGATGAACCTTTTCGCTTGTCGTTGACCTGGAGTTGCTCTCCAGTAGGTGGACTTTTCATATTCTTCCCATTTCCTGAGTTCTCCCTTTAGGTGACATTTGCTTATCCCACAAAAAGGTCAGGATCAAAAAGTGCAGATGCTGCACCTTTTTCATTCAGTCGGTTTCTTCAGTTCTGTGTCAGGTTGTTGCAGCACAGAACTCATGTACTTAGTCACTGTTACATTAAATTAAACAAATCAGAATGTGTTTTCTCATTTTTACGATCTATGACCGAAAATGTCATCTACATTAAATATTGTTGCTTTCTGCAGTTAATACACAATTATACATAAAATCGAAAGATAATATTCAATTATTTTCGAAAATCGGACGAAATATGTCGATAAATATTGTCACACAACGTTCAAGCATGGTATTCTCGATTGCTTTCGACTTCAAACTCGCATGAAACAAGTTTTGTCCAATAGCATGAACTGGCAACATCGAATTAACGATTCTCAAATGTGTTCTGTGCCAATGTGTTGTGGTTTCTTTGTTGTTATAATGGGGGTTATGTCAATGTTATGTTGAAATAATAGTGGCAGTGGAAAGAAAAAAGTTATTGTGCTTCATCTCAAAAAGAAACCCTCAACTTGATGAAAGAAAAATAGAATGAGCCACTTTTATCTAGCAAAAAAATGCAGAAGACCCATGTCCCTGTACCATAAATGGTTCTAGCAGTGCAATGGACTCTCACTAATTCCCCACGTCTTCCTCATCCGATTGTTTTTATACATTTTATGTCCGATAAAAATCTGAACGCATTCTTGTATACCGTTCTCTGTGGCCGCTGATTTTTTTGATTTTCTAAATTTACAGTCTCTATTAATGGGGCTGGTATTCTCAAAATAACATGAGTGATGAATAAAATCAGTCAAATATTCAATCTTGCATTCAACATGAAATTGTCGACTACATAAGACCACTCTACACACCTCCAAATTGTACATAATTCGGATGATTATACATAAAACGGCAACATTGCACCGAGGAAATCATCCCCATTCCAGAACCGTTTCCCGCCGCACGCCCTTCAAGCGGCGCAAGAGCGAGACAGGACGTTCGACAGAGACAGAGCACCGAAGAACGACCAACGGCCGGTCAGAGACGACCTCAGACGCGAGTTTCTGCGCGACGACGACCGCCGATTGGACAAGGACCCGCGCTTCGACAGGTAATGATTCGACAAGAGCTTGATTTCCTGCAGGATGAACAGAAGGTGGTATAGAAACTCCTATCAAATTCCATCTACTGTTTATCGGTCAAAGTTCTTGACATATGGCCTAATTGACAGAAGGATTCTTCTCAATATCGCGAAATATAGGTCGCATTTTACCCGTTAGAGGGCGAAATCTTAACCAAAATTCAAGGTTGGTAGTCCCCAAAATTACAGTTTCCTGCTTCCAAATTCAATCTCATTTGATTTGAGGTTATGTTATGAATGTTTTATTATTATTTCTGGTGCAGGCGTTGTGTAAGCGCCGTTTTCTGCCATGAAAGAAATCTGTAAAGTGTCACCATCTTGCGGACAACTGAGAACTAATATGCCATTTTTCGGTCAAATTTCTTGACCTAGGGCCTACTTGACAGAAGGAATCTTCTCAATATCGCGGAAAATAGGTGGCATTTTACCCGTAGATGGCGAAATCTCAACCAAAATTCAAGGTTGGTAGAACTGATGATAATTAAAATTCCCCAAAATAACAGTTTCCTACTTTCAAATTGAACCTCATTCGATTCGAGGTTATGTTATGATATCATTATTCCTGGTGCAGGCGTTGTGTAAGCGCCGTTTTCTGTCTGAGTGATAAGTGTAAAACATGAAGATTGTTTTGATTTTCCACCTTTTGCTGCACTCTTTTTGCTGATAAATATTGAATTTGGTCGGAATTAAAAACGCCATTCTATGATATTATATCACGCTGCAATTCACTTGATTTCCTCACTTTCGTTTTCAAATTTTCAATTTCATTATGTAGTTTTGCGATCAATTCCTCTTTCTCTCTGATAATTTTGTTCTGCATTTCGTCTCATAATATTGGATTTTTTTTCAATAGTCTGTCAGATCTTATAAATCTCTTGTTTGAGAATGAGCCTAAAATATAGTTTCATTCCAATCTGCTGTTATAAGTGAATTTTAATGTATTTACTGACCTCACAAATTTCTCTTGTCTTCAAATTAATTGTCCATCCAGACCGTTTCATATATTCCTTCTATACAGGGTGTTTCGAAATTCGACCGACAACGTTTGACAGGTGATAGCCCTCGTGATTTCATAATCATTGAGATAGGAACATTCGGTCTTCAAGTGTTCAGTTCTCGAGATACAGGGCGTTGAAGTTGAGAAATGAAAATAGTTGTTTCGCAATATCTCAAGAATAATTGAATATAATGCATTCAACTTCGGTATATGGTTTCATCTTTGAATGGGCCATTTTTTGACCTGGAAGCCATTCCGGACATTTTGTCCAGTGGTGCCCTACAGGGGGTTGTGGCATTTTTTCCTTCCATATTTTCTACGCCACTGATTGAATTTCGATTATTTCCAATTCCTCGAATTCATTGTTCAATTTTGTTCAGAAAATGCATCACCTTCAACTGAGCTGAAATAAACAGTTTTCGAGATATTCGACCCAAAATAGAAGATTGCATAGTAATATTTCATCATTTTCAGTAGTAGAAAATTGCAAAAATATTTTTCTGGTGTTGAGTAGATTACATACTATCAGATCTCATTCTGTAGCTGAACAGAAACAGTTATTTCACTCATAAAGAGAAAACAAAAATTTTTGTAATCTACTACTGAAGAAGATGAAAAATTACAATGCAAACTTCTATTTTGGGTCAAATATCTCGATAACTGTTCATTTTAGCTTAGTTGAAGGTGATGCAGTTTTTCAATATAATTGAACAATCAATTCGAGAAATTTGAAATAATCGAAATTTCATCAGTGGCGTAGAAAATATGGGAGGAAAAGTTATCACAACCCCCTGTAGCGCACCTCTGGGTAAAATTCTCGGAATGTCTTTCTGGTCAAAAAATCAACCATTGAAAGATGAAACCATATACCGAATTTGAATGCATCAAATTCAGTTTTACTTGAGATATAGCGAAAACCTATTTAAATTTCTCAACTTCAACGCCCTGTATCTCGAGAACTGAACACTTGAAGATCGTATGTCCCTATCTCAGTGATTATGAAATCACGAGGGCTATCACCTGTCAAGCGTTGTCGGTCGAATTTCGAAACACCCTGTATAAAGAAATGGTTGATATTTCCTATGGAAAATTGAAGAGATGAAATCGCCATTCCCTTCAGAATTCATGCAATTCAACACAGTAGGACATTTTTATTCATGCTTTTTTCTCAGTAGTTCATGAAACTATATTTCAATTTTGACGTTCGTGAAATTCAAACAATTTTCAATGAAAAAGCGCGGAACGTCTATGATGCTGTTGTCACACTGCAAGGTGTGTAACTTAATAAATCTAAACATTCAAAAAACACTATCAGTTGTCATTTCTGTGTCCGAAATCTTATCTAGCTGATACCATCCAGTAACTACTCTTGCCTAGGGTCCCTTGATGTAAATTGACGTTGAAGTCATCTTAACAGGGTATGGACAGATCCTCGTCTCCTCTCACTCTAAAGTGTTTGTGAAACAGTTGTATAGTTTCATCTTCGTTAATTTCTGGGGATAAACACTAGATTTCTGACATTTGTTTTTAGGTTATATTGAGGACATTGGCGTATCATACGTAATTTCCACATGTAATTCCTCATTATCATCATCCTCATCCTACATATTATATAAAAGTGATGATAATTTTCCAGTTTTTGATTTTTCAACTCCAGTATAATCTTTGTTAGGCAGTGAGCAAATTCTTCTGAAAGTTTAATACGTTTTACCAAATGGGACTGTACTTAGGCAGTATCTATCAATAAATGAATTTTGATTTCAGACTAAGCCTTATGGTTGGGAAATGGTGAAAAATGTTATGTAGGTGCTCATATGTCATGTGTGCTGTGCATATTCAATCAATCAATCAATTTATTGGTATCTAAATACATAGATAGTATTTATACAAGTCAATAAAAGTACAGTACATTTGAAATGTTCATCATATATATATGTCAATAAAATTTATTACATTCAAGAATGTTGATAGAGGAGAACCCTCCAACATCATGTCAACCAAATTTTCCACTAACCAGTACCAAATGCTATCGCCTTTGAGCCCAGTCAAAATTCAGGAATTCTTGATAACTATATAAAGCATGATCAATCAGGAATTTCTTCACATGCGATTTGAATGTTTTTATCGGTAAATATCTAGCCTCTGTAGGAAGGTGATTGAATTCATGTTGGGAATCATTTTTGCAGTTTTTCACAAACACTTGATATTTCCTGAATGTAGGTTTAATTTTTTGAATGGTAAAGCATAATATGCCTCTTCTCTTAATCATCCGTTTCAATCAAAACTGTTTCTACTAAAATGCATTCAAAAACTTGTGGAGTGAATAATCATAGACACAATGATAAAGTATAATATGTGATTTGTATTAGTTTTACCTCGAATATTTTGCTTATGTATTGACCAATTTTCCCCATTTGGTGACTTCACATTCCATGTTTTAAGATTATTTGCATTCGATGGAAAGCTGACAAATTCAAATTTGCCATCCAACTGATTGATACAGCCTAACGCAGCACACTTTACCATCCTTCCAAAACAGAATTGAATAATGTTATATTGAGATCAAGTATGAAATTGAAATTTTGTAAGATCTCTTTTAACGCCTATGAATGTGACGTGACAGCAATACACGAAACCATAGTCACTAGACGATTAAAAGAGAAAGGAGTTATGATCTGTCCGTACCCTGTTAGATGACAAATACGTCAGTTTGCATCAAGGCACCCTAACTAATACTATCTAGTGACTCCACTCTTTCCTATTGTGCTAAAAACGGCAACCCTGTTCTTGCTTTGACAGGCGCGACAGAGAGCAGCACGGTCGGCGAGACAGAGAGGGCAAGTACAAGGAGCGGAGCCCGAGGAGGGATCGGAGTCCTAGGCGGGAGCGGAGCCCGAGGAGGGAGAGGAGCCCGCGCGCGCACAAGTCGCATAGACACAGGGAGGACAGGGAGAGGAGGACTCGGTATTGAGTGGGGCGGGTCGATTGGGGGGTTGCATTTAATGTACCGATTAGTTTTCGAGGTCGTTGAAACGATGCCGTCAATACAAATTTTTTCAGTATCTTTTTGTTTCAATGTGTGTACCACCATGTGAATGAAAGGACCCCGCACATTTAGTACGGAAAATGGCTTTCGGCTAACGGCTAATCCAATATTTCGTCATGACAAGGTAATATTCATGGGAAAAGACGAATATTGAAAATATCAGAATTCCGATTTTTACTCAATCACTGCAAACTTGAAAACAAACAGCTAGAATCAGTCAATTACTTGAACTTGACACACTATGGATCTCGATCATCAACATGAGGATTCATATGATTTCCTCTGATACAATGTCCGGTTTGCCATATACAGTGTGTCCCACTTACCATGCTCACCATGGGTATCTTTTTAACGGTGAGAGATACGAGGTCGGTTAAATGACACCAAATGTGGAGTTTGTCAAGGCCAACTATGATGTGAAAAAATATTTTGATAAAATCTATTCGTTTTTGTTTTATACGCAAAAAACAGATTTTGATCATTTTCATGTCTCCTCCGCAACTTCTTCATTTATAAAAATATTCAAATAGGAATTTCACATTCTCATGGCAGTTTTTCAAAGTGATTTCGAAAAAAATATGAAATTCATACCAACTCTTCTAGAATTTTAGATATCAGCACCAACTATAGTTTTTCAAATGTAGGTCATAGCTCACTATGACTTAGTTACAAATAACTTTTTTTTCTTTCACAGATGATATGTCGCAGTAATAGTTTTGTGTTGATAACAATGGAGTTATCGTCATTTATAAAAAACAAAAAACTATTTGGAAGCCGCCATCTTGAATTCATAAATTTCAACAAAAAAATCATGATCTCCTACACCTCAAAAACCCCTAATTACCAATTTTGAATGTAATCGGACCAAATCTTGTCCGCCATCTTGGAGCAGCCATTTTTTTTAATCTCAGCGAAAATTCCATAACTTCGATTAACTTGAAATTTGGCAGGTGTTCATTTTCGGTGACAATACATTATGGAATTTTTGTTGAAATTAAAAAAAATAGCTGCTCCAAGAATGCGGACAAGATTTGGTCCGATTCCATTCAAAATTGGTAAGTGGGGGTTTTTGAGGTCGGAGATCATGATTTTTTGTTAAAATTCATAAATTCAAGATGTCGGCTTCCAAATAATTTTCAGTTTTTTTTATAAATGACGATAACTCCATTGTTATCAGCACAAAACTATTACTGCGACATATCATCTGTAAGAGAAAAAAAAAGTTATTTGTAACTAAGTCATAGTGAACTATGACCTACATTTGAAAAACTAAAGTTGGTGCTGATATCTCAAATTCTAGAAGAGTTGGTTTAAATTTCATATTTTTTTTCGAAATCACTTTGAAAAACTGCCATGAGAATGGGAAATTCCTATTTGAATATTTTCACAAATAAAGAAGTAACGGAGGAGACATGAAAATAATCAAAATCTGTTTTTTGCGTATAGAACAAAAATGAATAGATTTTATCAAAATATTTTTTCACATTTTAGTTGGCCTTGACAAACTCCACATTTGGTGTCATTTAACCGACCTCGTATCTCTCACCGTTAAAAAGATACCCATGGTGAGCATGGTAAGTGGGACACACTGTATAATCCTGTACTTTCTTATACCAGAGCCTTTGTTTTTGTGTCATTGTGTCCATCACTATGAAGGTGAGTACTACAAATTCTCTCTTAGTACTTAATAATGTTTATTTGTTGAACTATATATTTGAGTTTCCATAACTGGGAAATTGAAAATATGTACACAGTTTGCAAAAATTAAGCTATTACACAGCAGCACACAATTGAGATCATTTGGAATAATCAGCATCACACTGCATAAATTCATTTAAAATACTAAAATGCATTTCCAAACTAGGAGAATCATTTTCAAAATGAATTTTTCTGTGAACGGGCGCCCCAAATTTTTTAAGAGTCTCGCTGAACAATTTTTCTTCTTTCCTTATCCAAGGCCGATGATCATCTTTGATTTGATAAGGGGTGACGTGAACGTGAATCGATATTCCTAAAAATATACAAGATAAATGAAAATTTTATTTTTCACTTCAACAAAATAAATAATTTGTTTCACCCACGTAAATTTGCTAGAGTTTCTAGCAATGGCTTAGAAGTTATCCAAGTATTTTTTCCACCGGCATGTCCGCCGTCTAACCAATACATTTGTTTTATTCTCGATATTATTTTGCAAGTGTCAGAATCGTCTGAAGAGAATGTTTTATAATACTGAAACTCGTAGAGAAATTGGTTCAAAACCACACAACCTTTACTAAACCCAACGAGTTTAATATCACAGTTTTGTAGATCAATTTGCTCTCTCCAACCAGGAACTAAATTTTCGTGACGACTTGAAGATTCACACTGAAAATAATTCCACATTATTCCTGATGATTTTTTTTTTCAATTGACTCCGCGCCGTTACTTGATGGAAATCCATAGAAAATGTAAAAACTTCACAAACGATAAGATTTCCACAAAATTCTCAAACACACGACAAGTGTCGCTAACACAGTAGCTTCGTCAGGTGATATACTGGTTTGATGAATCAAACTAATAACCTACACTCAGTTCCAAAAAAAGTGACGCACTTGATATTTTACCTATCTTCTTAAAAAAAAAATAGTAGGCCGATTTTCATTTATTTTTTATATGGTAATGCATTTGTCTTTAAACAAAAATAAAGAGGTGAAAATTTGTGCAAAGCCTCCTTGATGGTGGTGGAATAACTCGAACCATGATTTATTCTTAATTTTTGACTCACCCTGTGTGTTAATTGAGTAATGGCATAGAAAGTGCTTACACCCCATACGAAAGAGTTTTCTTTTGCGAGCATTTTGTTTTTTTATTCATTGATTTATCTCTAAAATTTTCCGAATTACAGCTTTTTTGCTGAAACCTTACGCTTATCCCACAAATTCACAAATTAAATTTATTGAAGGATCAGAGTACTCAAAATTGATTGGGTTGTACTCTGGTAGGATCACATTGTCTTTAAAAAAACAAATGCCGTTGCCATAGCAACTAATTTGTTGTATGCCTCCATATTTGACCATTTGTCGTTGTGTCTTTAATTAAGTGTCTTGTTTTATTGACTACAATTACATAAAATGCCTCAAATAAATCCTGAACGAGTAACAAGATTAGTTGCGTTAGTAAACGATGGGCGTAGTAAACGTTACGCCGCTCGTGCAGTGGGAGTTCATGAAGCAACTGCTCGTAGAGCAATCCGCAAGCACGAACAAACAGGAAGCACCGCTCGGAGGGTCGGTTCTGGTCGCCTCCGAAAAACTTCTCCAAGAGATGATCGCTTCTTGAGATTGCGGATTTCACGGAATCGATCAAATACTGCGGTAAATGTTCAGCAAGATCTTGGCCAAATTCGTGATGTTGCAGTAAGTAAGCAGACGGTATGTAGACGTCTAAAAGAAGTTAATTCAAAAGCTATGAGACCTGCAAAAGATCCCAAACTATTGCCCGAACATCGTGCTGCTAGAAGAAATTTTGTTGAAAATTATGGACAGTGGAATATTCCTGAATGGTCGAATGTCTTGTTTACGGATGAGTCAATGGATGGAAGAAAAAGGGTGTGGAGAAGAACTGGTGAACGGTTTAATCAACATTTAATAACAGAATGCGAAAGTTTTAATGGTGGGTCCGTTATGGTGTGGGGAGAGATTTCAATGAATGGAAAGACACCCCTTCATGTTTTTCCGGTGAGGCAGTCGATGAATGCCCAAATTTACATTGACATTTTAGAGCAGTATGTCTTACCTTATGCAGAGTTAGTGGGCTAAATTTTATATTGATGCAGGATAATGCCCGACCACACACCGCAGCAATAGTGCGAAACTTCTTAGAAGCTACTGGTATTACCACATTACAATGGCCTGCGAGAAGCCCCGATATGAATCCTATAGAACTTTTGTGGGATGAATTAGGGAGAATGGTACGTTCTCAGGAGAGGTCTCCGAAAAGTCTCGCAGAAATGGCAGATGCATTAATGGAAGAATGGGATCGTATACCAATGGAAACGATAAGCAACTCAAATTCCAGTATGCCTCGTAGATTAGAAGTTCTGAGAGTTGCTAGAGGAGGCAATACACAGTATCAAGCAGTCATCCCAATTTATAATTTTGTGTTTAATAAAAATGTTTTTTAAAATTATTGGTATCAGTTTATTTCATTAGAAAATTGTTAAATTCAGAAAGTTAGTAATCTGCAAGGATTCAGCGAAAAAAGCTGTAATTCGGAAAATTTTAGAGAAAAATCAATGAATAAAAAAACATAATGCTCGCAAAAGAAGCCTCTTTCGTATAGGGTGTAAGCACTTTGTATACCATTACTCAATGAACACACAGGGTGAGTCAAAAATTAAGAATAAATCATGGTTCGAGTTATTCCACCACCATCAAGGAGGCTTTGAAAAAATGTTCACCTCTTTATTTTTTTTAAAGACAAATGCTTTACCTACCAACAAATAAAAAAAATAAAAATCGGCCTACTATTTTTTTCAAGAAGATTCAAATATCAAGTGCGTCACTTTTTTTGGAACTGAGTGTATATCCTACTTTCCCAACCTGAAGGATTAGTTACCTCTGGACGGTTTTGATGAACCTTTATTTTCAGAAATTAGGCACAATATCTACATTAACACACAGTGTACTGGATTAACTTGAAAGAGTTGATAGCAAATACATATTATTACCTACTAAGAAAACAAATTCAACAGTGGTCTAATTGATCTTTAAGTAAAATGTCAGAATTTTTGAGTTTGTTGATTTCTAAAGATTCAATATGATTGAGTTTTATTCCTTTATTTTCTACGTTTAGAGTTTCGAAATTATCATCAAAACTATGGTTTTCTTCTAATATACAGGGTGATTCAAAAGTAAGCGGCATCCTTTCAGAGGCGTATTCCTTGCTTGAAAATAAGGCAAAAAGTTCCTATTGATAAGGATCCGAAAATGCTTCCTAAGGGAGCTACGGCCCTTTGAATAGGACACCTCAAAGACGGTTTTTTCTCTATAACTTTAAAATCCTTCACAACAAATTTTTAAAAATTGGTGTACGGCATAAACATTCGATGGTAAATAGGACTCCGTATTCGAAATTTCAGAATTTCATTCAGGGGCGTCACATGCGGGAGAGGGTAAGTGTAAAAATATCCCTTCTTCTCCGGATATTCAGGTTACTGTGATTTCGTTTGGAAATTATTTCGAATACGGAGTCCTATTTACCATCGAATGTTTATGCCGTACACCAATTTTTAAAAATTTGTTGTGAAGGATTTTAAAGTTATAGAGAAAAAACCGTCTTTGAGGTGTCCTATTCAAAGGGCCGTAGCTCCCTTAGGAAGCATTTTCGGATCCTTATCAATAGGAACTTTTTGCCTTATTTTCATGCAAGGAATACGCCTCTGAAAGGATGCCGCTTACTTTTGAATCACCCTGTATGGTTAGCGTACGTTGAATTTATTTTCTTTTTCAAAAAATTTCCGAAAATGAAGGTTTATCATGTCAAAACATGTCCTGTGTTTGAGAATTTTGTGGAAATCTTATCGTTTGTGAAGTTTTTACATTATTCCCGGTGCTTTCTAAATTAAAAACTTACTGAATCGTCTGAGATCACAGAGTTTTTGGAATGTTCCATAGCCGCATTCAGTTCTTCGTCAGTCATACTTCTCAGCCTTTGAGACAAGCTGCTCAACAATTTTTCCAAATGTGTCAAAGAATTGTGCATTGGGGTATGGTCTGGTACTCCACATTTAGCACAAGGAACAAAGTTTTCATAGCAGCTAAACGTTTTGTAATCCATTCTAAAAAATATAAACAAGAAAAATTCTGCTAGAGAAGAATATTCCGTAGCCATTTATTTTTACCTTACTGGGCGTACAACAACTATGTGGCAGTCAACAAATTTAGTTCCCATTAATTGGGCAGTGTTTTCCAAGTTCCACTTCACATGGCGTTTATTGTCTCTATGGCTAGCCATATTTTCTGTGAAGTCCTATAAATCGAAACTGTTGAGACAGGTGGTTGTTTATTTTCAATGGAGTAGTACCTGCACATCTCCCCCAAAAAATATGACTACATTCGAATTTTCCGTGGATTTTAATGGACTACAATAAACAATATCATTTATTCTCTTTTCAAAGCCAGACACTTTGGTTACCCGAATAAAACTTGGTACACCGAAATGTTCAGTCATTTTGAGTGATCTAAAACAAAAATTATTAAATAATTTTCCAGTTTTTTGTCTTATATCATTTACAAGCGCTGGAAGACAGAAACACCCGTTTCATATTTATGACGTGTCAGAATTATAATTATGAGATCCGGAGTCATAATTCTGACGTACCTACATGTCAGAATTTTGGCATACAAGTTCTGGAAAATAACTCAGATTTCTGAAATAAAATCAGAATTTTCTGATGATATAAAGCTCTCAATTCAGATTTCATACTGTATCTCGCCAGAATTCTTACATGTATTTCAGACTCATTCTTCTTTTTTTTTCTCCCTCCCACTTAACGTTTTTATGTACTTATTGTTCATTTTTTTTTCAAGCAACGTTCTTTTATATTAATTTCTGTAGATTTTATATATAGCACAACAAAAGCAATCAACAGTGTATTATACAGGGTGGCCCACGGTCGATGGTACCTTAGACGTATACGGAAAACGGTACATTGGATTATCCTGAAAATTTGGTTACTCTAAGCGTTTGTGATCTAACGATTCAAAATATTTTCAGCGATGCAGCGTTGCCACTTTTACCAAAAAGTAGCATCATCTTTGTTATTTCAAATAATGAAACACCCTGTATTTTATTGCGTTTTTAGATCCTTCTCGAAGAGCTGATTTCATCAATATATCACACTTGGGGTCTAGCAAGAATTATTACAGAGATATAGGGTGTTCAAAATCGAGATTTTTCAATTTCAGGAATTTTTTGTGTCGAAACTATTCATTATCGATCAAAACGGCTCACATGTCCCTATCTTAACTTTTGATTCACTATCTACTGACATTTAATTGGAACAGATACAGGGTGATCAAAATTCTGAATCTTGGACCATCCTGTATTTTTTCCAATTAAATGTCGGTAGATAGTTAATCAAAAGTTAATATAGGGACATGCAAGCCGTTTTGACCAATGATGAATAGTTTCGACACAAAAAAATCCTAAAGTTGAAAAATCTCGATTTTGAACACCCTATATCTCTGTAATAATTCCTGCTAGACCCCAAGTGTGATGCATTGATGAAGAATCTGAAAACGCAATAAAATACAGGGTGTTCCATTTGAAATAACAAAGATGATGCTACTTTTTGGTAAAAGTGGCAACGCTGCTTCGCTGAAAATATTTTGAATCGTTAGATCACAAACGCTTATTGGAGTATAGAGTAACCAAATTTTCAGGATAATCCAATGTACCGTTTTCCGTATACGTCTAAGGTACCATCGACCGTGGGCCACCCTGTATATAGGTATGTGATATATAGCCGGGAAAAAAGTACTCACTTTTTTCCCACGGGAAAAAGGTAACTCATGGAAAGTGACATTTTATAACCTGCCAACAGAGATGAAATGCCAAACTTTTTTCCCGTCACAGAGAAAAATAATAATTTTAATTTCAACATTTTCGAAAAAATTACATTCAACATCAAGATTGCACTTGTTTTGACCTGTTGATCTAGAATATATAAAAATATACAGGGTGTTCCATTTGAAAACACAAAGTTACAGGCATTTCCAGAAAAATCGCGAGTCCGCCATATTAGATTGTATTGTGAAAAATCCGAAATGTTTACAGGGGTGACCCGATACCCTGTGTATCCTGTGTTGCCTGGCATATAAAATCTACATAAAAAAATTTAAAGAATGTTCCTTGAAAAAATACATACAAAAGTAAAGTGAAGGCCCTGTACAACTTGGAATTCTGACAGGTCGATTTGAAAAGCGCTCACCTGCAAACATTTACCTTATATTCATAACAGTAAACACATTTAATTTTCACAAAAGCCCATTTATCAATATTTCCTGGATGCTGCATTTTGTTAAAGTTGTTAAAATTATTTGAAGTCTTTATTTGGTGTTATCCTACAAGTATTTTCCCATCGAAACACCACTCCTCAAATTCTAATAATATTCTTCTTCTATTCCTCTTATCTTATTGCAACATCCAAGTAAGCGCACCCGAGTATCCTCCAAACACTGCGTGAAATCTTCCTTAATCTCCCTAACTTTTTCCCGTATCTCCTCCCTCATCAAATTGTAACACATCGCCACCAACCCCAAACCAAAAAATATATAAAAATAAGTTATAACCAGCTTCGTTTGATTCCCGTACGATTCATCATAAGTTAAAAACTTGGTACCCGGCACAAAGTCCCCCATCCCGAGTTTACACAGACTAGTCACGCAAAAATAAATGCTGTCCAAGAAGTCCCATTGTTCCCAAGGCCCGAACATCACAGCCCCAGTCAGGACATACAAAACAATCACCCACAAGCAAGCCGTGGAAGGTACGATCACCCGTTTCGGCGCCAAGTTCTCCTCATCAGACTGCGTGGTGCAATAATACAGCTTCCTGTAAACCCATCTGAACCCGCCTGCCAGAGCGTCCCCGACGTTCAGAAAGTAAAGGATGTACAGGGGGATGCCGAAAAGGGCGTACACCACCGTGGCAATCTTGCCATAGCCAGTTTTCGGGACTAGGTTACCATAACCTATCATTGTTATGATGCTCAGCGAGAACATGAGAGCCGCAGGGAAGGACCACACCTCGTTCATCTGCCTTTCGTCATAACCATGCTTGAATATCTTGACCAGAGACTCCTGGTAGTCGCTCAGAACTTTATTAGCTTCTAGCGAGAAGTTGTTTTGATCGAAGATGTTAGAAAGGAGGGCGACTTCATATAACCGTAGGGAACAGTTATTCCTGTATTGATGGATTTCGAGTATTTTGGTGTTTTCGCCTTTTTTTTCAATGTGCATGAAGCTAACGGCGCCGATAACTGTGTATCCGAATACGAGGGCCCCCAAGCCCACTTGGGTACACATGAACGTTATGATTTTTCTGCAGCAGTCTTTCAATTTTTCTCTGGGGTCGATTTCACTGACTGCAGATGAGCCTCTGGAGCCTCTAGAGCCCCTGCTACGCGAACTACCACGGGAATATCTTTCTCGGGGTTCCATGATTTTGTTTGAAATGTTTCAATTGACTGAGCGAGTGTTCGAGAGTATTCCAATGAGTTATTTTGGAAAGGGGCATATGTTTGGCATTTTGCCAAATGATTTATTTTAGTAAATAGTTCATGGGATCTAATTATTTAATTTATAGGCACTCAATCTATTTCTTGAACTATTGAAGAATTTGAAGAATCATTTAGATTGAAAAGAAAAACAACATTGAAATACATACTCACCTATCTATTTATTAAAACCTATAACTAAATATACATATTCATAGGCGTATACTCAACTTTTCCCAAAAGAAATTATTAAGATGCACAGAATAACTATGTATGTATGAAATATTTATAAAAATAAGTATATATCAGGGAAAGAGACAAGCAAGGGAAGATTGAATGAGATACTTTTTCTCTATTTTTGAGGATGAATTACCATGTTTAGTACCACGACACAGGGAAAAATTTGCCACATTTGAATGAACACTTTCAACACACAATGGATTGTCATTATTATATCTATATTATCATCATAGCTTCGGATTCAATTTTCGTCGATAATTAGAAAAAATCTTGTTTTAAGTGATATTTTCAAGTTTTGGTACCAAAATTATTCAAATAAACATAAACATGCGTGTCTAAAATTCCGGTAATCGGAAGTCTAGTACATTTAGAATAAGAATATGACTAAAGCTCCAGAACTACGAAGTCTTGGGAAAAAGGAATATAGATAGGATTGGTTTGAAAAATGGAGATGAATGGAAATGATGGATCAAACAATGTTGAGAAAAAATGGGTTTGCAGAAATCACACAAACTAGGGTCCCTTGATGGAAATTGACGTAAGGTCTTAACAGGGTACGGACCAGCTGTAAACTTCAATAGCGGATACACAGAAACCATCTGCCTGCATCTGCGAATCGTCCCGAATGCGCGCGCATATATCAATACAGATCTGCAGGTCCCAGGTTCGATTGCTATAAACTTAATCTTTTTTTAACAACTTTTTTTCACCAATGTATCTTTACTTCATTCTGGTTTAGCTTCCTCAAAGAATATCGAATGTCGAATAGGTTAGTGCGTTTAGGATAAACAGTCTCATTTTATTCAATTTTGTTGAAAAACTTGACTTACCATTGATCAATGTGTATTCACTTCATTCTGGTTTTCCTTCCTCAAAAAATATTGCAATTAGGAATAGGTTAGTTTGTTAAGGATAAATAGACTCAATCCATTTAATTTTGTTGAATACTATATTTTTATATGATTGAAATTTTCCACTTCATCCTATTTTCTTTTCTCGAAAAGATTCGGATTCAATCACGATTCATTTTGAATGCACCGCCATAGCTAGAATCGTTCTGATTGGTTCATACACTCGGGACGATTTGCAGATAGTTTCTGTGTATCCGCTAGTTAAACTTCCCTCTCCAAGTCCTTCCTTGATTGTTTTTTATGAGCACTATATTTTCCCGATCCCGATCAGAAGAATAACTTGAGTCTCTTTTCCTTTCACGATGCTTACCCATTTTGGTAATTCAAATGGATTTAAAATTTGGATACATTTTCAACGTACAACCAACGTCGCACAAAAAAGCGTAATGAAAGGCATCTTATGGCGAGTTCACATGCCAGCTTATGCCTACAGCAGAAAGCTTGAATAAAACGGGCGCACTGTTCACGTGAGAAAATTGGAAAAGTGACAGTGACTGGGACATATTTGGTTAAATTTCAGATGTACGTCCTCCAGAAACCACATTTATCACATTTTCAGGAGTGTTTTTCCAGTACTGTTTCCCACACTGCATAATATGATGATATAGCACCAATATGTATTCATTTTGTCAATATTAGGTGCGTTCGGTTATAACATATCTGTTAGCTCGATTCCATCTGTTAGCTCGGAAAGCGTTCGATAAATCAGATCTACTTCCTCTGTCTAATCTGCTCCGTGTTCGTTAATTGTCAGAGCGAGCTGAAAGATGTAATCTGTTTGCTCCGCCTTGAGGAGCAGATCATTCAGATTTGATCGGTTATTCGGTTGTCAATTGTCAACAAATCAATGTCAACAACATGTTATTGAAATTATATCTCTTTTATGACGAAAAATTGAAGACTCGATCAACTGGAAACGAAACACAAAACTGAATTTTGTAGAATCCTCATTGCCCAGAATCGCCAGAATGACCGACGAATTTGCTGTAGGTAGCATATTAATTATATATCTGTAATATATGCGATCACAACTGCCCTGGATCCACAGTTAATGACCGATCATATTAGACAGAATCATTCCTTCCCTAAGAATTTTCAAAATATAAACAACAAACATTCAAAAAAACTTTGTTGCCCTGAAGTGTTTTTAAAAGTAATAAGGTTAAGTGAATTGTTTCTGTTGTGTTACTTCTGCAATCTGCAATCTACTACCTCGTTGAGCGTTCGTTAAATATCTTTAGCTCTATCTGCTAGGTGATCACGTGACACCAAATCTGCATCTGCTCGCTCGGCTCCGATTTTGTTAAACCGAACGCACCTATTTGTGTGGTCCTGTCAAACGATCTTTTGGCTTTTTTCCGCAAAAGTCGGACTGAAACCGACTTTCTAGCTTATGACCTCGATAAGCGCTTTCTGACGAATCGGCCAATGAGATGAGGATACGCTGTAAGTCAAAAGGCGAAAAGCCAGCATGTGAACGCGCCATTAGTAATGAACTAATGAAGTAGCTTGACAATTGACATAGACACAAAGAACAAAAGTGTCAGTGCCTAAAACGTGTAGCATGCGCAGTTTCACAGAACAGTACGCATTTTTCAAGTTCCGTGGAACTGCGCATGCTTCTGATTGTTTTGGTCTGATTTGTTTATGTTTTCACTGTTCATTTGTATGTTTGTGTTTTTGTTTTGGTAAATTCAGAAAACCACGATTTCAGAAAACCAGAAAGGAACATGATATAAAAAAGTGTCTGTCTTCTGTCTGCCGGTCTTCCTCTCAGATGCTTCACTGCTTCAGACATGACTTCAAAGTACTGGAAATATCTGATATTTTCTGTGAGTTCAAACCTCAAAGTGTTTTTTCATCATTTGTAGGTGAAAAAACAATATTTTGAACATTTTTAACAATCGATATGCCCGGAAACACCAGAAGAATTTCACGAACAACTCGCACATCTGCAATTTCATCCCCAGGAATCTCCAGTTTTGCAAATGAGCCTTGTGGACAAAGATATGCCCCCTTGGGGGTTGCTGTGCCCACCCTCCCTGCCTTAGAACAACCTGCTGCCCCCAAACATTTTCCTTTCCCCAATACAACTGTAGAAGATGACCTGGTTTTTGAATCACTCATGTGCTCTTTTACTATAATAACAGCTGGGCTCCAGTACCTGCACTTGTATAGATCTGTCTGGTGGCTACCTAATTCCTACACTAGTCAAGCAGTGGTAATTTTATTTTTGAATTCTTCCTAATGTGATATGTAATACTTACCAGATGATTTTGTTTTTCAGAATTTTTACCTTATTGATCCATACCTTGTTCTGTTTATAACTGTTATACTATCTCGAAGATTAGTATATATGATAGCATGTAGGTTATTGAACAGAGCAATATCTGAGAGGTTTCATAATCTATGTCACTATTACATCAGGTATTGTATGATGAAATCTATAAGCAGAAAAATATTAATGTTCTTGTTTTGTAGGTTCATCCTATTTTGTGTGATGTGTTTGATACTGTCATTTAGCACATACTTTGTACTGCAGAGCCATCAGATTGAGAAGATTTTATACCTTTGCTATCCGTAAGTAGAATCATCCTGTATTATTTTTGAAAGATTTGTAAATGCTTTTTGCATTTTACAGATTTTTCATTTACTTAATATTGTTTGGATTCAATATTCACCCATTTTTTGAATTGGTCAACTGGAGTTCTTCAACACCACCTCTACATGCCTGCAGCTCAAATGCTGTAGAAATTCGAAGTGAAATAGAGAATTTGGTTGCAAATTTCAATTCTAAGATGAAAGAAATCCTGTTTTGTGCCATAATAAATGCCTACTATGCAGGATTCATACCTTGTTGCTTTGCACAGGTAAACAAAAATTATTTTTCTCCCTGAGTAAAAATAAACTGTAAATTTTTGCAGTCTGCTCTGCATTATGATATTCTGTGGACTGCTCAGCATATAATTTTCATCTTCATTAGTGGATTCATTTCTTTGTCCATTCATGTCCTTTCTCTCAGATATTTTGATATCTTGCATAGATCTGCTCTCCATTTGGGAACTTGGGAAAAATTAGAAACTGGTAGAACTATGTTGCTTGTCAATAATATCTGGAGAGAAGATATTTTGTGGCCTTTTGGGGCTCTAGTCAGGTATGGAAAAGATATATGGAGAGCACAAGGAGACTGTAATAGCAGTGAACCTGGTAATGTGTGCCTCAGGAGGTTTTATGTAAGTATTTTCGAATATTGATGATCTACAATTTTATTTCTCACACTATCTCACTTCCTACCTGCCATTTTTTTACAGAATATCTTCAAAAATCCTACAAATACTCTGGGTGTCAATCTTCTGGTACTGATTTTGATGGTACTGGACCAACTGATAGTGCTGATAAGTTGTACTTTATGGTACAAAATAATATCCTTGACTTTCATTTTATTCTTCAATTACTATATACTCTACAAGTTGCTGAGGGACTATTTGATCAGTCATAAAATCTACAGGGAGGAACGAGAAATGCACAGGAAGATTAATATGAGATAGGGTTTCAGGCTGATTCATGTTAAAAATGTTCTTCTGATGAATATAATATGTATTTTTGTAGAAATTGTGTTTCTTTATTGCAATTATTCCCTTTAGTCTATACAGGGTGTTTCAAAAAAAACCTAACCCCCTTGCTAGGGTAGATAGAACATCGCAAAATAAGTTGGGTTTACTCAGTAAAAAAATTTCGTAACGCCATCCGTTTTCAAGTTACAAGGTGTTGAAAAAATATTTTTTTTATACATTTTTCAAGATTATGTCGAAAGTACTGGCAACATTGTGATGAAATTTTGTATGGATGTTTCTTGGAATCTGACAGATCTCATGCATTTGTTTTTATATCTGACTCTCATAGAGGGCGCTAGTTACACGGTTCGTACCGAGTAGTTTTGAACATAACTTTTTTGAGGTTAGATTTTTCAATCCAAATTTGATGTGAACTCGAATATTATTCAATTCAAATTTGATGTGAACTCGAACATCATTCAATTACACACCAAAAAGGTACTCTTGGTAAAACTCGATACTGTGTTCCGTTTTCGGAATATTTCGATTTGAAAATGATGAAGTGGTAAATGTTGCTGGTATAAAGCTATGTATGAGTATTATGAAAATTTATCATCTATTTATTGAAAACCGAAAACAACAATACACTTCTGATGCAGAACTCATTGATTTAACAATGAATCACAAGAATAACATCAAAACAGATTTGACTTAGAACAAGGATTACACAATTTTGTTGTATCATGAGCAGAAAGTCTATTCTACATAGGTGAATTCACGTCAAGAGTTGTGAGACATAATTGAACATCTCTTGAATGTCCTCTAGCACTTCTAGCAGCTAATCCTCAACTGTTCAGAAGAATAATTCATTCTTAAAAAAAGAATATAGAATCGTGTATTCCTCGAAACTCGAAACGTAGGACATTTTGAACACTTACTCTAACTGATTCAATATTTCATGTTTCTAGTCAAATATCTCTCAAAATTTTCTACTTATGATTCTTTGTTCCATCAATAACTTCAGTACAAGCATAATTTTATCGTTTTTGAACCTGAATAAATAGGTAATTCAACTCAATAAAATTCATTTTATACCAGCATCATTACTATTCCATTAATTTCAAATCGAAATATTCCGAAAACGGAACGTAGTATCGAGTTTCACCAGGAGTAACTTTTTGGTGTAAAATTGGATGATGTTTAAGTTCATATCACATTTGGATTGGAAAATCTAACCTAAAAAAAGTTATGTTCAAAACTACTCGGTACGAACCGTGTAACTAGAGCCCTCTATGAGAGTCAGATATAAAAACAAATTCACGCGATGTGTCAGATGTCAAGAAACATCCATACAAAATTTCATCACAATGGTGCCAGTAGTTTCGGAATAATCGTGAAAAATGTGTGAAAAAATAATGTTTTCAACACCTTGTATCATGAAAACGGATGCCGTTACGACATTTTTTCACTGAGCAAACCCAACTTATTTTGCAATGTTCTACCTACCCTAGCAAGGGGGTTAGGTTTTTTTTGAAACACCCTGTAGAACCTAGGAGGAAAACAATCTCCATTTGAATAATCAGTTTTTTTTTCTAAGGCCTCCATTCAATAATCTGGATTTATTTGTATCAACACTGTCTTTATTTGCATCGTTTTAATGTTACATCATAGGTACAGTTTTAAAGTCAAGGTACAGTAATTCAAAATATACATTATAAACATTGAATGCCAAATAACATCTTCGATAATCATCCTCTATTATCTACAGAATCTTGCACCATTTAGGAATGTGTCAAATATTATCTAGTGATTCTCTGGGATCGCCCATGATTTATCCTCCATACTGACGATAATGGCTTGTTCAATTTTATCGTGTAACCATAACAACATAACCCTCTCTCCTGTAATTTTTATTTGCTGCAGTCTTTCTGTAGTAACATCGTTCTGAAAAAAAAATCGTGAGAAATAATAAACAGAGGGTGTCCCAGTATAACGTTCGTATTTCTTAAATAGAATCATCTCTAAAATACCTTTCAATTTCATATTTTTAAAGAATCTTTTGGTCGATTTTTAGGTGCTAAAATCACCAATAATGCCACGGTAATTTTCAATATGGCCACGAAACCGCAAAACCAAGTAACTACAAAAACCAAAATTTTCAGGAGACTCTAAAAACTTTATAACTTCGGGTCAACTGATCAGATTCAATAAAAAATAGTAACAAACCACCTGATTATTAATATCCTTACGTTTGTACATTGATCATTGAAAAAAGTCATTGTTTACGTTTGTCAGCATAAGGTACTTGGTTTTGACATCTGCTTCTGTGCGAAAGCAACAACAATCATCCAGAAAAGTAATTCGCAAAAACACGTAACTTAATTTTTTCGGACTTTCCGCTTAACAAATACTTGAGATTAATTCTCACATCCTTTGTTGAAATACCAATAATTGAAGTTGAGAATAGAATGTTTTACATATCTGTTCTATAAAAAGTCACTCACCAATTAGCAGAGATTGATCTCTGTGAAAAGAAATTGAACACAAAATATCAGAGGCGTGAAGCACGTTCCCAACTGTTAGATACTTGTTTTTGATTACCCCCTTTATATGTTATTTTTCAGATAAGGGGTTTTGTATTTATGGATTTCAAAATATTCACAATTTTTTACCAGTTGTGAGGTTTTGCATACGCATCCCCACCAATATGATAGACCGATTGCCGCCAGAATCACATTTTCGAATTTTTGTCAGTTACTTGGTTTTGCGGTTTCGTCGACGATGTGTTGAAATACGATTGGAAATTTCAGAAGTATTAGTTATTGAATAGTTTATAAATTCAAAAATCAATTGTCCCAAAATGTTCCCTAATGTGTCTTGGCTTATTGCTTATGATTTGGCAAATAATAATTACTATGTTAATTCACCCTAGAGGACATTTGAACCGATGAACGTGATAACACGGCGCACCAATCATGGGCGGTGTCTTGTCAGTTCTCAGCATTCAGTACATTGTTGCCAAGTCTTCAACAACGGCTAGAAATTTACCGCCATTAAATACTGAGATTAAAACATGATTAATCTTCTCTTGAAGATGCTAACATAGTTAGCGAAACACGTGTCGAGGCGTTTAAAAAAATCGATTTGGTTAGTGGTAAAACAGTGTAGTCTACAGTAAGACAAGAGCAATCTTGTGTTATAGCCGTAGAAAAAAGTAATTGAAATATTCTGAAAGTAACTAAAATATTTGAAAAGTAACTAAAGTATACTTAAAAGGTATTTGAAATACTCAAAAAGTAATTAGAATACTGAAAAGGTAATTAATAATCGGAGATACTGAATATTTTGAAATGGTATTTTACAAATAATTAAAATAATGAAGGGAATTAGAAAAGTAATCAAGTACTCAAAAACTCAGAGTGTACACCATATTTAAAGAATTGTTTCCCCTCGCAAAATGTTCCCTAATGATTTGTCTCAGAATAACGTTCGTATACTCCGGGATGTGATACTGCAGATAAAAATAAGAGATAGGTCCTTGAATGCAGTTTCCTTCAATAGGCGGTTTTCTAATTTTTTTATTTCGTAAATAGAACTTCTCTCAAATACCTTTCAATTTCATATTTTTAAAGAATTTTTCTGTTAATTTTTAGGTGCTAAAATCATCGATAATGCCACGGTAATTTTCAAACGGCTAGAAATTTACCGTCAGTAGAAACTGACGCCACGATTTCGTTAGTAGGGGCAGACCATAGCACCGTTGCCATGTGTTGAAATATGATTGAAAACTTGAGAAATTTTATTTATTCAATAATTCATAAATTCTCAATTGAGTATGGGTAATCTTCCCAGTTAGCAATAAAAATTCAAAATAATTATATTAATTCACACTAGAGGACATCTGGATCGATGAACGCGACAACACGTCCATTGTAAAATATGAACCCGACCCTTAAATGACAAATTTATTTCATTTTACAGAGACACTAAGTTTTTTTTAATGTTAACGATTGATCTTTGATCATTCTAATAAATGTTGTGGCGATGACTTTGGGTTTTCATCTGTGAAATAAATAAGAATACCTACCGATAATCATAAACATTTTTGATTTACCTGTCTCATATTGAGTATCAGTTCCGTGCAATTTATTTTTGGCATTGAAATGATATCATCCAGGTCTGTTACCCATTCGATTTCCCATGGTCCCCACAGTCTACATTTGTTGATCCTTATGACATGCCTGAAACGATAACAGATTATGATACCATTCTAGCTGTTCCTCTTTCCAAGTCCGAAATCTCAACCATTTGGTCTGTTATCTCTTTTTGAATAAATAAATATTCGCGAATAAGTTGACATGATTTTTTATTTCGTTGAAAGTTGAAATGGAATTTGTTCGACGAGATCTGTCGATGACAAGTTGCCCTGATACAGGGTGGTCCATTTATGTTCGCTCGGACCAGGCTGATTCGCGGTCGTCAAGGTAATCAGATGACGTTGCGATGCCATTATTTAAAAGTACGGGGAAACATTCTAACTCCTGGCATAGATTGAAAGTTAGACATGTTTTCCCTAGGGTCCCTTGATGTAAATAGACGTTAAAGTCATCTTAACAGGGTACGGACAGATCCTCGTCTCTTCTCACTCTAAAGTGTTTGTGAAACAGTTATATAGTTACATCTTTATTCATTCATGGGGATAAACACTAGATTTCTGTCATTTGTTGTTTTTTAGGTTATATTGAGGACATTGGCGTATCATACGTGATTTCCACATGTAATTTCTCATTCAACTCTACATATCATATCCAAATGATGATAATTTTCGAGTTTTTGATTTTTCAACTCCAGCATAATCTTTGTGAGGCAGTGAGTAATTTTTTCTGAAAGCTTAATACGTTTTAGCAAATAGGACTGTTCTTAGGCAGTACCTATCAATAAATGAATTTTGATTTCAGACTAAGCCTTTTATGGTTGAGAAATGGTGAAACATTTCATCTAGGTATTCAAACTAATGTGCTCATATGTAATGTGTGCTGTATATATTCACTTAAATGTTTCCTGAATGTAGGTATACTTTTTTAAATGTTGGGGCATATGCCTCTTCTCTTAATCATCCGTTTTAATCAAAACTGTTTCTACTAAAATGCACTTGTGGAGTGGATAATATAGGCACAAGGAGAAAGTGTAATATGTGATTTCGTATGTTTTCTCTCGAATATTTTGCTGATGTATTAACCAATTTTCCCCATTCGGTCACTTCACTTTCCATGTTCTAAGTTCATTTGCATTTGATGGAAAGCTGACAAATTCAAATTTGCCAGCCAACTGATTGATACAGCCTAACGCAGCACATTTTACCATCCTTCCAAAACAGAATTGAATAATGTCGTATTAAGATAAAGTATGAAATTAAAATTTTTAAAGATCTCTTTTAACGCCTATGAATGTGACGTGACAGCAATGTCATGTCAGGGACGCCAATTCACGCAACCAAAATCACTAGATGATTAAGAGAGAAAGGAGCTATGATCTGTCCGTACCCAGTTAGATGACAAATACGTCAGTTTTCATCAAGGGACCCTAGTGTTCCCGTAGTTTTAAATGTCATCGCAACGTCATCTGATGACCTTGAAAATCGCGAATAGAGATGAGACAAAAATTTCATCGGAAGTTATTATTCAAATTCACCAATCCACGCAAAGTACGTGACTTTGATGGAACTCACTGTTGAATTTAGTAACACGGTGTGAGCTACCCTTCGAAATTATTTTCGAGTATACAGGCTTATTTGGGTCGAAACAATCGATCATTTTAATGACTTACTCTAGGGAGACGATGACCAAAGATTTTCCAATTTTGTCTATGGCAGCATGCGCCCAATAGGTGTCGTGAACGAATCTAGAATTTCCAATGGTTTCCAAAAGGTGATGTCCCATGGATTCATGAACAGATAAAGGACGAAGACCCTTAAAATTTGTAAATCAGAAATTTGCGATATCAATATTCACTAGATTCATACTCTATCACTATCTCCAGAACCAAATGATTTGAATAACAAAGAAAATATGAAAATTACGTTCAATATCATAAATAAAAGATTGAAATCCAACTTTATTTTAACACGAAACAATGAAATTCATGATTACCAAACTAGACAACATGGTTTATTCCATCTTGATATCGCTAATTCTTCTAGAGGCCAAGAAAGATTCACCCACGCTGCTCTTTTTGAATATAACAAATTACCAGATAATATAAAAAATTGCAGAAATACAATAAAATTCAAATACCAACTTGAAAAATTCATCATCTCTGAACGAAATAGAAGACTTTTTTTCTTCAACTTTTGATTCATATTCAAATTGATTGTTGCTCACCAATATCAAATTATTTGTCAACATTTAATAGTTAATGTATTCAAATAATATATCATTTATGAGTTCATTATAATTGTATAGTTTTAGGTATTATTGTTAACTATACTCCCTCATACCAGAACTTGATTCGGACTGGAAGTCACTTTCTCAATAAATAAATAAATAGAATAATAGAAAATTCTCGTAGAGTATCAAATAATTTCATCAGAAAATCAAAAGTATCTCGATTCATTAATATTTATATACAGAGTGTTCCATTTTAATAGTTTTAACTATTGATAAATTCAGGTATAAACGAAAAATGAAAAAAAAAAATTGGAACATGAGAAATTTGCAAAAAGTACTTACAATATATTTATTTTTATATCTAGTGAGTCTTTGATGAATTTTGATGGGTTCTCCCAAAATCCAGGCTCTTCTTAAAGCTTCTCTAGCCACTTCAACGGTGTCTGACTTTTCGTCAGGATGTCTTGTTATCAAAGACAGTAGCGCTTTCCCAGTTGTCCTGAAGAACATTTCTCCATCGCAGTTTATTCCCGCTGCAATTCAAAGTAGAAACGTAGAAACAAGATTAGAAAATGGATAACAAACAATGTTCGACGCAAATATATTCAAGATGGCGCCTCCAAGATGGCGCACGAGTTTGTCATGTATTGTGCGATTTGACTGAGAATATGTCTTAGGAAAGTGGTATGGTGTATCAAAAATTGTTTCCATCAAAATTAACTGATGCTCAACACTGAAAACGCCTTCGAACATTTTGAAAAATCGTACAACTTTTCCAGTTAGCACCGATTGGTGCCAGAGATATTAGAGGGCATCACATTCATGTCACACATCACACCGATAATTAGAATGGGTGAGATTTTTCAAAACGATATCATAGTGAGCTCTATACCAAAAAACTACCAGTAAAGATAACTTTGAATTTTTTCATTCATACTATGTAGGATGATAAAAAATAAATTGAAATAATTATGTTCATTTCAAAACACAAACTTTCTGCGCCATTTGAAATGGTGTCAGTTCATTGGTGGTGTGACTGGTATGACGTATTAGTCTCAACATGCCTATTGTTTTTGAGCTGACCAATCACATTACAACTTTGCAGAATGGCAATGTATCAGAGAGAGATAGGTAGGTATAGTTCGGGTCTCATACGTCACGGCTCCACCTTCATATCTGGCTTTTTGAAATACTAATGATCCGATTCCCTTCAACTTTAACTTATAATATTGATTGTACATTAAATATTAATATTAATCATGATTCATCGATGAAAGAGGTTTGGACGAATTTCACCCCTCAGTGCCCAGCGAGCACAAAAACATCTCTGAGATGTTGAAAGTACGAGATTTCGAGACATTGAACCTCCACTGCGATGTTCTGTTCACACATGAATAGAACTATCATGGAACAGCCAATGTCCGCCGCAGGCGGCAATTATCGAGATGTCCTTGATATGTCACAAAACTACCTTCTCCTTAGTTCTTTTTAAAGCCTTTTCATGGACACAACAAAACATTTTCAACGCGTCTTGCGCACATTAAATCGCTGTAAAAAAACCATTTTCGAGGTACTTTTCTGAAGCCATTTCCCTTGTATGAAAAATGCATTAAAAATAGATTGAACATAAAAATATTTTCTTGATATAAAATTACCTTCTCAATCGGTTTCTGAGTAGTGCTTACTACACACAGACATATAATTGGAAATAGGTTTCCCAATTTTTGAAATGTTCTCCACAATGCATAATTTTGCAACTGCGGAGAAGCTGTGTATTGATGAATTCGTACTTTTATATATTGATTACACTAAAGTTGAACTTTAGCTCCTAGGAACTAAAAAGAAAGTACTGGACGTCATCAAGAATGAACAACATTGTGACGGTTGGTTATTTGGGTTGAGACGCAAACCTGATTTGTTTCCGATTTCAGCAGATTTGGAATTTCATACTGGAGATATTGTTTAGCTTCATTTGATTATTAAGCGAAAAACATTGTATTAGGTATAGAGAGGAGTAAATAATCGCCATTATCATTGTTGATATGCTCATTAACCTAACATTTTCCACGTCTTGTTCTTATAGCTCGCACTGGCGCGGTATTTGCCATTAGAGCACCTGGTCCATACACAAATATGTCACTCTGTTATTGTACTTATATTGAAACTACAATTCGAACATCCTTGAAAATTAAATGAACCTGTTGTTGATGCAGGTAGAATGTTCTCACTACCTACACGGATTATTTGTCAATATTTGTTGAATTGCATACATATGGCACGGCATTGGTGGTAACTTCACATGTTTATTTGAGGTAATTGTTTCGGTTGCAGAAAAAATAGCATGTTTCATTCGGATCAAAAGTGACTTTGTTCGACTCGCAAATTTTGCTTTCGCTCGGCTTCGCTAAACGCTCCGCCTCGCAAATGCAAAATTCGCTTCTCACAAAAAGTATCTCTTTTGATCCTAATAAAACAATCTACTATTTTCTTTTTACTTGTTTCTTTGGGATTTTCTCTCCTCGTTTCTATAAAATAAAAGTATTCGTATTATTTCAATATATTTGTAGAGGGACAAATCAGATGATTTGCCCCAAAATGTCACTGCGTTTAACAAATTTTTCTATCAGGGAGTCTAAAAGAAAAATCCAGTAGCTTGTCAGTGACAATTTGTTTGAAAAAATTTTTGAAGGAAAGAAATATAGATATATTGAAAAAATATCGAATTTGTACTTATCTTTGGACGTTTCGGGACCGATTCTGCTCCCGTTCTCAACATGTAAATGCAAATTATTTTTCTTTGAAAGTTGTGCTGCGTATATAGTTTGACACTTTTCAGTGTCATACTGATGTTGGCATATGAGTGAGTGATTTTAGTCTACAAATGAGTTACAGGATGTTTTCATTAATTGATCTTGAATCTACCATTTTCATGTTCAGTTTTCAGTAGTGAATACCATGTTCTATCAATATCAACTGAACAGGAAGCAATGCTATTGTCTCCGTTTAGAAGAATGCAAGCGGATTCCTTTATTTTTCTTTTTTGTTTGTTATCTTCCTTTCCTATGATTTTGATATTATTCCACTGTGCCATATGTTGTCCATCTTCAGTGAGGATATGTTCAGTTAGCTTCGATTTATCGATATGTCTTTTCTTGATATTGTACTTGTGTTCTTTTGTCCTTACTGAGAGAGGTCTCTTCGTTTCACCTGTATATATATATCTATATTTCTTTCCTTCAAAAATTTTTTCAAACAAATTGTCACTGACAAGCTACTGGATTTTTCTTTTAGACTCCCTGATAGAAAAATTGACGCAGTGACATTTTGGGGCAAATCATCTGATTTGTCCCTCTACAAATATATTGAAATAATACGAATACTTTTATTTTATAGAAACGAGGAGAGAAAATCCCAAAGAAACAAGTAAAATGAATGTACCACCTCCTCGATTAACCTACAGACAGTATCTACTATTTTCTGTTATAATAAAGTGTTCAAGAGTTGATTTACCGTTCTGGTTTTTGACCAGTAGTTGGCCCAAGGCGTTCGGCACTCCCGACGTGAAATTCCTGCTGGCGATGGTGGTCGCCTTGGGCGCGACCTCCGACTTGTGGTAGGAGCCGTGCCTGCGTATCCGCTGCACGTTCTCGATGCTCTGATTGGCGAAGACGTCGAGCACGCACGCCTCGACGGCCGCCGGCGACATGTTCACGTGACCGAGCAGGCATCGGGAGGTGTGCAGCAGGATGGCGGCCATCTTGTCCGATTCGTGTTCGCAGATCTGGAAGGGTGGGAATGAAATGAGTATTCGAACTATGAATAGAAATATACATACAGTGTGTCCACCTTAAGAACTTACCACCCCTATAAAATTGTTATTATCTGACCGATTGCAAAAAACTTTTTTTTGTTGGATAGGTATTTGAAATGTTCATCCAGCAAGAGAGTGATTTTACTCGTGAACTGTAATCGTGGCCAACTGCGACCAACTTTATTGACCCATATTTGAGAAAGTACTATTAGGGATTTTTTTTCACAAAAAACAATGATGGATTCTGAATCACGATCACTTGAAAAACACCTTTACTGATTTTTATCATCATAAAACACAGGGTGTCCGAAAAAACGAATTATGTTTTTTTTTAATAGGTGATCAGAAAATGTAGTATTGTGGTGAGAATTGATAACACATTACTATTGAGGAGCACTTTGAACATATCTGTACCAATTTTCATCATTCAAAAATACGATGTGTATGAGAAAACAATTAAAAAGAAAAAGTAGGCAATATTTGTTCATCAACTCAAAAAAAATTTTAATTTGATTTTTCGAACACCCTATGTTTAATGATGATGGAAATCGGTACAGGTATGTTCCAAGTGGTCCTGATTCATCTTTTTATTTTGAGTGAAGAATTATCAGGATGAAAAATATTGCTTACCTATCCTTTTTAATTTTTTTCTCAGACACATTGTATATTCAAATGACGAAAATTGGTACAGGTATATTTGAAATAATCCTCAATTATAATTTGTGATTATTTCTTTCTAGAAAAACCACAGAACTACATTTGCTGATCACCTATTTGAAGAAAATGATGATTCGTTTTTTCGGACACCCTGTGTTTTATGATGATGAAAATCGGTACAGGTATATTTCAAGTGGTACTGATTCAGAATCCATCATCAAGTTTAATGGAAAAAAATCCCCAATAGTACTTTCTGGAATATGGGTCATTGAAATTTGTCGCAGTTGGCCATGATAACAGTCCAAGAATTAGATCACTCTCTCGTTGGATGGGCATTTCAAATACCTATCCAACGAAAAAAGGTTTTTTGAAATTGATCGGATAATAACGATTTTACAGGGGTGGTAAGTCCTTAAGGTGGACACACTGTATAGTAGTGGCCAGCGTAGCCTCGTGGTTAAAGCGTCAATGTTCTATCCACGTTGGATTGTCAGTAGGTGGGTTCGATTCCCACCTCGACTGCAGAAATTTGTTTTTTTCTGTGACGGGAAAAAAGTTTGGCATTTCATCTTTGTTGGCAGGTTATAAAATGTAACTTTTCATAAATTACTTTTTTCCCGCTACGCGTCGGGAGACAAAAAACGGTGAGCTAAAATCTGATATTTTTCCCGCGTATAATACACTATTTTTTTCTATGACAGAAGAAAGGACGAATCAATATTGGGAAGATATTACATTATTTTGAAATCTGAAAATTATCGACGTGAAATTTTAAGTTTTTTACAGTAGGGACACCTGCGTTGTAGGCATCTTTATCATTCTTTTGAAGTAATCAAATATCTGATGTCACTTCTGTCAGTCTAATTCTGTGATTTGATTTAAAAAAACTGCGAATTTAGTGGTTGTTTAGTAATATACGTAACCGCGAAGTCGAATGGAAGATAAAAGGTCTTGCAGTTCTTTCTCGGAGACGGTATTATTGACTCATTTTTCGGAACTATAGCACAACAAAAGCCATCAACAGTGTATATATGTGATATATATCCCGGAAAAAAGTACTCACTCTTTTCCCACGGGAAAAAAGTAATTTATGAAAAGTGACATTTTATAACCTGCCAACAGAGATGAAATGCCAAACTTTTTTCCCGTCACAGAAAAACAGTTATTTATTTATTATACAAGGGAAAAAAGTAGTAGATTTTAGCTCCAGGTTGTGTTGTCAAGACAAGAAACCATGAGCTAGTTTTTTATGTTTTGAAACTACTATTCATTACAGAGCTAGTTCGCCATATTGGATCCGCCATCTTGAATTTCCCAATTTTGACGCAAAAATCATGAGCTCCGACCCCGCGAAAACCCCCAGACACCAATTTTATATGGAATCGGATCATAATCACAAAAATCGCCCTTCATATTGGATCCGTCATCTTGAATTTCCCCATTTTAATGGAAGGAATCATAATCACTGACCCCGATAACCCCTAGACACCAATTTGGAATAGAATCGGTCCATAATTACAAAAGTCCTTCGTCATATTGGATCCGCCATCTTGAATTTCCTAATTTCGACAAAAGACTAATAATCTCCGACCCCGAAAATCGCCAGGTACCTATTATTAATAGAATCAGATCATAATTATAAAAATTGTCTACCATATTGGACCCGCCATCTTGAATTTCCAAATTTTGACCAAGGAATCATAATCTCCGTCTCCGAAAATCCCCAGATAATTTCACCAATTACAAAACTCTTCCGCCATATCGGAACCGCCATCTTGAATTCCCAAATTTTGCCGAAAGAATCATAATCTCCGACCCCAAGAACCCCCAGATACCAATTTTGAATAGAATCGCCATCTTGAATTTTCAATTAATAAAATAGCTCACGACCGATTTTCAGAGCTACCAAATATGCACAAAAATTTTCATAAAAATGGCCGTTTCATAGGCTACACCGTGATACGAGCATTTTATACTGGGTGACACAATGTATCGTCCGACTTCTGTAACTTATGCATTAGTCAACGGATTTTTCTGTTTGGTACAGTTATGTGAGCAACTATTTCGATTTTGATGACATTTCAATCTAATATGGTGGACTTCCGGTTTTTCTGGAAATGCCAGCAACTTTGTTTTCTTCAAATGGAACAGCCTGTATATTTTTACATATTTAAGTTCAACAAGTCAAAACAAGTGCAATATTCATGACAAGATTCAAAAATGTAGTTTTCCACAGCTTACTTGAAAAATCATTCGAACTGCAAGGAAATTCCTAAAACTAAGTAGTTGTTGATTTCTGAATGTAGAATGTATACAATTTTTTACTGCACCGAAATACAAAAATGATATGTCATTTTTTTCCTTGATGTATGTTCTAGAATGTGAAGAGATTTTTCTGAAAATTACCTCGATTACTGGTTGAATCGCGAAAGTGTTGACTAACACTTGCAGTCCCAGAACGTGAGAATAATACTGTTGCAGAAATTGAGTCGAAGCCTGATGAAATAAGTGGTATACAGAATCGTATAATGTCCCACTGACTGCCACGTGTTCTATAGATGATATTCTGAAAAACAAAAAACAATCACATAGGATGACAAACGGAAAATGTACTATTTTTCTTACTTGTGATGCACTCCTTCTAAAGGCATGTAAGGCGACATGTTGTACGGAAAGAGATGGTCCAACATTTTGGTGAACGGGATGTCATTGCTGGCCAAGCTCATATGGATTTTATTGGAGATGTTTAGCTGGACGCCAAAGTTTGTCATCGTCAAATTTTCGATGATAGTTCTCACTTCTGGATGATCCTATATGAATGCAAATTGATTTTTTTCCAACCTCCAGTCTTCATTTTCAATTGGTACTCAGAAAGTTGTTGATTTTGACTCCGCGACTCCGGTTTCATTGATCTTATTTTATAAAGTTGGTATCATATAGGAAAAACTTTCAATAATAATTTATTTGGAAATTCAACTTGGGCGTTAAGTTTAGCTTTAAAAAGATGAAAAAGTTGTTTGATTTCATTATGAATAATTGACAATTTGTGTTGTAATAGGGATGTTTTATGTGTAGTATTTTCATATTTTTTTATATGCTTTATCTAAACTACTCAACACTAATTTCGTCGCACACCAAAATGTCGCTTCTGTTATAATGTGAATAACTTTTTTCAGTTTAGAACAATTTGAATTTGGTTCACACTGTTCGATAGCCCAGTCCTTCAGCTATAATCTCGTACTTCATTAAAACATAAGGGTATTCACATAAAATCTCTACATGGTGTTTTCCGACACTGTGCGAAATTTCGGAATATTCAAAATGCTCTCAAATGATGAAAACAAATTTTTTCTCAACTTCGACAACAGAGGCATGAAGATGATCTCATTACCTCGAGATATTTCGCGAATCAACTTCCTATCTCTCTTATTTACAGGGTGATCTCAAAAAATCAACTTTTTGGTTTTGCAGCCATAACTTTTTTTTACGTCAACCGATTTTGGAAATCTTAAGCTCATTTTGAAGATAAAACTTCAGATGAAGAGATCTGAATATCAGAATTGACTCAAGATGGCTATCAAAGATCTAGAGTTTTCTTGAAAGTGACCCAAATCTGGAACGCCCTCCGAATCTCGGTTGGGAGGAGAATTGAATGAAAATCAACTTGTTCTCGAAAAAACAATTCATTCTGGATGCGTCCATATTTTCCTCGCTCCCAGTAGTCAAGAATTGTGCGTGAGAAAACACAATTGAAACATGTTCTTGCAAAAACATTAGATCATTTCTACTCTGTAATGCATGGCCCGCCGTAACCAACGTTACAAGAATCACAATGAGTGACTGACAAACCCGACCAGCTGAGACTCATCATAAATGGTGTACCAACAAGAGCAACGGTTTTTGATTTTTTCAATAAAGTGATTTTTTTAACAGTTGTTGTCACGTACATAACATGCTATTTAAGAATATGGAGAAGTATTCAAGCAAACAACGTTGGTTTATTGTGAAAACGCATTTAAAAAATGGTGAAAGTTTCACGAAAACAGTTTGCCAATTACGTGAAGTTTTCAGTTGCAATAATGCGTCGAACGAATCGACAGTAATAAACAAAAAATTCGTGTCGGAGATAAGCCCTTTGAATGGATCGGACTGTCGTGTTTAGCAGATCCGCGATTTGGAGGGAAGATAACCCTTGTTCCCTCATTTGTGGAATCAGTTCCAACTGGTCGGTCGTTAGATGCGGCATCGAATTCGAAACTATCAAAATCTGTTTATGATTCGAAAACGACGTCTAACCTGACTTGTCAGTCACTTACTGTGATTCTTGTAACGTTGGTTACGGGCCATGCATTACAGAGGAGAAATGGTCTGATGTTTTTGCAAGAACATGTTTCAATTGTGTTTTCTCACGCACATTCTTGAGTACTGAGAGCGAGAAAAATATGGACGCATCCAGAATGAATTGTTTTTCCGAGAACAAGTTGATTTTCATTCAATTCTCCTCCCAACCGAGATTCGGAGGGCTTTCCAGATTTGGGTCACTTTCAAGAAAACTCTAGATCTTTGATAGCCATCTTGAGTCAATTCTGATATTCAGATCTCTTCATCTAAAGTTTCATCTTCAAAATGAGCATAAGATTTCCAAAATCGGTTTACGTGGAAAAAAGTTATGGCTGCAAAACCAAAAAGAAGATTTTTTGAGATCACTCTGTAGATAAGAGAGATAGGAAGTTGATTCGCAAAATATCTCGAGGTAATGAGCTCATCTTCATGCCTCTGTTGTCGAAGTTGAGAAAAAAATTGTTTTCACCATTTGAGAGCCTTTTGAATATTCCGAAATTTCGCACAGTGTCGGAAAACACCATGTAGAGATTTTATGTGAATACCCTCATGTTTCAATGAAGTACCAGATTATAGCTGAAGGACTGGGCTATCGAACAGTGTGAACCAAATTCAAATTGTTCTAAACTGAAAAAAGTTATTCACATCATATCAGGGGCGACATTTTGGTGTGCGACGAAATTAGTGTTGAGTAGTTTATTTCTTGTCATGTACTACGTTCTAGGGCAATCATTTAAATTACTTATTAAGTCAATGTATTACTTTTAAAAACAGTATGATACATCAATGGGTAATGGGATCCTGTACAAGCTCTCTGTTTTCTGGATCTGATTATGTGAAATAAATAAATAAATAAAAAACCAAAAAAAAAATGGCCTACCCGGTCGGGGTCACGATACTTTTGATTCAAGTCAAAAGTTGAATTTTTTCATATGAATTGCTGAAAATAGGTTCATTTGTTCGAATACCAAAAAGTTCACGAAGAAAAGTTGTTTCAGAGCAGCTACTGAGATAATGTTGAAAATATCGAAATCGATACTTAGATACACCCTGTATATGCCATTTGTTCATCTTTTTCAAAGCAAAACCTAACGCCCAAGCCGAATTTCAGAATAAATTATTATTTTTATGAGATACACTATATTCATGTGAGCGATGTTATACTCGTTTGGCAAGAATAATTTTCCCATAGAGAAACCGTGTAATGGGTAAGCGTCGTTGCCCCACCTACTCGAGTATGGCACGTGTGGCAAACGATAATTCCTGCGGTCGTGTCGAAAAATGGACTCCCTCGAAGGAGAGACTAAAACGATACATATGGCAACGTCGCCATGGGGAAGTTTTCTTCAGATGAATTTTCATAAAATTACTTCGTAACTCTCCAGTTTTATGTCCATGCTGTACAGAATGGCGACCGATAAAGTCCAAGTCGTTTTCATTTTCAAATTAAAGCACTTTCTAATTTCGGAGTGGCAAACTGTGACGTACATTCTGAATCTAGTCTGAAATTAGCTGAAGAATATAGCTAGCGAATAGCTAATGTGTGAAAAACGAATGAAAAGATAGAAGAAAAAGTAAAACTGGTAAACAAAAACACATAACCACAAAATGAACTCGGAGCAGGAATGCAGAAGGTAGTTGGCTTCATTCTGACAGGTTATGGTTTTGTTATTTATGCATTGAAATATCTGGAATAGAGCTCGATCCTAAACGAAAATATCATTGAATCAATGAATCACTATAGGGTACATTCAATGATACTATCCTTCCTAATTCACTGCCATCGGTCAGAACAGAATGAAGCCGACACCCATGGCTCCTTCCTATCGTTGTGCCTGTCAGTATTTTGAGTGGTGTGGACGGACTCGAAGTATTAGGCGCTGTTGCAAGATATAATCTGCAACCTTCCTAGAAAATAGATCCGTTTCATTAAGGAATGACTTCATTAGCAAAAGAATCACTGACAAGTTATGAATAAGATATTGTAATATAACGGTAGTGAAAAATTATAGATACTATCGCAATATATCATAATTCACCTTTATTAGTAATCAACTTCATTGAGCCAATGAGAGATTTATTGAAATTACTCATAAAACTTGACAAAGTAAGATTGAAGAACCTATTATATACCATTGCTGTTATGATATAGTTATTATGCAGTCAAAGAACAATTTTCGGAAATGTAGACATATTGATGATGTTGGCAACGTCGTACTGTCACAAGGAATCGTATTTTAACTCTGTGTGGATGTGGATTTTCAGTAAGTAAGTCAAAGGAATGGTGGAGGAGCCAAAAGTTCCTCTTTTATTTATTTTTTTCTGAATTGAAATTTGATCTTACGATAAACTTCACAGCGAGATAGAAACCTAAATATAGGAAACTTCCCCATTCTCTTCGTTAAAATGTCCATGCACAGAACCCATAAGTACGGTTTCCATATAGGAAGATTATCACTGCCAGACGTGTATAGAACGAACCGGAAGAAACTAAAAACTCGTATACAAGAACATAAAATTGAATGTGTGTTTGGGTATTTCAAGAAATTTGACTAATTAAATCAAAGGACTCACGTTATTCCTGACTGTTATCGATTTGTGTATCGATTTGATCTCGTTTACATACGATCTCGAATCTTGACAATTGAACATCCTCGTATCTCCCAACAACTTGGCCACTTTCAAGAACGTCTCGTTCTCCAAATTCAAGAAGAAACTGCCCAACCGGAACTTGACGTATCTGTAAATATCGGCTTCCTTCGAATACAACTTCGATAAGATAATCTCAGCGAATGGAGATGCTTCTTTGAGGTTCTGGGAAGGCAGGGGGTGTACAATGATGTTGGTAGTTTGTTTGTTGTCGATTTGGAATGATTGCAACCTGAAAATGGAACTTGGATTACTGAAGAGTCATTTGTCTGAAAATTCGAAACAATAGATCATGCTGCGTGCCACAGGACTGTCCCTTGGGGCCACTATTATCACTTGATTCATATGCAATTCATAACCGGTTTTACATCAATACATCAACCAGGGGCGTCTGCAGAAATAATCTCAGGGGAGGGGGGAGGGCAAGTCACAATAAGAAAGCAATTTAGAAAATATGCTAGCACACTTTTTCTATGTTCACAAAAAGCAATATGGCTACTCTTATTCATCGGTAGTTATGATAATCAAACTTGATTATGTGATTTTTGTGTCTAGATTTTGATTTTATCATTAGATTCTTTCAATTAAAATCGTCGAGTCGTGCAAAAAATAGTATATAAACCTCTGAAGTGAGTTCTTTCTTCCTTCAGTGCTCTGGCTACAAGACCACCTCGGGAAAAACCATGCACTTTACTCCCTTTTATTCTACATGAAACATGGAATGAAAAAAAAAAAGAAAATAAATTGAATTGACATCACATAGGTATTCATTGAATATTGAATATTGAATAATAGTTAACTCATTGAAATACATTAGTGCGTCTTCATATTCACGTACTTTGATAAACTAAATAACTAACTGTTTACCTTAGATCGCAGTACCGATGATTTTTTGACTTCCTGAAATGAAAATAGACGGCAGGCCTATAACTTCTGCGCAGCTCCGCAAAAAAAGGTTTGAGCATGAACATCCTTTCGAAGTCTATGTGCACGTATTCCTTGAGCTGGCATTTCTTGTAGTGTAGCCTGTACTTGTCCTCGATCCACGAGGCCAATTCCAACGTCAGTGTTTTCCATTTCTGGCCGACGTTCACCTAACGAATCATGAAAAAAAAAATTGAGAGTAGTGTAGTAGTGAGAGTAACTGTCCAAGATGACCTTCATTCACAGGTCACTCGACGATCAATCGAGATTATTGGCTTCACATGTGTCATAGTTTCAGCTTCTTCAATGTCAATAAATAATATATAATAATAATAATAATAATAATAATAATAATGAAAAATATAACGAATGAATCAATTATGCAATACTACGAAATTGCTCACAATTGAAATGAATTTATTTTTTCCAATACTTTGGATAAAAATCCAATATATTGGAAAAGAATACAATATATGGGACAAAAATCCAATATGTTGGAAAAACATCAAATATAATGGAAAATAATTCCAAGATATTGAAAAAAAAAACAATATTATATTGTATATATTGTAATATTAGAATGACACGATAAGACATTGAAATGGACGATGGAGATTTTTTAGATGCCAGATAAGACCTCATATTCCTGACGAAATTATAGTACCTGAAGAGAGATTTCAAGTTGAATGCATTGATATAACTTATTTCATCATAGCTTCATATGCAGAATTGAATATATGTATGTATGCAATTGAATGAAATATGATGAAATGTGTTGTGTTTGTGATTGTCAGTTAGGAAACAAGCGAAGCGACACATGATTGGAATGTTTTACATTTTCTGCGGTCACCACCGGTAGTGGAGGTGATGTTGAGCACCATTACTTATTTGTACTTTGCTGATGGTGAGAATGTCAGAATTTAACCTCATAGAAGGTACACGAAATGACGTTTGAAGAGTATAAGCAACAATAATATGTTCCTGATATTAGAAAAAATATCAGGAACTCTCCATCATATTATGGCAGCCTCAGATATGCCATTCCATCTTGTTGACGAGTGTATTTCTCAACATAAGAACGCTCAGAGGTTAAAAACTCGTGCTCATCCAAATTTATTCACGACAGTCATAGGCAGTTCCTGCCCAGAGGCTCGTTCTGCTTTGGATCGATTCGAAACTATCCCAAACTATTGAAAAGGATTATTTTCAGATATATCATGACCATGGAACAGAGGGATATATAAACATTTGAAGAAATATATTGAGAATTCGCATTGTCTATGTGATGAAAATATTAATTCTTTTTGGGTTTATTCAACAGGAAATAATTACTTTCATGGCTATATGTCACAACGAAGAAAGAGTTATCTATTGAACACACAACTAGTTCGTATAAAATGAAAACACGTGATCTGTGGAATACGAAACAGTCCTGAGAAAACGTAAGATGAAGCATTAATTCTCACCTCCCAAATAGCTGGTGTATCGCACAATGACACATAGACGTGTTCTTTGCTGTCGTTTTCCGAGGTAAAAATCGACAGTCCCACCCCACTAAGAGCCACCAAACCTTCCACGTGACACTGTTCCTTGAATATCTTCAACGCTCCCTCGTATATCCTGAGCTCCTGCGTCAGCAGCAGCGTTCTCTGCAATCCGTCCCTGTAGCACAACCAATAAATGGTGATTTTATCCTTGTGGACTTTTTTGTTGAGGTTAGGTTGGGTGTCATCCGAGCTATCGGAGTCTTCTGAACTGGAAGATTCTAGAGCGCTGGCAGTGGGAGTGACACTATGGATTCTAATATTTTCTTCTCCGTACCTGAAAATTAGACAGTTTAGTTAGATTTTATTGGTGACTTGGTGAGCGAGTAGATAAGCTAAATGGCTTCGAGAACAAAGAGTCTGGAAACCTCATCGTTCATCTACTAGTGAGTTTTTCAGAAACTCGTCGATATCTGTCTCACTCACCCATCTTTGGTCACGTCAACGGAAAATCCAGAGCCTTTATTGTTGTATACATTCCATACCAATTGCCTGGGTCTGGTAGGGTCGTCCCACGTGAACAGCAGGGCATGGTAAGGATTCAGTAGGGTCACGGGACTCAAGTCGAGCTGTTGTATCTTCAAAAACAGGTCGGCACAATAGTTCTTCACCAGAACTGGAGCGTCTCCAGGCTTGTATTCGTTGAATGATATTCTGAAGGAGTCATTTATGCCACCTGTAACTTCTACAGTGAGGGCTGCCTGAAATTCATGGAAATTTTGATAGATTTGTGATGATATTGAGGATGTTGATATTTACCCCTTTATCGACTCTCAAGACGGTCCTGTGTTGGCTGGATATAAAGAAAGAATGCGAGCTCAATTTGCTATCCCTGTATTTCACGTACATTTCCATCGAAGAAGTTTCTGGCCAAAAGATGGCAACTTGTCCTGGAGCCAGATCTGTCCAAAGATCGGTTTTTTCATTGTGTTCCATGTACCTGAAACAAATAGTCAAGTTAATATATACTTCCTTTTTGTGAATACGAAATACACCAAAATTAACACTAGAGATCCGAAAGAAAAACATTCGAAGTGATTTGGAAACAATAACGAATGAATGGAGAAACAAAAGAAGAAATGAACAAATATATATAGTTGTTGGGCAGGTTTTTGTTTCCTTTCTTCGGATTTGTTGGACTTTGTCTGAATCTGAATGAAGAAACAATCGAATGAACAAACGTAGAATAACAAAACAACAACAACGTAGAATAACAAGAAGAAAACGAAGGAATAAACGGAGAAACATAAGAAGAAACAAACGGAGGAACAGGCGAGAAAACGAACGATGAAACAAGAAATAAACAGAAAGAGGAAGAAAACCAGTCACAACTAAGCTGGGAACAGAAAAAACGAAACAGACAAACAGCGAAACAAAGATGAACAGAGGAACAGAGAACGCAAACGAATCAGAGCTGGGTACAAAAGAGTTGCCATTGGATTTCAAAAGAAATATTCCATCATGAAACCTGAATAGCTGCTCTCACTCACCTCAAAGGTTTCTCGGTGTTATTCGCCACCAAAAAACTGGGCAATATCGTCACGATTTTCGTCAGCCTCGGACAAATGCTGGACAGCCTGATGTTCAAGAAGAACATGTACTTTTTCTTCCTTTCCACATCTTTGCACACCACCAAACCCGTCGTTCCGGAACATTCCAGGCCGAAGTCGTTCGACCAATTCGAATCGTACACTCGAACTGTCAGAGTTTGTCTGACGTGTCTCTTGTAAGTGAAGAGTAAGATGTCTTCGTTCAGACATTTGTAGATCGAATTCGAAGCTGATGCCTGAAATTTTGTTAGTTCTTTATCGTGAATCAGCTAAGACTCGTAACAATATTGTGTTCAAATATCACCACAAAAAGTAGTCTCAGGGAGTTACATCTGGTGGCCTAGGTGGCAACTATACGATAAAAGGGTAACTCTATCTAATTGGGCTTGAAAGACAGAGACCTAAGAGAGAGAAACTCCAGAAAATAGGATAGGTACGATTACCTTGATTTGTAAGGGCAGTCCTGTCTTGTTGACGATCCAATATGGTGTGTAGAAAAACAAATGGCAACTGCCTTCCTCGTCACTTTTGACATTGATGACCAGGTTTTGCGAGTCCTCTTTGTTATCGCTGCTCAGTACAACGATTTTCTCGTCGAGATACTGAGTCAGATTCAGATATCCGCTCCAAGTGGTGGCATCGTGATTCACTTTGACGAATAGTTTCTGATCTTTAGAGAAATCTAAAGAGTATACGCTCGTCCGGTCTCCTAAACAGAATATAATAAAACTTCATCAAGCAGAAAATTTTACTTCATTAATGAGGATTTCCCCCTCCCCTTCAGCCGATTCACAAAGTATACTTATATGTCAGTACCCTGTATATAGAGAAGTACACTAGAAACGGCCAGTGCTGTACCGTCTCAATCATTTGAGATCGGGTTTAAATTTTTTTTTTTTGCAATTGCATAACCTTGTTGGTCCCAGTACTGGGACCAAAAGTCGAACTCAGCGCCTTCACGCTCTCGGACATCGAGTTGATTGTCAATTTTTTTAAAGAAAATATTTGATTTATCTCTTTCGGTTTCCAACTTTTGATTTTTAAAGAGAACACCTCGTATATTTCTTTATTGTTGGTTTCATGAGATCGTTTCATATACAGTATAAAAGCTTGAGATTGCTTCCACATGAATCAGAAGTGATGAAATAAATAAAGGGGAGGGTTACTTAGCTACGTGCACATGTAGATATATGTACCAAAATAGTACAAAAAGTTGTATTTCGTGCAAAATTAAATAAAATTTCGACTGACATAGATATTCTATATTTCTTCAAAAAAGGCATATGAGGAGGAATTAGCCAATGTAGTGAGCGCAGACATATCGCGAATAACAAGTTTCTAAAAAATTTTGATAGTCGTGAATCTTCAACATTCATTACTTATTTAGATGCCACAAATCTTTACGGTCACGGTATGAGTCAACACCTACCAACCGGTGGTTTTCGATGACTACCCGCAAGTGAATTAGTCGGATTTGATGTGTTGAGTATTTTAGATGATAATCTCGAAGGTTATGTACTCGAGGTTGATATTCATTATCCATTGTTCACGAAATCGTGTTGCCGAGCAACACCACAAGTCCGTCAGGACGAGTGGTATTGCTGCACGGACAGGATCTATTTTTTTTGAGGGTACCGATTATGTTTGATATTTCAGATTCATCACTGGGTATCAGAAGTATTGTTGAATCATTATTATTTGTTGGATATTGATGATTGGTTCATTATTATAAAATGTTCTAATTTCATCTGCAGTATTCTCGTCAATACTTGAAAAGTGTGAATTCATTTTCTCAGATATTTCTAGGTCGTTGTTAATCATATGGCCATCAATTTGTAACGATTCAATATCTGTTTTCTCATTATATTCGGATTTATTTCTCAAACAGTACCTAATTTATTGTATCCCACATTTCTTTTGGATTACCTTCTGAGTATAACTGTTCAAGGTCGACGAAAAGTTGTAATATTCACCTCAGCGAAAAACTCTCTATTGTCTCGCCTGATTGCCAGCCTCCGTTAGGCCTCGGATGTGAATTCGCAGGCTCGATCATAAACTATAATAGAGAGTTTTTCATCCTTGGTACATAAATAACTATTACCGAGAAATATCATTGATCTCACCTGGTTCGACTTGGGCGATTTGCTTCAAACCGGCATTCAACACTTCGACGGCGTAAGGCAAAAAGTTGTGGATGAACAATGGCGGCAACAGGTGCACCACGTAGTTGGGAATAGAGTGTGTTCTCGGGTTTTTCGTGTCCACGTTGCGCCTCAGCATCACCCGCAGCGAGAAAATCTCCACTTGGGAGTCCGGCTTGGGTTTGCACTGGATATTGTGGGCGCTGTCCATTTCGCTGGCTAATTCTTTCCACCATATACCCGAATCAGACGCATAATGACCCCTAAAAACCATCCCATGATTTGCCAGGAGGGATACAATTTTCAACATGTCTAACATCTTCCAAGACGAAGTTGAAATCATTGTTCCTCAATCAATAAAACTCCTAGTAACCTAGTAACCACTTCCTCATTTTGTCTGGACAGTTTCAATATTCAACTATGATAGCTGTATATTCATCAAATATTTATTATAAATGTGAAAGGGTGCGTATAGTACCTATATAGTGTGTGTGTGTGCGCGAATAAAATAAATAAATAAATAAATATCTTTATTTTGATTGATTGATTGATTGTCTTTATTACCTTTAGACTTTCTAAGAAAAAGTATAGGAATAGTCAGGTTGTTACAAATATATAAATCTAAAACTAGATGAATGACAGATTACATAATATGATAGACGAACATTATATCAAAGAGAGAAACATGGTCATTTATGAAAATATTCGTTATATTAAGCGAGTAGAAACACTTTTCTATGAGAAATGATTTCAAGCATTTTTTGAAAGAAGATACTTTTTTTGCGTTTTTCAAATAATCAGGTAAGTTATTGAATATTCTAGGACCTCATATTTGGTGTATTACTCAAAATATTTGTTCTGCTTGGTTGAATATAGAATTCGTTCCTCGAGCGAGTATTCACATCATGTTTATCACTGTTGCGAGCAAACAGTTGCTTGTTAACAAATACATAGATACATAATTCAAATATAAGGAGGCAGGGCAGCGTTAATATCGTCATAAGTGTAGTACGTGTGTATTTCTATGTTTATATGTGCTGTATATTGTATATAAATATTTTATCATAATTTATTTTGTTGTTGTTGACAATGGTATGAATGCCTAATATGTGAGAATATATGTTGTATTAAATTGATTATTTCTCAAACTTATTTTATATTGACGCAAGCATATATGTATTGATTAAATTGGCATCATTGCAATGACTTGAAAATGCAAATCAGCCAAATTGTTTCAAGTTTTTGAATTATATCGAAAAAATTTAATTTTTTGAATATCTATTTTTTTTTCTCCGTTATCATTAGAAATACAGAAAGCCTGTGAATACTTTTTCATAGCAACTTTTGATGACGTTCAACGTGATGATACCGATTTGTTCATGCGACGTTTCGTATTCGTAAAACCATCATCAACTGCATGACACAAGGTGGTTTGAATGGCTTTCGACCTATTTTTAGCCACCATCAATGTTTTTTCGAAATTCCAAAGGAAAAATTTCATGGGTTCCGAGATCCCCATGATAGACATCCTCATCGCGGACATACTATATATGGAAACGAACATAGAAAATCCCGAAAAATCTGGACAAATGAATAAATCATCTTCTCGATGAACCTACAGACAGTTTTGAATATTATTACTGAGATGAAGAATGAATGGAAAAATATCATGACTTACTCTGCATACGCGGGTTGTACGAAAAGTTTGCAGTGATAGGCGATATACAGGGGTACGTTGTATTCTTCTAGAGGTTCTATAACTGCTATTCTCATAGTGGTCTCGAACGGATTCGTGATATCACCAACTGGTTCCAAATTCATCTGTTGTAGAATTGAGGGTTGATACAAGATGCTGAGTGCAAAACAAGTCTCGTTTTTTATCTGAAACAAGTATCACATATTTCAAAAGAGAATCCAACAATTTTTAGCAATTATTTCTTACTTGTAATGGTGAGCTGACGACTACCATTCTTCCTGATTTCCCTGTATGATGCGTAGCTGCCAAATGGTAAGTCTGGCTAGAATCGACCGAATGCAATCTTATAAGTTTTTCCCAATTCCTTCTGGAACAGTTCGTTTGTACTGGGAGGAAGTTTGGCACGTATATCTTCATGAAGTTCTTGTTGATTTTGTCGTAGAGCTGAGAAGTCGTTTCGTCGGGAAATTGAAGACTCGAAAGAGTTTCGAAATCGTAGGTCGTTTCGGAATCTTCCTTACCATCCTCAGCACTGCTATGGGAAGATGGAAAGGAATTTTTCACAGATTTAATTCAAAAACTCGAGCTCGAACATCAACTTGTAATATATCGATGGATTCAGATGAATACTTACTTCAAGGGAATGAGAAAAAAAACATTATATGTTTTTGAAGAACAGTTGACTTTTTCATGTCATGAAAAATTGTGAAATTTCAAAAATATTTGCTATACACATTTGCATCCTTAATACGAAGGATAACGAAGTATTTTTTTCTAGGCAGAATAAAAAAAATGATGATTCGCGTTGAAAAGCATCTACACCTTTTCCAATTGTAATTCAGAAAGCGTCAAGTGTGATTTGGACAATATCATTTGTAATTCAGATTAGTTAATTGAAATTCAGAAAATATCAAATGTTATTCAGATTAGTCAATTGAAATTCAGAAATAGTCAATTGTAATTCAGATTGATCAATCGAAATTGAAAAAGCGTCAATTGAAATTCAGAAAGCGGCAATTGAAATTCAGAAAATGTCATTTGTGATTCAGAATGTATCATTTGTAATTCAGAACGGGTCAATTGTAATTTAGACTACGTCATTTGTAATTCAGATTGCTTAATTGAAATTCAGAATGCGTCAGTTGAAATTCAGAAAATATCAAATGTTATTCAGATTAGTCAATTGAAATTCAGAAAGAGTCAATTGTAATTCAGATTGATCAATCGAAATTGGAAAAGCGTCAATTGAAATTCAGAAAGCGGCAATTGAAATTCAGAAAATGTCATTTGTGATTCAGAATGTGTCATTTGTAATTCAGAACGGGTAAATTGTAATTTAGACTACGTCATTTGTAATTCAGATTGCTTAATTGAAATTCAGAATGCGTCAGTTGAAATTCAGAAAATATCAATTTTAATTCAGATTGGCCAATTGATATTCAGAAATAGCCCATTGAAATTCAGAAAGCTTCATTTGTAATTCAGAAATATGGAACAGTGCTTGTTGAGCCAAGTATAATGAATGTAGGTAATAAATTACACAGCAATATTTTTTTCAAAAATTACGTTTTCTGATATAACGTCATCATTTTAACTATTAAAATTGATTTCAATTGACCATCAATGAAAATAATTCCATAATTCTGAATTCGCTGGTTCCACATGAATACCTTCATAAATCCATCAGTCTGAATTACAATTGACACATTATCCATTACAATTGTTGCTTTCTGATTTTCATTTGACCAATCTGAATTACAATTGAAGTTCTCTGAATTTCACTTGTCTTATCCGAATTACAATTGATATTTTCTGAATTTCATGTGACAAGGTGTAGTGTATGCACACAACTGTACAGTGTTGCCAGTTGTATCTCAAACTAGCAACAACTTCTTCAATTTTTATGGAATATCTTCCAGATCATTCGAATTGAATTCTGATTATTCTTGTTTAATTTTTCCTGACTATTTTCAAGCTTCCTGTTTATGATTCGAATGTAAACCAACAAAAATTGATTTTTTGTGATATGACACAATTTATTCCTTTTTAGTATTCCTACAGAGTGGCTTGGAAATCAGTTTTCATTGAGGACTTATGAAAATCATTACTCAAACTACATAACTAATACGGAGAATTCAAAATACTCATTGAAGATGAAATAGCTCGCTGGTGAAGAAATATATATTTACCTGTCTTTATCGTCATAATTAGTTTCGTGATATTCTGAATAAACATACTGACTCTTCATAGGACTGCTGGGAGCTGAATCTTCTTTCTCGTATTTCTTCGCGCATAACAACTTATCTTCACTGTTGAATTTCTCGTAAAGCTCTATTTTGGCGTGTGGCCCAATATCGTTGGCCAAATTAATGAATTTTCTCTTGTTCCTAACCGAGATGATCTTATTCGAATATTGAGTGAGCAGTTCGTTGAGTAGTCTTATGATAGTCGGCGATACTGTGACGTTGAACGTCTCTTTGGCATCCATGAGGATATAGTAGGATTTGTTGAAATTCATGTCTGGTTTGTCTTTCGGTTTCTCGTTGTCTTCATGGTCCTCTTCTTCACTGGATTGGCCGCAATCACTGTCTTCATGCTCATTCCAATCCCCTGAAAATTTTTACTACCTATAGCCACATCATTGTTTATGGAGTTTTGACATCTTCAAGTTCAGTGGGAATCACTCTGAGTAAACGAAGCCCCAATTCAAAATTTTACCATAGTGCCTTAATCTCTGAATTGAACAGGGAGTTGAATGTCCCGAGAATTATAGCGAGAAAAGGATTTTCAAACTTGAACTTCAGAGGGATGTATCTATTTTGGATGAACCATGGGGAATTATTGCTAATATTGCCTCAACCACCCTGTATATTAGCTCGCCTATTTCTATCCAATGAACACTTCAGTTGATGGAAAATACATTGAAACATAACTCCTTATAACATAAAGGAATTCATCATTAGAAATATCATGTGAATTTTTCACAATATTTTGCTCTCTCAAGAAAGCCATAAAGACCTGGTAATCATGTAAATTATTCTGAATCCGCCCCTGGCATGGTCGCGTCTTTACTGCGCATGCTCACATTTGCCGTTCGAGCCTTGTTAGGGGACACTCGAATAGAACAATATTGGCCTTCTAGGTCTTTCAGTTCTGTTGATAATGCATGATAATATAGGCATGCTATCGCCATCTAGTGGCGTTAGTTTTTAGGTAGGACTATTGCGATCGCTTTTGGTACTGTATGACGCTGCCATCTATAGTCAAAACGTGCAGGCTCCTACGTCTACAACGTTGCAATGTGGTACTTCAAGTAAACCGCTCTGCTGACAGATGGCACTACCTGACTACTTGAGTGGAAGAACGACCAGTCCTATTCATTGAACAAGATCTTATAACTAATAATAGTAATAATATATTTATTTCATTCTTTGCTATAAACATTACATTGCATCTCATATAAATATATTTTATTAAGATTTACAATGAAATAACTTGAATAATTAGACAGATTGATATCTGGTATGAGATTATTCATGCGTTATTAAATCTAAGTTATTGAAATGAACAACAGATTCAAAACAAAAAGCTCATGAAAAGTACATTATGACATGATGAAATAAATTAGTGAATGAGAAATCATTCACTCAGGTTTGATTTTCTCTTTGCAACAAGATATGTTTCTTGACTTTAATTTTTAATTGGGTGATATTTGTGCAACTCTTGATAGGTATCATCAGGTCATTTATTCAATTTTGAGATAGCTCTGTGAGTGAACTTTTTTTGGCCAAGTGTAGAATTAGCAGCATCAAGATGAAGCAAGTCATAATGTCTAGTATAATGTTCATGGATTTGAGAATTCCTTACCAATATGAAGTTAGATTTGAGGTGTTTGTTGATAATATCAAAAGTTATTTTGAGAGTATTCATCAGATAGTGCTCTTCCAAAGAAAATGTATTTATTTCTTCATAAAGTTGATTTGATGGGATTTCGTATGGAAGACGATACAGTACTTTTAGTGCTTTTTTATATAGTACAGATATTTTGTTGAAATGTTTCTTGGAACATGAACCCCAAATATTCATGAGATAGTTAATTTTACTGAGGATGTGAGAGTATAGAATGGTATTTGCTGTATTTGGGATAAGTTTTAGACATCTTCTTCGGGCACCAACTATGGGAGAAATTTTTTCTTCGAGCATACCAATATGCTTGTCCCATGTTAAATTTTTCATCAATCCAAATGCCAAGGTATTTGGTATAGGCAGTTTGTTTCAATCTTTCATTGTTTATTCTGATATTCAAATCAATATTTCGTTTATTTCTTTGATGGAAAGTTATATATTGTGTCTCATTAGAATTAAGAGAAAGAAGATTGGAGTATAGACATTCTTCCATTTTCTTCAAATCCTCATTTATGTTGTTTTTTAAAACTACAGGGTTTTTGTTTTCGAATGAATAAAGAGATCTAGGATGAACAGAGTTACCCCAATTGTCAGCAGGAGAGGCCGAGAGCGGCTGATGAGGCCTGGTGGGCCGAGATAGTACTATCTGACACCTGCTGTTCATCCTAGATCTGTTATAGTTATGAGATCTAGTTGAATATCTACGTGTGTTTTTTCTTGACTCACCAGTGAACAAATCTGAAATTGCGGCCGCCAATCTTTCCATCGTCCCGTCCTCATTCTCCGAGTCAGAATCGTCCAGGAAAGTGGACAGACTCGTCTTCACCCTCCTATTGGTCCCCGTATTGACGTGGTTCAGCGGCTCCAGATACATCATATCCTCTCCGGAATCCTCATCTTCCGTGGTCGTCACCGACCTATCCACCATCTTCTTCTTGAACGTTTTCACTTTGGGCCTGTAGTCGGCGTTGTCCAGCATCGGCAGAGATTTGTCTTGGAACACCTTGATGATTATCTCCCAAGGTTTGTACTCTTTTTCGTCTATCACCACTGGTTCTATGAGTGGTTCCCAGCTCTGGACGTTCTCGTTGAAGTAGTTGGCTTGCAAGGTGAGTTCGCAAGTGCAGTTAAGGAGGGAAGACCAGTCGTATACTGTCAGTTCCACGGTCCACTTGATCATCAGCACCTGTGTTATAGTATCGAATACACTTAATTACGAAGAGGGCAGATTGTATTGTTATACGACGCTATACATAGTGGAGTGTTTGAAACAAGAAAGCTTTGCGCTTTTCAAACATATATAACACTTATATGATATTTCGAGTATAAGTCCTGTATTTGGGTAATTTTCAGTTTTTTATGTAGGTTTCTTATCAATAGGCCTTGTAAAAATGTGGCAACATTATCCACTTCACAAGTTTTCATATTTCCCTTATTGCTGACACAGTGTTTCGTCACACACTCACCACATTTACCAATATTCAGTACTATTAATTGCCTATGAAAGCTGTGGACCTAATTAGTAGGTAGCTATGAAAAAAATAACACAAATGCAGATTGTTTACAATTCTTGTCACCTACCTGTCAAAGTTTACAAATGTTTCATACAATGGCGAATAATAATCCAGGATATCAAAACTACGAGAAATTAGATATGGTTGGAATATATTACCAAGTTGGCTTCAATGCAAATCAAGCGAAGGACCTATATTTTGAAAGGTATTTACTATCTCCCAATTGCTGGGTATCAGTTAGTTACAATATGATAAAAAATTTAGGTATCCCGAGAGGAGACAACCAAGTAGGAAAATATTTGGCAGACTGAAAGAAAATTTGGAAAATTTTTGATCTTTTGAGAAGCCTAGAAAATGCCAAAAACGATGAAATAAGTGTCCTTGCAAAGGTAGAAGAAAGCAATAATTATACTTCTTGCAGAGAAATTGAAGAATCATTTGGTATTCCAAAGACAAGGGTGTCCAAGATATTGAAAAAGAACAAATATACCCCCTACATACCACAAACTATTCATTATTTGTACCCGGGTGATGCTGTGAAGCGCATTGAGTTTTGTAGATGGTATATCCAGAAGACGGAAGAAAATATAAATTTTGGGCGTTCAGTAGTATGGTCCGATGAAAGCCATATAAGTAGCGCTGGAATATTTAATCGAAATAATCATCGTTATTGGTCAAATGAAAATCATCACGTTACGGTGGTTCGCCAACAGCAAGGCAGATTCGGCTTTAATGTATCTTGTTTCGTTTATGGAGGAAGACTTGCCTATCGAATTTTTGACGGTAACTTGAATCACCAAAGATATTTGGAAATTTTAGATGATTGTCTTTCTGAACTACTTGACGAAATTCCGTTGGCTCAATTTAGACACAGTTTCTTCCAACAAGATGGCGCACCTTTTCATAACGTAGGTGCCATCAGGGTTTATCTTGATGAAAGATTTCAAAATCAGTGGATTGGTAATGATGGTCCCATTCACTGGCCGCCAAGGTCCCCCGACTTATCGATATTAGATTTCTTCTTATGGGGCTATATAAAAAATAAAATATATCACACGCGGCATGAAGATCGAGATTCACTGATGAATGCTACGAGAGAAGCTTTCGAATATTTACGTATGAGACCTATATTTTTACTCCGGTCGATTGACGCTATCCTCAGAAGATGTCGGCTGTGTCTTCAACAGAATGGGCAGCAATTTGAACAATATTCATAAGACATTTTCAACAGGAGAAAAATTAATAGAATTGTTTTGTAGTAGTGTTTGAATTTATTGTTTTATCAAATTGTTTTATGTTTTATCAAATTGTTTTTACCAATTTGTTAATTGAATAATCATTTTAAATGAATACTTCTCATTCTACCCTATATAAATGAGTGGTATTTAATTATTGCGCCAGAATATCTATTCTAAAAGTAGAAGTTATTTGTCTTGACATGCCATAAAAAACTGAAAATTACCCAAATACAGGACTAATATTCAAAATATCATATAAGTGTTATATATTTTTGAAAAGCGCATAGCTTTTTTGTTTCAAATATTGAAAAATATACAGGGTGTTCTATTTAAAAAAACATAACTTTGGGTTATATCTAAATAACGACAGCTTATTTCGAAAATCTGACGACGCCACTGGATTCCACGTAAAAAACTGTATGAGTGGCAGTTTTTACTTTTCCGATAGGTTGAAAGATAGCTGAGATACAGGGGGAGTCCCAAAATGAAATATTTTCAATTTCGCCCTGTATCTCAGGAACGAAGCGGGCTATGGAAATTTTGTTCACGGTTTCGTGAGTTTCACAAAAAAGTAGCCAACGTTCGCGAAAACCGCAAATCTCTATCTTCAAAATTAAGCGAGATATCCCGTAAGGACATCGAAAATGGGACAGCCTGTACTCTGTGGTAATCATAAATCGATATATCTCCGGAACCCTTTGACACATCGACTTGAAATTTTGCCATCTTATTGTACTCCAAACAGTATCATGTCATTAAAATATGAAGGAAATCGGAAAACTCTAAGGTGGTTTTTCCGGGTTTTATTGATTTTTCACCGGAAGTTTCTTGTGACCACTCTACAAATCGCAAAAGTGGTCCGATCGATTTCATTTTTTGTGAAGAAAAACTCTATCAGGGAGAGACGAAGCCTATTGAAATTGAGCAGGGTCATAAAATTCCAAGTGGGTTTTTCAAGGAGATTTTCCGAAACACACGGTTCGCTTTAAAACGACATATCTCCTGAACCAATAGACTAAATCCAAATTTGAAAAATGCACCGTATGCCTCTTTGATGACGCAACAAATTATTATTCCACCATTTTTTCGTGCATCCATCGGAAAATGGAAAAACAAATGAAAATCAAAACATCAAAATTTGAAATCCTTTCAATTCAATATATATCGAAAACAAATGGATAAATCGAAAATTATCAAGAGTGCAAAGTTATCCACTGGAACATTTCCTACAAATTATTTTCCATATTTTTTTCTGTAAACCCAATAGTACAGGAAATAAAGTGAAAAATATGAAAACCAAAATTTCAACGACTCATAGGGTACTATGAAGATATATTGAAAAACAAAGATTATCGATAGATGAAGCTCATCGACTTCCACTGAACCATAAAATATTTTTTCATTTTGTTGATTGGAAGATGGAACAAAAGTGTTGAAAATTTTATTCTCAGATAATTCCAAATATCTCGAAAACAACTGAAAATATCTGAAAATGTTATGGAACCAAAATTATTCCTTTTGATAGAATCTACAAAAAATCCGAATAACATTTTTCTCTGAATTCAATAGATCGGGAGATACGATGAAAAAACTAAAAAATTTACAAGTTCCTAGATAATCACTTGCCAATAAAAAACAAAACAAAAAACAAAAGAAAGTAAAAAAAGCACACTCGACTGTCTTGATTTTTTTCCACAAACTACGTACCTAGCTCACTCGACTGTCTTGATTTCCCACAAAGAAGAAATATGTTGGCATTGTTTTAACTTTCTTTTGTTTTTGTTTTTTTAGTCCCTATTGGCAGTCGAGTGGGCTAGGTACGTAGTTTGTGTGGAAAAGCCAAGACAGTCGAGTGAGCTAAGTACGTAGTTTGTGGAAAAAATCTCTAGTTCTCTGAACTTTCATAGCGTCGTATACACATCTTTGGTGTCCAATGATAGTTTCAATATAAAAATATGCTCATGATATGGTGCCATGGCCTCTACTTCCATCTCACATGAGCAATGATAAAATATCATCTGCTTTTATAGCGTCGTATAAATTATCTGAGCTCTATACTAATACCTAATGAAAACTACATCTATACTCATCTGATACCTTTCAAAAAGTACGTACCTCACTTGTTTTACTGTGTTCGATACGTCAATGAGGTACTTTGTATGTCATCAATTTCATTTTCGTATCTATCACAATGACTTCATTGTGTTATTATTTCAGAAAACTCTCATCGCTCATGGAATGTCAAATGTGAAGCAATGACAACTCTGTCTAATAGATGAGCATTACTTGACAGAAAATCAGATGGCTACAAGACGAAGAAATCGAAAATGCCGCTGTTATCTATTATAGCCGTAGAAAAATTATAGTGTATAACTTGCACGGATTGCTGATTCCCTACTCGAATGATAGCAGCATTCGCCTATGGCTCATGCTGCAAACTTCATTCTCGTAGGAAATCACTATCATTCCGTGCTCGTTAAACAATAGTACTATTGTATATTGAGAATTATATCTGATATTGAATATTGATATTCTATTATATTTGGTATTAATTCTAACAACCTGGACTTGTTCCAGTTCGAGGATGACCACAACATCGAACTTGGGCACCAAGAGGATCTCATGAACCGCGACAGTGTTGTCAGTTTTAACGTCTTCGGAACTGTCGTACAGCTCCACGAAGTCCGGCAGCTTCTTCGGGTCCCACAAGTCTTCCGGCTCTGGAGTTTTCACGCTTTTCTTCCTCTCGACCTTCGGGGGCTCACATTCGGGCACTTTGAAGTGTTCCACGATGTCGTTGAGAATGTCGTTGATGGAATGCACCACTTCGCTGCACATCTTCAGGTAAATCGAAGAAACGGCTAGGGAGATTTTCTCGCCAGACTCGCTGGAAAAGGATTTGCATAGCTCCAGGTCGCATTGTTTGAGGATGACGTAAGGTTCTTCGGAGTATTCACCCAAATCGAAGAACAAGCTGTGCAGACCCGAGAGAGACATCACTAGATTGAGCCTGTTGGCGTGTCTGGAATAGTCGATCAGTATTTCGCTTTTGGTGATGAAATATCTCTTCTTGTTGGAAGTGGTTTCTACTAGGAAAATCAAGTCCGGCTTGTTCACTCTCACTGACAATGTGAAGCTGGTGAGATAAGATTTCTGTGATACCGTGTGGTAAATGTCAGCTTCATATCCAGCATTTACTATTCCCGTGTCCAGATTCTCTTTGGGAAGGCACTCGATGATGAAGAGAGCTAGTTTTTCGCCGAAAGGTATGGAGAGTATTAGGCTGAGTCTGCCTATGATGACGTCAGCCGATTTATCGCCCGTTTTGTTTTGGTGGAAGGTTATGTCGATTATGGGAGGTTTGTTCACCGTTATGTGGCAGTTGTTGTTTTTGTTTTCGTCTCTAGGAGATTGAAGAATTCTGAAACCAAAACACAAAATTGTATTTTGTTTAATACCCTGAATCATTAAAATTTAGATTTGTTTCCAAAGTTGAGCTTTCATCCTATGAACCATGCTCAAGTGAGTTCAACCTGAAAGTGATAGACGCATTATATCAAATAATTATAAAATGATAGAGAATGATAGATAGAAAGTAGAAATTAATCCGATTTGGACGTTTTTTGTTTTGAATGGCAGGTTATCTCCTCCTGAACATTGATGTGTGAACATTTTGATCCATTTGATCAGTTCCGCCCATATACAGATTACTTTCAAAGACAACGCATACAACCTGGTTCCTTCTGACAAGTGCTGAATAACTAATAACGTCGTTTCCCGCTCAATCATCCAATTATTGGACCCATCACATCACACCCATCACTGAGTATAAGCGCCTAGCGTTGCCAGATGGTAACACGGATATTTGATGCAAATTTTGTACACAGAAAACATTCCTGCAATTGTTTTTCAATATGTCACATATATAACTTGGAGCATCTGCAACATAATTATGGAAACACAAATCGCAAAATCAAATGCGTGAAAAAAGGATGATACGTACACGAACGTGACGTCTATGTTTTAGGTCAGTTCAAATAAACTCAATGGTTCACAAATTCACGTGGCTGAACCAGCCTGTTCTTTTGCGAATCATGTGGGCTGTCTCCCAACCTGATAGCTAAAAATTTGAGTGTCTGGGAATTATTTGAATCTCTATCTGACTAGCGTTGCCATATGGCAACGCACGGCGCTAATGGGTTAAAACAGTTCCCTCAATATTCCTCCCATCTTAATACTCCTTATATGTATAGATAGAACATACTTACACTTTATCGATGGCATGTGCTTCTGGACCAATTTCTTCAATGAAGACAGTATCCACCGAGAGTTTTCCGTCCAAGCTCTTGTCGTTATAAACAAAAAACGAAATATCTATGTCTAGGATTTCCAATTTGCACAGCCCGTGATTCAAGTCTCTTATAGGCGAACTGAGCAGTTCTCCGGAATCGAAGAACAACATGAGTTTGACCTCTTCTATGGTACATTTGGCCACGACGTTCTTCTGTTTCGGTTCGCAAAAGAACGCTTCCAAGGTGCGGACGCTATCGTCAGCCTCGGTCGGATCGTTGGGAGATTTCGTCTGGACCGGAAACAGATCCAGGATTTTTCCCTCTCCGATGTTGTCCGTGTAGATGGCCATCATCGTGGTGAGGTCTCTCTGACCGAGAGTCACGTGGATCGTGTCTATGACGCTGTCTATTTCCACCGAGATTTGGGATGTTCTCGAGTTTGTGAATCTTTTTATGTCCATGTTCAGGATTATTGGTTCGATGAGGGTTTCCTTGAAGAAATATTTTGAATTCATATCTTGAAAATAGGACAATCAATACAAAATCAAACAACTCTGTGTCAAATAAACTATTAATCAATAAGGGTGTCCCACAAGGCTCTGTTTTAGGACCTATACTATATGAACTTTATGTTCAAAATATCAGTGAAATTGGTCTAGCGTGTGAATATACCATGTATGCAGATGATACAGTACTTTTATATGAAGGCAAGAATCCTTCATAATATTTAGAAAATATGATAAATGAAGACTTGAAAATATTTGAAAAATGGCTCCAATCTAACCTTTTATCGATAAATACTAACAAAACAGAATATATGATTTTTCACCAAAAAAATAAACAAAAAATTCACCTCAACCTCAAAATAAAAAATGACCTCTTGAAACAAACTGACCAGATAAAATATCTTGGTATTTGGTTTGATGACAGGTTGAAGTGGGACAAACATATTGATGTTCTGACAAAAAAAATATCTCCAATTATTGGTGCATTGAGAAGATGTCCCAAACTTGATATTAAAATTGCAAATATGATTCTCTACTCTCATATACTGAGTCGTATCAACTATTTAATAAATGTTTGGGGATCTTGTTCAAAAAATAATTTCAATAAAATATCAACATTATATAGAAAATCGTTAAAAGTATAGTATCGTCTCCCATTTGATACACCAACCAATCAATTGTATGAAATAACAAATACGTATTCTTTAGATGAAATATATAGAATTGAAACTCTCAAAATATCATATAATATCATAAATAAAAAATTGAAGTCGAATATTATTTTGATACGGAATTCTGAAATTCATAATCATGAAACTAGACAATATAACTTGTTCCATCTTGACGCCGCTAGCTCCCTAATCGGACAAAAAAAATTCACTCATTCAGCCTAACTGAATTCAATAAACTACCTGATAACCTGATAATATAAAAAATTGCAGAAATATATATATATATGTATATTCAAAAATGAAGTGAGAAAACTGATTATTTCTCAGCGGCTGGATGAAATTAATCATGCCATTTTTTTTTTTTTTACAAATATTATTCTTTGTTTGCCAATTTACAGTTGTTGATATATTTTGAATGATGCTATGTTTACCTATAGAGGTATATAATTATGTACTTCCTTATACCAGAGCCTATTCTGTCTGGAAGTTATTTGTTCAATAAATAAATAAATAAATAAATACATTATAAAAAAAAAGTTATACAGGGTACTTATTTAAAAAAAGAATGTGGCTTCGTTGCTAGGGACGACAATGATCATTAATGGATATTAAATATAAATGTAACGATTGTATCGTTACACACTATGGAAAACAAGTTGGGTTTGCTCAGTGAAAAAATGTCGTTACGTGTTCCGTATTCAATATACAAGGTGTTTTTACGATTATGTCGAAACTACTGGCAACATTGTGATGAAATATTATAAATATGTTGTGGTAGCTGACACAACGCATGAATTTGTTTTTATATCTGACTCTCACAGAGGACGCTAGGTACACGGTTCGTACCGAGTAGTTTTGAATATAACTTTTTTGAGGTTAGACTTTTCCAGTCCATTTCTATTTCTTGGTGAAACTGATTACTAAGTACCGTTTTTGGAATAATGTCACGACCCATGGCTACAGGGTGGTGACTCGGGGGTGAACTCGCTTGGGAGGCCGAGAAATCAAAACAGTTGTTCGTTATAAAGCTACAGTTTATTGAAAGAAATTAGTTTCATTAGTGATTTAAACAAACGAGATTCAATGCAAACGTACATACATCAGACTTCGCAATGAAAAGAAACATTTAATAGTTTGACAAAATAACGATTGTGACAGTAGTACTTACAAAATAATCTCTAGCAGGTGCAGGGGATGAACCATAGTGAAGGTTAGCTGATCAGATCCAAACTGATGCCTTGCCTTATCGGCTGTTCGATATTTATTTAGAATATTTTGATGTAGTCAGCGTTTTACTCCATATGCGGGTATTTCATTCCGGTTGAATGAGCTGCCAACGTGAGTGAAACATTATACTCGTTTCCTTTAATCGAATGTTATACGATAAAATGAATAATGAACTTTTATTAATGAATCTTGAATCAATATAATTTTGAATAGTGGCTATGAATATTTTTGGTTCCTATCGTGACAATATTTTGGTTCGAAAGTAATGAAGTGATAGCTGATGCTGGTGTAAAATGAGTATTATTTAAATCAATTAAGTATATATTTTTTCGACACCAAAAATAATAACGTTACTCCAATGCTGGAGTTATTTATTAAACGAAGAATCACAAGAAGAAAATTAAGATGAATTTGACTAAAGTGGGCCCTTCACATCCAGTTTTCTCCAGTTTCCCGGCGTAACAACCATACCTTTGAAGTCATCCATTTCGATGCTTGGTATTACTATCAGCAATAACCTTTCTTGGGAAAATCACGTGAGATCAATTGCTAAAAGTGCATCCCAAAAACTTGGTTTTCTGTTTCGGGCCAGGAGCTTTTCACTTCCAGTCAGCTGCTTGTGATTTATAAGGCACAGATCCGACCTGTCCTGGAATGCTGTTCCCATATTTGGAGTGCAACACCCAAGCATACCCTGAAACTGTTGGATTCTGTCCAAAAAAGGGCAATTCGTCTCGTGGATGATGCCTCGCTCACAAACTCACTCACTTCTCTGGAACGCCGTAGAAAAGTTGGCGATCTGGCTCTATTTTATAGATATTTTCATGGACGATGCTCTTCTGAAATATCAACAATTGTTCCTCCCTTGGCAGTCCCCGCGAGATTAACCCGTCGAGTTGAGGCTTCGCACCCCTTCGTGGTCACTTTGGAGACCAGCAGAACATCTCTTTCCATGACTCGTTCATCCAACGAACAGCGAGGCTCTGGAACACATTGTCAAGAGAGGTGTTCCCCGAGGCATATAATCTCCAGAACTTTAGGAAGACCACCAATTCCTACCTTATTTCTCTCACGATGTTCCCTGAACATCATAGGATATCCCTTTTCGTGGGAACCAGAACATGGAAAAAAATCCAATTATATCAAATTCCTTTTAGAATATTCCGTGCTTCTTATCTTCCATAAATATGAAAACTCCAATAGAGCTCGTTAAATTCTGTAGAAAAATAAAGACAACTGCCACACAACTTCCAAAAAGTTATTGAAGCATATAGTGTGAATAGTCTTATTTTAACCCCGAAATGAACGTAATTACATTCAAATTACCATTATGCAATTATCTCTGTTCCACTTATTATTATATGATTCAACTGTTCTTCTCTTGAGTCTGGATGGCGCGTGAATCATCCCTGCAAGTTCGGTTTTTGTTTTTTTTTATTTGATTCTCAATGAATAGAGGTTCAACAATAGCTATCACTTCATCATTTCCAGATCGAAATATTCCGAAAACGGTACAGGATGATTCACCATAAATGTCATATAGTCAATAGCTCAGTTATTTTTGAACCGATTTAAAAATTTGAAATATCATCTCAAATGATTTTCGATAAAGTTTTTTTCTGCTACATCAGAAGATACAGGGTGCTCGGAACAAACGATCTACAGGGTACTATTTGATTTTTTCAAATGAAACACCCTATTTTTCATTTTATTTTCAGATTCTCCCTGAAGAGCTGATTTCATCGATGTACCACACTCGGGTCAAGCGGGAATGATTACAGAGATATAGGGTGTTCAAAATCGAGATTTTTCAACTTTAGGATTTTTTGGTGACGAAACTGTTCATTATCGGTCAAAACGCCTTCCATGTCCGTACCACAACTTTTTATTTACTATCTACTGACATTTAATAATTGGAACAGATACAGGGAGATCAGAATTCTGAATCTTGAACCACCCTGTAAATGTTCCAATTAAATGTCACTAGATAGTAAATCAAAAGTTGAGATAGGGACATGGAAACCGTTTTGACCAATGATGAATAGTTTCGACAGAAAAAATTCTAAAGTTTGAAAATACTCGATTCTGAACACCCTATATCTCTGTAAACATTCCCGCTAGACCCCAAGTGTAATGTATTGATGAAATCAGCTCTTCGGGAAGAATCTGAAAATGCGATGAAATACAGGGTGTTCCATTTGAAAAAATCAAGTAGTACTCTGTAGATTGTTTGTTCCGAGCACCCTGTATTTTCTGATGCAACGGAAAAAAAATTCTGAAAAATTATTTCAGATTATTTTTCAAATTTTTAAATCGGTTCAAAAATAAGTGAGCAAGAGGGGGGGGGGACATTTATGGTGAATCACCCTGTACATAGAATCAAGTTTCACCAAGGATATCATTTTTGTGTGAAATAAATGAAATTTGGACCAGAAAACGAATTCTTGCGATGTTTCATCTTTCACAACATTTTCACACAAAATTTCATTACAATGTTGCCAATAGTTACGACGTAATAAAAAAAGGATGCCGTAGCGAAATTTTTTCATTGAGCAAACCGAACTTTTTTTTCAGTAATATACAGCTGTATGCAGAAAAAAAGGCGTACAAGTATATTACAGAGAGAAATTAACGTCATATTCTATTTGCGTAAAAAGGGCTATCAGAAATGATTGTTTAACAAAATGTTGACAGTAAAGTTGTCATAGGTTCTAAAAAACACAAAGCATTGGCTGAGATAGTTTCACACAAATAGAACTAGGATGCTGTAAACCTCTCTTTTTAACACTCGTACGCTTTTTTATTGAATACGACTGTACCTACCCTAGCAACTGGGCCACTTTTTTTAAACACCTTGTATACAGCAATGAAAATCGAAACAACTGACGTGTACTCTTTCCTTACTTGCATTTCTAGTGTGGAGGTGAGAGTCATGACTCCTCTGGAAGCTGTGACCCCATTCAGCTTCACCAAAATATTTTCTGTGACTTCAGTGGAGTAATCTTTGAAGAAATTCTCGACTTTCAGTTCCCCTGAAAATCTACACTATAACACGGCTGAAATACCTGCGTTTGTGGTTTGGAAAACCTGCCTGTATCGAGTACCAGAACGTTCGGCGACTCAGATTTCTGAGGGATTATCAATACAGGACCGGACACGTTGATCGCCAAGTTCATCTTGGTGTTGTTTCTCAACGTTTTCGTGATGTCTGTCACTATGTTTTGTAGCTTGGAATATACGTTCTCCAGAAATGGCATCGCCTCCAAGTTCAGAACAAATCTCTGAAGAAGAAATGTAGGAAGTTGGTTTTTCAAATTTCTCATGAAAATATCACTTGAGCTCGTATATTCAGCTTCATTGTCAGATTTGGGTTTCACCAAAACTGGCTCTGAAGAAAGCCGTGCTGAGGAGTATAGGCAACACTGTCTGAAAGTGCCATTTGCACATACACGATATACGGCCTGGGAATGCAACGAAGAGAATTTGTTTAGTTTCAAGAGTATATTGAGGTACTATCGATGTGAAATATTGTTGAAAGTCAGGAAGGAATATTCTAGTGATCGGGCTTGTATGTTTTGAAAGTCCATCAAAAATTGTTTTTGAATTGAGGTTATGTTTTATGTTCACTTATTTATGGAAGCAAAGTGAGTCATTTCAACATTTGTTATAATTCGAAATCTGATACCGTTATTATTAAGTGAATTTTCAGGTGGCTTGTAGTTATGGCAGCATATTCAATATGCAAACTTGTATAAGCACCGCTGCTGAATACCTACCACTTGTTCTAGTTTCTATGATAACACATATCAATGTTGCTGTAATTTATCCACCCTATAGTGGTTATTCGACCATTGTCATGAAACAGCCTGTTTCCATTACTGGCACAACCATTTTGAGGAAACGCAGTAATTCGTCTCATTTTATTATAGTTATCTGATATCTGAATGAAACCTGACATTTTGACATGATATTGAAATCTAGGTCATTTTCAACAGCTATCCCAATATTTTTCTGCTCTAGTATACTCATCAAACAGTGGTAATTAGGTTATCTAATCAACATTGTTCGATGGTACGCATCATGAAACCGTGAGTTGAATTACTGCAATGACAATAAATATTCTATCCACACTTACTTTTCATGATCCGAAGTGATTTATTTTTTCAAAAAACAAAAAATAATACGACCAGCTTCTGAATTGAAATATCTGGGTTTCTCTGGAAGTTATTTTGACATTATTCATTGATTTTTTCGGAGAAATATCATCTATGCATACTGAATACTTATATATTTACTCTTCCTACGGAGTTATGATGAGAATTGGCAATACAACTTTCCTTACAGAAACCCAGATATTTCAATTCAGAATCTCATCGATCATTTTGTTTTTCGAAATAAACCAATTTTAGGCCGTGAAAAGTGGGTATGGAGAATACTTTTTTCATTGCAGTAATGCAATGCACGGTGTATTTCACAGCTCGGTTCACAGCCAGCACTAAAACAAAATTTTGCTACATCACACACCTTCACCCACAAGACACGGCTCTATCGATTGGGACGATCGAAACCATTGAACAATAATTGAACACGGGCACCCATGACCGAGAACAGAAGTGAAAATGAACGTGATCTGTAGCTTTGTCAGTCCCAAAACTAATGGAAAACTAGAGCGAAATGAGCCGAATTACGATTGTCGAATGATTGTCTAATAACAGTCATACATGTGAATTGCTATAGTTATTTGTCAACGTACAATGCTAGAAACCCAAACTATGATTATTTGGACAAACATTATCTGAATTCACCAATAAGCATAATATTTCACGAAACAAGCTATGTCAATAAAAAATCTAAATAGACTAGAATTTTAAAAAATTCTATCTGGTAGATATTTTTAATATCCAGTTTCTCTCAGTGCATAATTAAGAATTTATGAATTTTTGAATACCTAACTAATATTTCTGAAGTTCCCAATCGTATTTCAACACATGGCAACCGTGCTATGGTCTGCCCCTATTTACGAAATCGTGACGTCAGTTTTTACTGACGGTAAATTTTTGTCCGTTTGAAAATTACCGTGGCATTATTGATAATTTCAGCACCTAAAAAGCGACCGAAAAATAAAAAAAAAAAAGATTTTAAGGTATTTGAGTGATGATTCTATTTAAGAAATTCAAAAAAACTAGTCCACTCGCTTATAACGTTACGTTAGCAATGTTGCCTATGTCGCAGTGATCGCAAGTCGAGAGTAGGACTTTCGGATCACGGCGATGCGGTGTTGCATTTCTCTCACCACGGCTTATTATAGAGCCAGCTGTGGTTTCACTAACCTGCAGTTGGACAATGAGTTTGTACAAAAATATGCAGTTGACTCTACCCAACTGAAATTTGAAACTACCGTCTATAAAAGAAACGTCAGTGTTTGGTGAAATGTCAGCATGGTGGTTGAGATGGGCAGCGTTTCTAACGTATTTAATATCGAAAACTTTGTCTTCATCTGTATAGAGAACCTAAAAAGTATAATAGTCCCTCAACACCATGTAGTATATTTGATATTCTGATTCTCACCTTTGAATAGAGTGTAACATCAGAAAGATGTTCGACCGAAATGTTGCTGAGAAAAGATCTAAACACGAATCTTTCGTTGGCCCTGAAAAGAAAATCCATCTCCAGTCCGGAAAGTTGAATGTTGACAATATCGAAATCGGAATCGCACACTGTGATGTTGAGGTCTGCCAACCTGGCAGAGTGAGAAAATTTTATGGAACCAGGTGGAACTGGAGTGTCAGTTTTGACGTGAAGAATATTTTTTATTCGCCCGATGGTTTTGAACAACGTGGTTTTCAAAAATGGAGATATCTGATTCTGGATCCTGAAAAAACATATGAATATACAGGGTGTCCCTGGACTTCCTCTCTTCCTTTCGGGAATGTATAGATGGGGTCAAAATATCACCAGCACCTCATATAACTTTTTTATCTAAGATCCTTCGTTACCAAGTTACGTACCATCGGGAGAAGTCCGTTCCTGAATTGGTAGCAAAACAACTGACTCCTACATTAAAGCTTATCGAAGGAATTCATTCGTTCATATAGTCAATCACTATTATATAAAAACATTTTTCATTTTGTTACTTCTAGGGCTTGTAACTCGGTAACGAAGGATTTTAGTAAAAAAAGTTATTTTAGATGGTGATATTTCGACCACATCTATACATTCCCGAGAGAAAAAGAGGAAGTCCAAGAACACCCTGTATATTATATTGTAATGGCTAACAAATAATGTAGGTATAATTTTAAAGATCAAATTCAGCAATCTTAGAGAGGTCTATACAGGGTGTATCTGAATAACACCGAAAAAATTCAAGGGGTGTTTTCTTGTGATATTCTAGCAAATATCCTGAGAAAGCGCCAAAATTTCAAAATGATTCTAATTGGGGTTGTTGAGTAATCTCAATGGAAGTCTTGAAAACACCTACATTAAAATTTGGAGTCAGATCGAATTTTTATTGTTTCCTCAAAAACTAAGCTAGATACAAAAATCACACAGAGAATAAAAAAGGTGTCATTTCAATAGTTCAATCTAATAAAAATATGAAACCTAGAAAAACCGGTGGTGTACAATGACATTCGCCATGAATTTAGATGAAGTTACCCACTGTGACGCCACTGGACATAATATTTCGAATCTAATTGCACTAGAAGAAGCTCCATATCACTATTAACAAAACTACAACGTTTTATTGAAATTGATGAAAAAACAATTGAGAAATGAATAGAAAAAAGATTTTTCATAGAAATATGAATACCCTGTATCTTGAAAACGAAGCAAGTTAGGACACATGTTCATATGAACTTTATTTCCTAAAATATCACAAGGAATTACCCCTTGAATTTCCCTGGTGTTATTTAGATACACCCTGTATATGATAGTAGCTATTTATACATCAAGGGAGGAAAGGTATCCATTTCCTCCCGCGTGTGAAGTTCGATGCACGACGCGTAGCGGAGAGGATGCATGCTGAAGCCAAGCTATTTTACCTCCCACGGGAGTTATTCCTGTGGGAGTAAATTGTTTGTTTCCTTAAATGCGGGAGCAAATGCCTACTTTCGATTCAGTGAGTAGATAAATATAATTTTTTGTTGTCTTGAAGATCAAGATTTTCAGTATCTGCATGATTTCATTTACTAAATTCAAAGTCCCAAGTAGCACACATATATTGGGACAATATCGGTGCAATATTACGAAAATATCGGCAAAATATTGTGAAAGTAATATTGGCGAGAAAAAAAATGTGAACATTCGGCGATATTGGTACAATATCAGTTTCCAAATGTGGGTAGAATATTCTCATATTAATATTGGTTGAATATTCGTAGAGTAATATCGGACACAAAATGAAATATCAATATTGGCGAGAAATTAATGGTGAACATTCGGCAATATTGGTGTAATATATGGAAATATCGGTGAATCATTGGAAACCATCATGAAGGTATGTTGTCTCAGAAATATTGGTTGAATATTCTCATACCAATATTGCTGGTATATTCGTGAAGTTATATTGGTGCAATATTGGTTGGGAATATTGGTACATTATTGAAAATCATTATGTAGCTATGTTGTCTTCAAAATATTGGTGGAATATTTTCATACCAATATTTGCGAGTTATTCGCAGCAGGAATAATCACAAAGGTCAGCCCAGCCGGAGTGCAATGGGAGGGCCTTGCCCTAGGGAAGCCGCCTTGTTGATCACGGTTAACCCCTACTCCAGGTTATAATACTTCACAATCGTCTAGAGCCAATATTTAAATTCTCTCGTCGGATCGGCAATGAGAGTACGTTACCAATCATTTATAGCGCCATCTATCGACATCGGTTTAGGAGTGCGTAATATGGAATAAATATCGAAATTCCGATATCGATATGTATTCTCAAAACAATATGTGAACAATATTGCTTACATAATATAGTGAATCACATATCAGCCAATATAAGATGATATTATTTTCTGAATATGGCTAGAAAACTATTCACCCGATATGCAATTGATCTTGAAAATACAATATTGTTTTTCTCTTCTATGTCCGATATAAGATACATATTGAATTGCCGTTATTGATATTCATATTTGAATCATTGAAAACCCCTTCAGAATCGACATGGGGAGAATGTTGAAATTGCTATATTGGTTATAATTGTTGGAAACAATATGTATACGATATCTTCCGCATTATATGGATAGAATGATATTAATCAAGATAGGTGAATATGATATTTCGAATATTGTTGAAACAATATTCAACCAATATGCCGTCGAACTCAAATATACAATATTGCACAACCGCTTCAGAATCAACATGGGGACAATATTCAAATCGCGATATTGGTTATAAATGTAAGAAGCAAATTGTATACGATATCTTCCGCATGATATAGATAAAATGATATCAATCAAGATGGGTGAATATAATGTTTCAAATATTGTTAAAACAATATCCAACCGATATGCCGTTTAAATTGAAAATACAATATTGCATAACCGCTTCAGAATCGACATGGGGAGAATATTCAAATTGCAATATTGGTTGTAAATGTCGGGAACAATATGTATACGATGTTGTTGTATCGACATTCGTAAAACAATATTATATAACATTCATAGATATGTTTTTCAACACATTGTTAACGAATTTTACAACCAATATTGCTCCAATATTGTAGCTGACAATCCATATTCAGCTCAGGTTGAACCAATATTCCTCCAATATTATCATTCCAATATTGTTTGTCCAATATACTCTCATATTGGACCTATATTATTTTTCACATGTACGATATATCTATATCGGCCCAATATGAAATCGGGTTCCAGCCAATATGATGTGCTACCTGGGGTAACTCACTTATTACTCATGTACTTGGAATATTTGAGAATAGTATGAACAGCTTCCTGGTGTAGTAGTAAGTGGAAGGTCTCGAAATTAGCAACCAAAGATGTTTCAACTCCATGGAAATGGGTCCAGAAATCTGGACAACTTGCACTAACCTGGAACCAAAGAAAATACACTCAGTTCTAAAAAAATTCACGCACTTGATATTTGACCTATCTTCTTGAAAAAAAAAAATAGTAGGCCGATTTTTATTTTTTTTCATTTGTTGGTAGGTACATTCGTCTTTAAAAAAAAATGAAGAGGTGACAATTTTTTCAAAGCCTCCTTGATGGTGGTGGAATAACTCGAACCATGATTTATTCTTAATTTTTGATCCACCCTCTGTGTTAATTGAGTAATGGTATACAAAGTGCTCAGACCCTATACGAAAGAGGCTTCTTTTGCGAGCATTTTGTTTTTTTATTCATTGATTTATCTCTAAAATTTTCCGAATTACAGCTTTTTTGCTGAATCCTTCTAAGAAGTTTCGCAATATTGCTGCGGTGTGTGGTCGGGCATTATCCTGCATCAATATAAAATTATTGCCCACTAACTCTGCATAAGGTAAGACATACTGCTCTAAAATGTCAATGTAAATTTTGGGCATTCATCGACTGCCTCACCGGAAAAACATTAAGGGGTGTCTTTCCATTCATTGAAATCCCTCCCCACACCATAACGGACCCACCATTGAAACTTTCGCATTCTGTTATCAAATTTTGATTAAACCGTTCACCAGTTCTTCTCCACACTCTTTTTCTTCCATCCACCATGTTAAGGCAAAACCTTGACTCATCCGTAAACAAGACATTCGACCATTCAGGAATATTCCACTGTCCATAATTTTCAACAAAATTTCTTCTAGCAGCACGATGTTCGGGCAATAATTTGGGACCTTTTACAGGTCTCCTAGCTTTTAAATTAACTTCTTTTAGACGTCTACATACCGTCTGCTTACTTACTGCAACATCACGAATTTGGCGAAGATCTTGCTGAAAATTCACCGCAGTATTTGATCGATTTCGTAAAATCCGCAATCTCAAGAAGCGATCATCTCTTGGAGAAGTTTTTCGGGGGCGACCATAACCGAATCTCCGAGCGGTGCTTCCTGTTTGTTCGTACTTGCGGATTGCTCTACGAGCAGTTGCTTCATGAACTCCCACTGCACGAGCGGCGTAACGTTTACTACGCCCATCGTTTACTAACGCAACTAATCTTGCTACTTGTTCAGGATTTATTTGAGACATTTTATGTAATTTTAGTCAATAAATCAAGACACTTAATCAATGACACAACGACAAATGGTCAAATAAGGAGGCATACAACAAATTAGTTGCTATGGCAACGGCATTTGTTTTTTCAAAGACAATGTGATCCTACCAGAGTACAACCCAATCAATTTTGAGTACTCTGATCCTTCAATGAATTTAATTTGTGGGATAAGCGTAAGGTATCAGCAAAAAAGCTGTAATTCGGAAAATTTAAGAGATAAATCAATGAATAAAAAAACAAAATGCTCGCAAAAGAAGCTTTCATGTGTATAGGGTGTAAGCACTTTGTACACCATTACTCAATTAACACACAGGGTCAAAAATTGAGAATAAATCATGGTTCTAGTTATTCCACCACCATCAAGGAGACTTTGAAAAAATGTTCACCTCTTTATTTTTTTTTTCAAAGACAAATGCATTACCTACCAACAAATAAACAAAAATGAAAATCGGCCTACTATTTTTTGTTTTTTTTAAGAAGATAGGTCAAATATCAAGTGCGTCTCTTTTTTTGGAACTGAGTGTATATTCATATTCAATTTCGAGTAAATACACTCTCAGAGAAATAGTCGGTAGTGAATACCAAATGTTTGTGAAATAGGCGCCAGTCACATCAAATAATACCACGACAAAATTGTATCATACTATACTGTAAGTATCATACTATTTTGTAATGGTAATCTTTGTCAATTCGCAGACTCGACTATAATCGACAGTGTTCATTGGATATCACAAAGTAACTACGCCAACTTACTTTTCTATAGAGTACAGTTACAAGATCTTGATTACTGGATACAGGACTGAAAATGAGATCCAAATATTGTCCACTGGGTGTAGTGTGCAATTTGTCGGTGAGCAAAAGTGAATTGAGCGATATCTGATATGCTGGTCCGTAAGTCATCAAAGCCAAATCCATGGAAAGAATGCCGAGACGAAGTACCAGGTACTGACGGTCTGTACTATCGCTAGACCGGGAAAACACTATAGAAAACTGGAAATCAAGAAGGAAATGTAGTGATGTGCATGACTTGCTCGCGGATGTGATGAAATGAAATGAAATTGCATTGTTTTCGTTATGAAAATAGATGTTTCTGGTTTTTACCTCGTTGATTTCGAATCCATATAGTACATCTATATTGTTGTTTGGCGATATGTTGTCTTCTAGACCTGGTAAATCAACACATCTTGCCCAAGCTTCGTTCATATCTCTATGATGTCTCCTTGAACCGTTTTGACTGGAAAATTGATAAGGAGAAATCGCTTTTATGTCAGAAATTGTTTGGAATTTGTTGGGGTCACTTCTTCTACAACTTACATGTTTTGAAATTTCTTGGATTTGCAGTTATCCACCTTGTATCTCTTATATTTGGCGTAGCTACTGTTGATTCTCATCTTGTCTTGGATTTCCCGTAGACATCTAGAGCTAATCCTGCCTTTGATGATGTCTTTGTTATATAACTTGGGTTGTGATTCTTCTTGTATAACATTAATTTTTATATTGTCTACATTGAAAAATTTCAATAACAGCCCCACTTTTCTTTCTGATATATTCAGCTTCAAGGTTTGGAAATTAATATTGAACTTGTACCTATAAAACATATAAAATCTTATTCATGAACTGAGCGAACTGAAGAGGAGTAGAAAAACAAAAATCTATTATAGCTCAGCGAGTGGACTGTTAATAAATTATTGACATTTAATTACTCCACTGTGTCGTTAGGGACCTAAATCAGTTTTTGCAACTCTTCTCACGCTTTTTATCTGAATAATGAGTCTATGTGTTGTTCAAAATCATTGAATTTCGGACCTCATCTCAAACGTACCGCCATGGCTGCCATTTGGCGATACGTCGAATAAATGGTGACGTCAATGTTTATGCTGTTTCGTTATTGGTCAAATAATCTCTCATTCCCAGTCATGAAGCAAGGTTATTGTCAAGTCACCAATTATGAACAATTCATCAAAAAGAGTCCTGTCGTTGAATATAACACGAGATAATATGAGGAAGCCATGATATTATAGTTCATTGTTGACTTTTTGCAGCAACCAGCATGTCCAAATATTCCTAATACTCCATAACAACATTTTATGTAGATGTTGAAGACTTGGCAACAATGTACTGAATGCTAAGAACTGCCAAGACACCGCTCACAATTCTTGCGCCGTGTTGTCACGTTCATCGGTTCAAATGTCCTCTAGTGTGAATAAACATAGTAATAATTCTGAAGTTCCCAATGGTATTTCAACATATGGCAACTGTGTTATGTTCTTTTTTATGTTCTGGTTCCCACGAGAAGGGATATCCTGTAATGTTCAGAGAACATCGTGAGAACCAACCAAGGGAAATAAGGTAAGAATTGGTGTTCTTAAATTTCTGGAGGTTATATGCCTCGGGGAACACCTCCCTTGGCAATGTGTTCCAGAGCCTCGCTGTTCGTTGGATGAACGAGTCTTTGGGAAGAGATGTTCTGCAGGTCTCCAAAGTGACCACGAAGTGGTGCGAAGCCTCAAATCGACGGGTTAATCTCGCGGGGACTGCCAAGGGAGGAACAATTGTTGATATTTCAGGAGAGCATTGTCCAGAAAAATATCTATAAAATAGAGCCAGATCGCCAACTTTTCTACGGTGTCCCAGAGAAGTGAGTGAGTTTGTGAGCGAGGCATCACCCACGAGACGTATTGCCCAGAATCCAACAGTTTCAGGGTATGTTTGGGTGCTGCACTCCAAATATGGGAACTGAATTCCAGGACAGGTCGGATCTGTGCCTTATAGATCCTAAGCAGCTGACTGGAAGTGAAATAGCTCCTGGCCCGAAACTGAAAACCAAGTTTTTGGGGTGCACTTTTAGCTCTTTTAGCTTTTTGATCTCACGTGATTTTCCCAAGAAAGGTTATTGCTGATATTAATCCCAAGCATCGAAATGGATGTCTTCAAAGGTATGTTTACTCCTGACAAGCTTATGTTGCGCACAGTAAACTTGGCTTTTCTAGAGAAAAGGCATACTTGTGTTTTGTTTGCATTGAAATCTAACAAGTTATTGGATCCACATTCGAGAATTGTTGCCAAGTCCATATTTATGTTGTCAACATTTCTCCCTCGTTCGTTTCTGATTTGCCTGGCTGGGATTGAAGCCCTGGAAGAGAAGGCGGTATGGAGGGTACTATCATCCACGAAGCTGTGTACTGGGCATGAAGTTGCTCCCAACAAATCGTTGATATGGAGTAGAAATAGTGTTGGTGCTAGAATTGATCCTTGCGGAACACCAGCATTTATGGTAAGAGAGCCAGATGAAACTCCGTCGACCACTACTACATGGAGAGGCCTGTTTGAGAGGAAACTAGCTAGCAGGAAACATAGCTGGGGCAAGCCATAAGATGGAAGCTTGGCGAGGAGTCCGTGGTGCCAGACACGATCGAATGCCTTGGAGATATCAAGTGCCACGGCTAAGGTTTCACCATATTTTTTCAATAGATTGCTGCCATATATGTGAGACGTTAGCGAGCAGGTCACCAGTGGATCTCTGATGACGGAAGCCATATTGCCTATCGTCGATAATATCAGAATGTTCCAGGTATTTCATGAGCTCGATGTTTATAGCTTTCTCCATGATCTTTGAATTGAATTTGAATTTTCTAGCCGTTTTAAAACTACCGTTACATTATTGATGATTTTAGCACCTCAAAATCGACCGGAAAAATTCTAAAAAATATGAAATTGAAAGGTATTTGAATGATGATTCTATTAAGTATTAAAAAAAATTACTCCACTTGATCCAGTCATTATATCCAAATAACGGACCTTACCCGTGAATAATTTTTTAGTGGTTTTTTTTTTCATAGGTGTCTGGGAGGGGGCACTGGGAGTGTAAATGTTTTTTTTTGTTGAAAAACGGTTTTTCTTGAATAACTCGGCCATTTTTGATTCTACAGAAAAAGTTCGGGGACAAAAATTGTAGTAAATTTAGTTCTCTACAAGTTCCATCCCTACAATTTTTCTGATAGGATCGATATTTTGTAAATTAAACCTGAAAAAAGCGACAAATTCGAAATATTTTCATTATCTCGTTTATTTTCAACTTTACGGCATAAATGAACCGGAACAACCTTGTAGAGAATCAAATTTTGGACAAATTTTGTCTTCACCTATTTTTCCGAAAATCGATATTTTCGGAATTAAACCTAAAAAAACGACTCATTCGAAATATCATCATTATCTCGTTTATTCTCAACTTTACACCATAAATGAGAAGAAACAAACTTGTAGAGACTCAAATTTTGGACAAATTTGGTAAAAAAAATAGTTCCGGAACCATTTTTTCACACCGACATGACAGACAAGCTACCTGCGCGGAATAACCTCTTCATTTATAATCTTTTGAATTTGTCGCGTTTTTCAGGTTTAATTCCCAAAATATCGATTTTTGAAACAAAAACGTAGTAACCAAAATTGTTCAGAATTTGATTCCCCACAAGTTTAGTCCTCTTCATTTATGCCGTAAAGTTGAAAATAAACGAGATAATGAAAATATTTCGAATTTGTCGCTTTTTTCAGGTTTAATTTACAAAATATCAGAAAAATTGTGAGGACCAAACTTGTAGAGAACCAAATTTACTACAATTTTTGTCCCCAAACTTTTTCTGTAGAATCAAAAATGGCCGAGTTATTCAAGAAAAAACGTTTTTTAACAAAAAAAAACAGTTTTCGCAAAAGCTTGATTTGGTCGCCATTTTGAATTTACACTCCCAGTGACCCCCCGGAGACACCTATGAAAAAAAAAACACTAAAAAATTATTCACGGGTCAAAGTCTATAATGACTGGACTAACTCGCCTATTCACAATAAGTTACTTAGTTTTCACTTCTATCGGTAGTCGTCAAAGACTGCCTCGCATACTTTTTTGAAATATCATACTCTGAGTACCTTGGTATTGTCCTGAGACTGGCAGCCGAGAGTGCATAGGTGGAGGAAAATGAAGTTTTCGGGACTACGTGCATTTCGGTGTCCTTTTCTCTGCGGGCGTCTTTCCAATTATCGCCCGTATCACAAAATAAGACTTGCATATCGGCGCAACAGAGGAAGAGTTTGCTGTAGAGTTGCTCCTCTAACTCCATCTGCGTGGCGTTTTCTGCTATGAGAGATTGGGTGCACAATTCCGTACTTACTTTGTATCGACCGAGATCGATTATCAGCAAATATTCAGCTCTTAAAAATGAAAAAAAAAAACATTTGAATTTATCAAAGAATCTCCATCTTCAATTCATATACATACAGGGTATGTCACTACGGGGTTACATAATAATAATAATTTTATTGATCTTAGAAACACGGAGTTTATAGACACGTCACGAAAGGACCCCGCACATTTAGTACGTAAAATGGTTTTCGGCTAAATTTTCGGAAAATTTGATATGTTTAAGACATTATCGTCCTTATCACATAGTCCAATTTACAGATCGATTCCATGACCAGTTTTCGAGCTACAGGGTGTCAAACATTAGATTTTGGCTGTTTAGAATATTTTGCATCAATTTGAATTATGTGCTCTAAGTCGTGATTATTCTTCAGTAGGAATGAAATCTCCACGTCTAATATCTACCTCATGAATCCCTCTATTCGGTTAGAGGATAATATCACATACAGAGTATTGCATTCCATCATGACAAGGTAATATTCTTGGGAAAATACAAATATTGAAAACATCAGAATTTTGATTTTTACTCAATCACTGATAACTTGAAAACAAACGGCTAGAATCGGCCAATTATGTGACACAGTATGGGTCTTGATCATAAACATGAGGATTCATATGATTACCTCTGATACCATGTCCGGTTGGCCATATATAGGGTGATGACAATCGATGTAACTCAGGTATAAAATGAGATACATTTCTATAATATATGAAGTGGAAAAAGAAATGTCTCATGAAATAACCCACCCCCACCAAGCCCCTGATGAGTCACAACCACCCCAACGCATATCATCTCAATAGTAGCCCCTACTTATTGTGATACCTCATTGAATAGCTTGGTGAAAATACATTTCAGTGGTATTATTATTGATATCTCGAACTGGGTGAACTAACAAAAAATATTTATTACCTATATCATTCTGCTGGGGTGACGTATTAATTTTATAACTTTTGAAAAATAAATCGTTAATATCGAGCACTATAGAGACATATTGCTGAAATAGTTATATTCAGATGATTTGAAACAAGTATTTGTGTACAGTAGATCGGTGTAGCGAGAGAACACGGCGATGAACAGAATGTTTAGTCCAGGTAAGTACCTAAATGATTATGTTTTCATAAGATCAAAATTATGTTGACTAAATGTGCGGGGTCCTTTGAGATCAGTTACCTACAAAAGCAAAGTTCATATAGAATCACCACAATAATCTACATCAAATCAAAATATGAAATACAAATACAGATACATGCTAAAATTCTTTGGCGTTACTAAAATGGAATACCTTATCTAAGAAAATGATAAATTCAATGTTCAAGTTTGACAAGCTTGAATATCATTAAAATCCAGGAAATTTGAATAGACAAAGTCATTCACGACACTCCAAAAGCATATCCTATTTCTCACAACTATATCAGAAAATTCATGATGGGTTTTCAATTAGAATAAAATATGCTTCATGACCTCCTTGAATTTTTTTATTGACAATTCTCGGAAATCACACTATCTTTCATAAAAATGTGCATGCCTATGTTCGAGATATTGCTCTCTTCGTTTACAGTATTTTCAACAATGCAGTGTTGCCGCTTCTACTTGAAAGTAGCACCTTTGTTATTACAAATAGAATACGGTGTATTTCATTGCATTTTGATATTCTTCCTGGAGAGCTGATTTCATCAATGTATCACACTAGCGGGAATGATTACAGAGATATATAGGGTGTTCAAAGTCGCGATTTTTCAACTTTAGGATTTGTTTGTGTCGAAACAATGAATTATTGGTCACATGTCCCTTTAAAATTTTTTGATTCACCATCTACTGACATTTAATCAAATCCAATTAAATGTCAGTAGATGGTGAATCAACAGTTAAGCTAGGTACATGTAAGCCGTTTTGACCAATATTGAATGTTTTCGACACAAAAAAGTTGAAAAATCTCGATTTTGAACACCCTATATCTCTGCAATTATTTCTGCTAGCTAAACATGAAATGAAATACAAGGTATTCCATTTGAAATAACAAACTTGTCGCTACTTTCTATAGTAGAAGCGGCAACACTGCTTTGTAGAAAATATTTGAAACAAAGAGAACGTAAGATATATGCGAGCATGCACATTTTGATCCATTTCTCTGGAGTGATTCTCGATATGAAGATAGTGTAAAGTCGTAGAGACATACCCTGTATATCGAATTGCACAGTAGGAATCGAAAACTGCATATGAAGCACTTTTTGATGTATTTATGCTACAATCTACATAGAGTGTTTCATTGATACTGTGATTTGTGAAGGGATATTTCTTGGGTCAAAGAAGGAAAGAGAGTTGCTAAACGTATGTTTGGTTAGATTCGTTTTTAATATACAGGGTTTCAAAATTGTATTGTTATATTTGTTTTTCCGGAATGGTTATAAGTCAATATTTGAAAGGAAATTGATAATTAGAGGGGTTATTTGACATGAGTAATTCGATTTTGAACAATCTACTTGAATTTCAACTCTTTTGGGGACGCACAATTTCAAAATTTGTGCTTGTATTACATTTTTGAGTGATAAATATAGAATTGGAAAGAATAAATCATTTGAGAAATCAATTTGGAAATACAAAACTGGAAATTCATTCATATATCTTGGGGACGGAGGAATTCCGGCCATATATTTATAGAAACACTTTTCCTTATTTTCACCCATAAAATGTCCCCTTATTGAAAAAGCGTCTATATTATGACGCACATTCCCAATTTTTTTCTGTATGTACAAGTTCTTTGTTTTATACCCATTTGATGATAAATTCTTGCACTACTTAACTTAGGCCCAACTTGAGGATTAGAGGAGGTAATTGGTGAATTCAGAATTAATATCTAAGTTAAGACTAAGAAGTTGTGCATGAATTCACCATAGCTTTTTTGGAAAATTTGGGTTTGCTTGAATGCAATCTTAGATAATCCTTGATCAGGATTGATGGCAGTTTTCAACTTACTTTAAGTAGGAGTTGACTTCTGGAATGACCAGATAAGGAATTTTTATGTTGAAATTGAAGTCCCAGTTATCTAATATTCTATTTCTCATCTCCTCGACAATTATAGGCGGCATTTCTACTAGGTAGCTCAACAAATTTTTAGTTGGAGAATCTTCCACAGTCAAGAATGTTTCCAGTTCTTCAACAGAAGGCTAGAACATAAATATATATCGTTATATAACAGTTATTCATACCTCATAGTCACCTCAATGAGTTTTTAGAATTTAAAATTTTTAAAGTATTTTCATCACATATCATATTAGACATAAAAAGTAAGGTCGACTTGCAAAAATTTATTAATTCTGCTATCAACAGTTTCGAAAATATAAAATGAAAACCATCATCAGGGTACCACCTTTAGGGCGGTGTAGCTCGCTTATGAAACATTATTCGACTTCCCAGCGAGCACAAACATCCCTGGGATGTTTTGGGATGTTTTGAAAATGTTGGCATGAAGATGTTATTTTGAGACGTAATATGCACTGACCAAAGAGGTCTTTGAAGGATATTGAAGAATTGTATTTGTTCTTCTGTGGCATTTCTTAGTTTGCCTACTGAGAGGTATCCCTGGGATGTTTTGGGATGTTTTAGAAATGTAGGCATGCAGATGTTTTTTTGAAGCGTAATATGCACTTCCCAAAGAGGTCTTAGAAGGATATTGAAAGTATTGTTTTTGTTCTTTTGTGCCCTTTCTTTGTTTGCTCGACCACAACGTCTCATGATTACGTCACAATACGATGAATTCTGATTTGTTTTCGATTCTGTTCTTCTTGTTCGCAATTGGCATTCGCGTTTGCAGCGTGTCACGCTTACATCACGCTGCTAACGAACAGAAAGGAATTTGGTGAAGTTTATGGTGTTAGAAGACTTATTTAGTTTGTAATAATGACCATCAGATGCAAGATGTGTTGTTCGGTGCCTCAGTGTAATCAATATATGAAAGTACGAATTTATCAATACACATCTTCTCTGCAGTTGCAAAATTATGCATTGTGGAGAACATTTCAAAAATTGGGAAACCTATTTCCAATTATATGCATGTCTGTGTGTAGTAAGTACTACTCAGAAACCGATTTAGAAGGTAATTTTATATCAAGAAAATATGTTTATGTTCAATCTATTTTTAATGCATTTTTTCATTCAAGGGAAATGGAATCCTAATGCAAAAGTTCATTTTGACAAAAGGCTTCAGAAAAGTACCTCGAAAATGGTTTTTTTTTCAGCGATTTAATGTGCGCAAGCCGCGTTGAAAATTTTTTGTTGTGTCCATGAAAAGGCTTTAAAAAGATCTAGGGAGAAGATAGTTTTGTGACATATCAAGGACATCTCGATAATTGCCGCCTGCGGCGGACATTGGCTGTTCTATAATAGTTCTATTCATGTGTGTGAACAGAACATCGCAGTGGAGGTTCAATGTCTCGAAATCTCGTACTTTTAACATCTCTGAGATGTTTTTGTGCTCGCTGGGCTATGTTCAAAGAAACTTTTTTTCTTATTCTTGATGGTAAAATCTGCTGGTGACTGGCTACGTCTGCAGACGAAAAGTACTTGCCTTCGGTTTTTCGTTCGGAAATAAGAACATAAACTGTGATTTTTTGTAGATATCGGCGAAAAAACATTGTTGTGTGTCATTTCTTCAGCTGTTTAAAACATGACAAGTGGGTCCACACTCTTTACAGATCGTGAAATGGGATGTTCGAGGTATTCTAGTATTCCCCACTGTTTAAAACTTCAAAGTCGAAGTGTCGAACTAGAGATTTTTTTTTATATCCCACCTTATTATAGATACATTCAACTGCATCCATCGTGATACCGAGCTTATATCTGCACTTTGAAGTTTTCGGCATTTTTTCCAAATCCATCTTGAAGAAATAAGCTGGACTGTCGCTCAAGTGTTCTGAAGAAATGATCGGTATCAGATGTTCCTCGCTGCTCGAACCTTCTATGATGATTCCTTCTATCTTCAGAGACGCCCTGTATGTTTCTTCGGAATAATTAGGCTTGATGGAAAATATCGTTTGGGTCACTGTCAGCACCATGATTTCCTTCGATTTGCTACTGACTATCAAATTTAGGTTGCCTAGTCTGAAACTGTAGTTGTGGTCTGAAAGACACAATGAAACATTCAAGCTATATACAGTGTGTCCCACTTACCATGCTCACCATGGGTATCTTTTTAACGGTGAGAGATACGAGGTCGGTTAAATGACACCAAATGTGGAGTTTGTCAAGGCCAACTATAATGTGAAAAAATATTTTGATGAAATCTATTCGTTTTTGTTTATACGCAAAAAACAGATTTTGATCATTTTAATGTCTCCTCCGTAACTTCTTTATTTATGAAAATATTCAAATAGGAATTTCACATTCTCATGGCAGTTTTTCAAAATGATTTCGAAAAAAATATGAAATTTATACCAACTCTTCTAGAATTTGAGATATCAGCATCAACTTTAGTTTTTCAAATGTAGGTCATAGCTCACTATGACTTAGTTACAAATAACTTTGTTTTCTCTCAAAGATGATATGTCGCAGTAATAGTTTTGTGTTGATAACAACGGAGTTATCGTCATTTATACAAAAACAAAAAATTATTCGGAAGCCGCCATCTTGAATTTATGAATTTTAACAAATAAATCATGATCTCCTACCTCAAAAACCCCCACTTACCAATTTTGAATGGAATCGGACCAAATCTTGTCCGCCATCTTGGAGCAGCCATATTTTTAAATTTCAACAAAAATTCCATAACTCCGATTAACTGGAAATTCGGCAGGTGTTCATAATTTAGGTGACAATACATTATGGAATTTTTGTTGAAATTAAAAAAAATTGCTGGTCCAAGATGGCGGACAAGATTTGGTGCGATTCCATTCAAAATTAGTAAGTGGAGGTTTTTGAGGTCGGAGATCAAGATTTTTTTGTTAACATTTATAAATTCAAGATGGTGGCTTCCGAACAATTTTTTGTTTTTGTATAAATGACGATAACTCCGTTGTTATCAACACAAAACTATTACTGTGACATATCATCTGTAAGAGAAAAAAAAGTTATTTGTAACTAAGTCATAGTGAGCTATGACCTACATTTGAAAAACTAAAGTTGGTGCTGATATCTCAAATATTAGAAGAGTTGGTATAAATTTCATATATTTTTCGAAATCATTTTGAAAAACTGTCATGAGAATGTGAAATTCCTATTTGAATATTTTCATAAATAAAGAAGTTACGGAGGAGACATGAAAATGATCAAAATCTGTTTTTTCCGTATAAAACAAGAACGAATTGATTTTATCAAAATATTTTTTCACAGTATAGTTGGGCTTGACAAACTCCACATTTGGTGTCATTTAACCGACCTCGTATCTCTAACCGATGAAAAGATACCCATGGTGAGCATGGTAAGTGGGACACACTGTATGTGAATTTTGGGAACCCACCAAGATTAATGAATTGTTTCATGCACGACCGGGAGTAAAGTGGCATATTACCGCTCGCTGACTTCTATATTACCCGGCGTATAATACGATATTATGCATGGAAACCATAAACCTTACAGCATCGCAAAAAATCTATTGACGAAATCAGCGAAGAGAAAGGGATTCAAAATATGTTCAAGTTTCTAAAATGACCGATAGGGGGCGAAGTTACTATGATACAACGAGAAATTCAAATTATCTCTGAAAATCGCTGTGTAAGTTAATTCTTTGATAACGGAAATGAAAAGATCATTGAGTTATCGTAGTGTTGGTCTGCAGACTTCTTTTCGTATCTTAAATAATGAATAGTGGGGTAAGCTTGTGAAAATAGTCAATTACTATTCAAGGGGAAAAATTAGTAGATTCTAGCTTCAGGTTGTGTTGTCTCCCAACGCGTAGGGAAAGGAGACAAAAAACCGTGAGCTAATTCAATATTTTCCCGTGTATAATAAACAGGAATTCATCAAATTCAATCAAATATCTGTCAGTCTAATTCTGTGTTTTGAGTTTGAAAAATTGCGAAGTTTGTGGTTGTTTCGTAATTTACGTAACCGCGAAGTTGAATGACAAATAAAAGGACTTTTAGTTCTTTCTCGGAAACGGTGTTATTGGATTAGTTTTCGGAACTGGCACGACAGTACTCACTTTTTTCCGTGGGAAAAAGTAATTTATGAGAAGTGACATTTTGTTACCTGTCAACAGAGATAAAATGTCGTAAGTTTTTTCCCGTCGCAGAAAAAAATATTTTTCAAATTGCTTCTTCCATACGCCCCTTAACCAAATTCAAAAAATTGACTGAGTTGCCATAGTAACGTTGATTCCATCAATGATATTCCTTACTGCAGCCATGATGTATTTTTTTTATCGCTTGGAGCGCACGAAGGAATCCCTATAATGTTCAAAGAACATCGTGCGTTCTTGAGAGGTGAAGAGGAACCTATTCACAATGAACAATCCAATATACCGGTCGTGCATAAAATGATGTATGTATTTCGGACGTAACTTGCTTTAATGGACCTTTTGACTCTTACTTACTCGCTACGGTCAATAAAGCCTATTTCACGACCTTGATACATAAATAACTATTGAGAAAACAGTGAGAAAAAACACATCAATACCCTTTTCTGAACACGTTCGAGCATTTTCTACGAATTGGAATTTGAAAAAAGTACCTATCGTTTCCTTGGCATTATCTTCTTCGCTATCAAAATATCCAATTTTTTCACATAGAAGAATTCTCTCAGGTGAAGGTAATAAGGACCAGAAACTTTTCTCTCCAATGCTCCTCTCTTGAATCTGTAATCAATCATCTATTATTTTCAACATTTTCTAGAGACATACTATGTGAATGGTCTCATATTGATAATTCGAAAAACAGAAAATCTTTTTATACAAGAATAAATTTATATCCTTAATAAGTTCTTGGAAATTACAAAGCTTCGCCGTTCCATAGACAAACGAGTTTTGATAGAGAATAGTTCGACAAATCCAATACTCACCGTTAATCTAGCTTGTTGCCTAGCCAACACAACATTGATGATACTCAGGTTATCTTCGTATTTTTGCATATCCAATTTCATTTCGGTATCGTTGGGATTCAAAATGATTTGCTTGTACGTTTCCATGTACTCCTTGTAGTGCTGTCTAACCCTCCTCATTCTACTCCACGTATAAGGTTTCACCCTTTGCTCCAGCAGGGCGTAACTCGCGTACCTGTATATTATACAAGGTGTTCAGAAAATTCCCCGATTCAAGGTGACCGATCTTGAAGGTCTTCATCTGTTATTCGCAATGAGAATTTACTTTTTTCCTGCTTATTTTTATTTTTCGACTGCTGGGAATGAGTTTCTTTGCATGAGGAATAAAGGTTCCTATTGAAATTGTTTGCAGGAGGACTCTTCGTTTTTGTGATATACAGGGTGTTTCAAAAAAACCTGACCCCCTTGCTAGGGTAGGTAGAACACTGCAAAATAAGTTGGGTTTACTCAGTAATAAAATTTCGTAACGGCATGCGGTATCAAGATACAAGGTGTTGAAAAAATGATTTTTTTACACATTTTTTAAGATTATGTCGAAACTACTGGCAACATTGTAATGAAATGTTGTATGGATGTTTCTTGGAATCTGACACATTGCATGCATCTGTTTTCATATCTGACTCTTATAGAGGGCGCTAGTTACACGGTTCATACCGAGTAGATTTGAACATTGAGGTTAGATTTTTCCAAATTTAATGTGAACTTGCAGATCATTCAATTTCACACCAAAAATGTACTTTTGGTAAAACTCGATACTTAATCCGTTTTCGAAATATTTCTATTTGAAAATGATGAAGTGATAACTGTTGCTGGTATAAAGCTATGTATTAGAGTGACTATTATGAAAAATTATCACCTATTTATTGAAAACCGGAAACAACAATACATTTCTGATGCTAAACTTATTGATTTAACAATGAATCACAAGAATAACATCGAAACAGATTTGACTAAGAACATGGACTACACAGTTCTGTTGTATCTTGAGCAGAAAGTCTATGCTACATAGGTAAATTCACGTCAAGAGTTGTGAGACCTAATTGAACATCACTTAAATGACCTAACAGCTGATCCTCAACTGTTTAGAAGAATGATACATTCTTAAGAAACGAATATAGAATCGTGTATTCGTCGAAACGTAGGACATTTTGAACACTTACTCCAACTGATTCAATATTTCATGTTTCTAGTCAAATATCTCTTAATTTTCTACTTATGATTCTATGTCCCATCAATAACTTCAGCACAAGAATAATTCTATTGTTTTTGAATCTGAATCAATAGGTAATTGAACTCAATAAAATTCATTTTATACCAGCATCAGCCATTACTCCATCATTTTCAAATCGAAATATTCCGAAAACGGAACATAGTACCGAATTTCACCAGAAGTACCTTTTTGGTGTAAAATTGAATGATCAAGTTCACATCATATTTGGATTGAAGAATCTAACCTCAAAAAAGTTATGTTTTAAACTACTCGGTACGAACCGTGTAACTAGCGCCCTCTATGAGAGTCAGATATAAAAACAAATTCATGCGATGTGTCAGATTTGAAGAAACATCCATACAAAATTTCATAACAATGTTGCCAGTAGTTTCGAGATAATCATGAAAAATGTGTAAAAATAATCATTTTTTCAACACCTTGTATCACGAAAACGGATGGCGTTACGACATTTTTTCACTGAGCAAACCCCAAGGGGGTCAGCTTTTTTTGAAACACCCTGTATAAATGGTGTAACTCCTCAAACACATTATAATCACACCAGCACACGGTGATTTTCGGCCGTGTATTTTTGAAACACTCAGTATAGCCAAAGAAGAAAGTCTGAATTCATATGAAAAAAGTGAAATTCAAAAAAAATTCTGACTTCGAAGAAAAATGTGAATTCATAGAAAAAAGTTCTAATTCGAAGTAAAAAGTCTGATTTTGAAGATGAAAGTTTGATTTTAGGATGTATGACAAATTAATATTCATCATACAGGACGTGGAAAGAAATTCTGAATTGTTACATTTTTTTTATGTTCATAATTTATCTGAGAATATTCCTTTTGAATAAAAGTTTGAATTCAAAGAGAATGGTCTATTTAAAAGAAAAAAAAATGAATTCGAAGAAACAGGTCGGAATTTAGAAAAACATCTGAATAAAATAAAAAAATTAAGCTCTCGTATGATTTACCTCCACCAAATTCTAGGATTTTCGATGATTTTTTCTTTCGGCCTGATCGGCAAGAACTGCCAGCTTTTTTCCATTCTTTCCATTGATTCTGAGACAGCTAGGATAGAGTCGTATTGTTCTTTAGAAAGTTGGAGGTTGCAGTCTTGTACAATTACGTCTGTATGCAATTTGGTTACTTTGCCATCTTCGGATTTGTTGATGATCATTTTTATTTTCGAAACCATCGGATTTAACACTGTAAGAACAGAAATAATGATCGAAGCTTCAATATACATGGTGTGAGTAAATGGTTTCCTAAAAAATGAGGGTTGATATCTCTTCATATTTAATTGAAAAAAGTTCATATATTCATTTGTCCTATTTTGCTTCTATATCAAGATACAGGGTATCAATGTCTCCAGAACAAAACGTTTTTTTTTTAATCAATTTAATTACGTACTTAGAAGTCTCTCTGACAATTTCAATGAAACTTCGTGTTTTTTTCAACATAAACACGGAGCTTCTTTTGGTATAATCATATTTAGACTGATAATTCCAGTGGCGTCGCAGGGGGTTACCTTATGGATATTAATGGTGAATATCATTGTACGCCATTGGTTTTTCTGATTTCATATTCTTACTAGATTGAACAATAATTAAAAAAAAATAAAACTTTCTTGTCCGTCATTGTACGCCACTGGTTCTTCTGATTTTATATTTTTACTTGATTGAACAATGGGCTTATATCACAAAAAAAATTTATTTCATAATTCGATAGAACTCACCCAAACTATCTCACCACCGCAAACCGTTTCTTGCTGTGAGCTCCCTACGTTTTATAGAAAATTATTGAAATCCCCGATTTTTCGGACCTCTGAAAACGAGGCGATGATGTGACGTCAAAAGCCTAATACTGAAACAAGACTATTCCAGACAGAGATGAATGATACATGATTTCTGACAGAGTGAATTAGCGCGAGATCACAGTTGAAAGAATTAATATATCAGTTGCCTCAGTCTCCGTCGGGCGTTTGGTATTTCCTTTTAACTATGGCGAGATGAGGTTTCTACGTCATCAGAGGGTCCGTTTTCAGAAGGTACTATTGTTTATGTGCAAAAATAAAACATCCCAGTTAATTTTTCGATCGAATTATGTCGTCAATCATTATTTATGTATAAAAGGATCATTATAAACATGGTTTGAGTTAAAAGTTTTACTAAGGTGTACACGCCCATTGAATATAATATACAACTTTATTGTCCCTTGTAACAATAAAAATGTCCTTTGACTCCAAATTTCAATTTGTAGGCTGCAGGACTCCCATGGAGATTACTCAATAACTCCAACTGAATTGTTCCACTATGGAAGCTTATGCAGGGAATCATAAAAAAAAATTAATACTTTCAACTCGATTATTCTAAGCTCTGAAACGAAGCTATTCATATGAACTTTTTTCCTAAAATATGAAATGAAATCAACTTCTAAATTGTTTCCCGCTTTATCATCTACAACCTGTATACATATAGTACAAGTTAAACCCGCTTATTCAAATATATGTAAGTCTATTCGAACAGGAATTGATGTCATACCAAAATTGAAATCTTCATTGTTCATGGAATAGTTCTTTAGACTTGCTGCCATGGTGTTACGCCATTGATAGTATTGGGATGGAAAATCCCATTTCTTCAGTTTCACATTTGAATTCCAATAGATGGAGAATGCCTCCATTTTCACCAGGTAGAAACACGTGTCTGCATTTTTATCGTATCTGGCTGGTCTCCATTTGCTTGAAAACGAAACAGACGATTTTTACATCCAGAGAGACGGTAGTGTCTTGGACCAAGTACTCGTATGAAATAAAGTTTCCCTATAGGAATCCTGATAAACTGTTAGAATATTCAAGGAAGGTAACAGCCTCCCAAATTACCCACAATCACTGCAGGGCGGTAGTTACAAAAAAAATGAAAAACACGCTTTTATAAATAGCCAAACTACAAAACAGTTGAAAATAAAATAAAAAAAGTGTGCCGATAAATGCACAACATAGAAAATATTAGAACTTCTGTGATCAGTAGGTATAAAGGGTGTCCAGAGACAAAACTCATGGGGTTATAGGGCCTGCCAATATAATTGCATATTGCCATAAGCAAATGTACAAAACCGCTTCGTTACTGACATACAGAGTGATTTGTGGATTTCGACAAAAATTCAATCTGCCATATTAAATGCAGGGATTACCCGATTGGGTTTAGGACCCCGCACCGCAATAGGGGGGAAATTGGCTTTCGGTAAATTTTCTCGAATTTTGGATATATCGTAGAACTCGTGATGCTGATCAGATATCCCAATTATCAACGCTCTAAATTCAATAGTTTGTATTATACAGGGTGCTGAAGTTGACTTTTTCAAAATTTCGAATCGCCATTGTGAAGTTTCCTTTTTGAATACCAAAATCAAATCGACTACGTTCTGTTTGTCCATGTGGCCAGTGACAATCCACTATAGAGTTCAATGATATCTGCACGTACTCACGATACACAGAGTTGGTCCAAAAATAGCAAATGTTACAATTATTTCCGAAAAAGTGAGCGGTTGAAATCAATTCATTTTTGAACATTTCGTAGTATAATATCAACATCGATTCATGATAATTGCATTTCTTGTATCTGATACATATTATACACAAGATGTTCTAGTTTCCATGAAACCGCACCCGTCCTGATATCCATATATCCATCGAATGATTGGAATCCTGTAAAACTTGGTGAGGAAGTTGATAATTCGTGATGACAATATTTTATGCGATACCTGAATCATACAGGGTGGTTCAAAAAGTAGTAGTGGAGTTTTCTTGGAGTTGACGTACTCCAGAGCAATTGAGAAACAAGACAGAAATCCTGAGTACGTCAACTCCAAGAAAACTCCACTACTACTTTCTCAACCACCCTGTATAATTCAGGTATCGCATAAAATATTGTCATCACGAATTATCAACTTCCTCACCAAGTTTTACAGAATTCCAATCATTCGATGGATATGGATATCAGGACGGGTGCGGTTTCATGGAAACTTGAACATCTTGTGTACAATATGTAGTCTGATTCAAAAAATGCAATCATCATGAGTTGATGTTGATATTAGTATACTACGGAATGTCCAAAAATGAATTGATTTCAACCGCTCACTATTTCGGAAATAATTGGGACATTTGCTATTTTTGGACCAACTCTGTATATCGTGAGTACGTGCAGATATCATTGAACTCTATAGTGGATTTGCACCGGCCACATGGACAAACAAAACGTAGTCGATTTGATTTTGGTATTCGAAGAGGAAACTCCACAATGACCATTCGAAATTTTGAAAAAGTCAACTTCAGTACCCTGTATAATACAAACTATTGAATTTAGAGCGTTGATAATTGGGACATCTTATCAGCATCACGAGTTCTACGATATATCCAAAATTCGAGAAAATTCACCGAAAGCCAATTTCCCCCCTATTGCGGTGCGGGGTCCTTTGGTACATGAATTGAACTCAAAAGCTTCAACAAGAAACTTTCTGAACGAAATCAATATCAGGACCGGAATATAATTTCTTCCTACGTTGAGTTATTGCAAGAATAACTCACCCTGCATAATAATTATGGAAAATCTGAGGTCATATTATGATTCACTGTGAAAAATACTATAGGAAGTTTCTGGAACAATTTCTATCATCCCGTAATAAAATATTATTTACATTTTTTTCATTATTAGTCGGCTGAAATATCATCAGAAATGGAAATATGACGAAAAAAACTGAAGAATGCATTCATTTCAGGACCGGAATTACTCCTTTTCATGTTCTTCTTAGTACAGGGTGTAACTTGCAAACTTTTCTCTAGTTTGGCTATTTTTAAAAGCGTGTTTTTTCAAATTACTATTTATTTTTTGAGCCTCAAGTCCGATATTTCAGCTTGTTTCAGGAACGTAGCCCTAAAAGTGCTGAAATATTGTTGATCAGTGCTTATGTGAAAACGACACATTACCTGGTTGTCGTTTCAGCTGTCAAACTCCCGATACAGATTCCTCCAGCAACAGGATTTTTCCAACTATTCTCATCTTCGTACCTGACGTGAATATTTGTGATGTTCAATTGCAAAAAGTTCAATATATTCGAGACCAGGTGTTCCGTGAACGATGAAGGCCCCCCCAAAATTTCACTATTCACATCCAGGTCTGCCAGTATTTTCCTTTTGGATGCTCGGAGTAGTCTTTTATTCTTTTCGGGATCGAAAGGCTCATCGGTCACTATCGGACCTGCGATGATGTGAATGTCTTCGATGTTGACAATGATTGGCTGACTCCAAAGTGATGTCCATGGTATTTGGAACCAAATTTTGCCTATTGTTCCTGCTTTTACTTCTATTGGCAATTTCAGCTCGTACTAAAAACGATTGAATTTTCATATATAATACCACAAGTAATAATATTTTGCCGGAAATATTCGGTGATTGTTAGGACAGCTTGTTGCCTAGTAATTTCGTGAATGACATTGTTATCAAAACTACGAGCCGTAGGTGAGTAGTTTCGGATCAATGTCATGAGCGAAATTAGAGCAGCAAGCGGGCAGCAATCGACGAATATTTCCAGGAAAAATAGTATCACGAGTTGTATTCGTATGACTATTTCATGATTGAATGAGACAATATATATAAGAAATATAGGAAACATAATTTAAGATATTCCAACTCGAACTGCGAAGAAAAACATAATGATAGTAATGAAATACAGAATTTACTGTTTCAGAAATTAACTACCTACTTTTAGTTATTCACAAAGTGGAATGTACAATGTTGATAAACAGTATTTTTTTTCATTATCTTGGAGATGGTTGCTCTCAAAAGAGTGTATACAATTGCTATCCAATCCAAACAAAATAAATTGAATTAATGTGACATGGAATAATTAAAAAAAAAAAGATATCGTCGCCGAGGGCTCGAACCATCGACCTTCATATCCTCGCGCAACAACCCTATCAGTTGCGCTTCATCAGCTGGTAATTATATCAGTCAGTCACAATAACTTGAGTGATTGAAGAAGATTACTTCAAAAAGGAATTTGAATTCTAGTATTGTTGTGTCAGACCGTCAACAAATATGCAAACTTTTTAAACTACAAAAATCAATCAAAAACCTCTTCTTACTTGAAAGGGTGAAAAAACACAAAATTGTCTTCACAACGTTTGATAATCGGAAGATTATTTAGGGGAACATATTTCCGGCAGTCATGTGTCCATCATCAGCCTTTATCCTTTTGATTTTTCAACTAATTGATTCTCGTTTCAAAGTTATTTTCTCATCATATTCCATCTGATAAATCTTAGATTAATACATTAGATTTTCAATGTACAAAACCTTAAAATGCCTGGTACCTTCGATATCTTACATATTTTACCTAAACAATTTTTGGCCAACAACTTATTTTGGCGAGATTTATACAGCTGTTGTATAAAAAAACCTCACTTTCAGATTCACCCTGTATATCCGGGAAAAATGTACTCACTTTTTTCCCGTGAGAAAAAGTAATTAATGAAAAGTGACAATCTATAACCTGTCAACAGCGATGAAATGTCGAACTTTTCTCCCGTCACAGAAAAAAAAATGTTTTAGACCTGTCTTGAGAAAAAGTGACACTCAGGCACAAACAGTAACATTTCGTCTGTTTTGTTCCCTTCAAAAATGCCTGATTCGGGTTATCTTGTAGGTAAGTATTTACTGGAGAGTGGGATTCAAAGAACTTGAATGTTCCACAATACTAACTATGATCGAATAATCCTTACAAACATTATCTGGTACTTACTAGAGCTTCAGGTTTTAGTTTTAAATCGGTCAGTTGTACCTGACCAGAAAATATTCCAACATTCAAGTTTTCCGTATCGAGATCCACAACATATTTTCCCAAAAATTGGTTCAACAGTCTAGCCACTGCTCCCTCTAACATCTAAAAAAAAATGGTTTCTAATATCTAATCATCAATGTTCTTCTAATTTTTTGAAAATTTCACTTTATAGGGATTCTTACGCAGAATGAAAGTTAATTGAAAGGGGAATAAGAAAAACAGTAATGTTCTGAATACATGGAAATATGGAAGAGTTGCACTGTATTTCGAGGAAAACTCAAAAAAAAACAATAATATAAAGGAATATTTCATTTTCCTATTCATTATGAGCTTCATCTACTACTTTGATGCAAAATGAAAATCGATCTGTCTAAGGATTTTTTAAAATTTGATTCGTTTATGCAGATAACGGTTTTCACTCCATCATAAGTTTCCACACTGTACAATAATATATGGAACATATTAGGGTGATCCATTCAATTGTGAAGGAATATTAGTATATGTTTCTCAGAAAATTCAATAATTTTGCTCACTTATGCATAACAATTTTTTCTCGATTGCTTCAAGTCCTTAGTTCAAATGTATTATTTTTTTCATGACATTATATGACTGAAATTGAAAATAACCACACAATGTATACCACAGAACAGATGACCATATGGATATAGATATGTATTTTCTATATACACCATTTTAGGTAGGTATATATCTTTTATTTTAATAAATTACATACAACGAACAAAGTTTCATTGATTATTTCTATATATACTTCAGTAAAACTATATGCCTGCTATATAAAACTATAAAACAACGATAAGATAAACGCATGTGTTGCATTCCATTTTTGGTGCTATTATATTATGAATTTCAACATCAAATTGTCACAAGTTTTTCACTTACATCGAATTGTTCGTATCCTTGACCGCATCAACCAAAAACTAAGTAAATCGTAATAGTTTTATCTTCTTGTCACCGCTGGAAAAAATGGCCCTTCTATCGATTGCCATGAATGTGTGGCGAACACGAAAAGGTTGGCAGTTCTAGAACGTCTGTACGGCGACGCCGTTTTGACGCCCGCGTCGAATATCAGAGCCTAGCCATAGCACCACTATACGGGAAATATTGCCACGGCGGCTAGTGAAGAGCGTATAAAAATGTTTTTTCTGTAACTGGAAAAAAGTTTGAAATTTAATTTCTGTTCACAGTTTATGAAATGTCACTTTTCATAAATGACTTTTTTCCCACGGGAAAAAAGTGAGTACTTTTTTCCCGGATATACAGGGTGCCCGTTTTTCGAGGTCCACCATGGGGATCTCAGTTATTATAAGAGAGAAAATTCATCTGCAAGAAAATTCGATGTGTCAAAACGAAAATTTGTAATTTTCGTTTTCATTTTTTCAAGTGAAAACCAAAAGACCGAGCCGTTTCTGACTAGGACACTCTCGAGGCACTTTTTTACAAATAATCTGTATCTGACATCGTATTTTCCATGACGTTCTTGATGCCAAAGTTACAACTATCAACTTTCTTTTTTCTCATGGGCGCCATATTGGATTTTTGCATGAGAAACAATATCTTCCTCTGCTTTTCCCAAAATGTGGGTGGAAATTCTGAAAATTCTAGTTGTATGTTCAGATTAGACTTTGAAAACAATATGAAAGAATAATTCCTATTGTAATTATGTGATCACTAAATGTTATAACACAAATGTTTTCATCGGGCTAAGTACGCTGAGGACTATGTTTTGATCAAGAAGAAGAGTTCAAAATCAAAAGAAGGTGGTGCATAAAGGTATCATAATTCTTGAATAAAAATAAACTCAATGGCAGTTAATGAAAGCAACAGATTAGTGAAAATGCGGTGAGCATAAATCCACCTTAAAAAGAGTGAATTTAGGACCATGTTCATATGAACTTTTTTTCATATTATGTTGAAAGGAATCTCCCCTAGGCTTTTGTCACCACAACTCTGAAACACCCTGTAAAGGGTTTGCATCGTGATTTTTGTACGCTCCTGGTTCAGTCAATACTAAACTACTCAACACTAATTTCGTCGCACACCAAAATGTCGCCCCTGTTATAATGTGAATAACTTTTTTCAGTTCAGAACAATTTGAATTTGGTTTACACCGTTTGATAGCCCAGTCCTTCAGCTATAATCCCGTATTCCATTGAAACATAAGGGTATTCACATAAAATCTCTACATGGTGTTTTCCGACACTGTGCAAAATTTCGGAATATTCAAAAGGCTCTCAAATGGTGAAAAAAATGTTTTCTCAACTTCGACAACAGAGGCATGAAGATGATCTCATTACCTCGAGATGTTTCGCGAATCAACTTCCTATCTCTCTTATTTACAGAGTGATCTCGAAAAATAAACTTTTTGGTTTTGCAGCCATAACTTTTTTCTACGTCAACCGATTTTAGAAATCTTAGGCTCATTTTGAAGATAAAACATCAGATGAGGAGATCTGAATATCAGAATTGACTCAAGATGGCTATCAGAGATCTAGAGTTTTCTTGAAAGTGACCCAAATCTGGAACGCCCTCCGAATCTCAGTTGGGAGGAGAATTGAATGAAAATCAACTTGTTCTCGGAAAAACAATTCATTCTGGATGCGTCCATATTTTCCTCGCTCTCAGTAGTCAAGAAAGTGCGTGAGAAAACACAATTGAAGCATGTTCTTGCAGAAACATCAGATAATTTCTCCTCTGTAATGCATGGCCCGTAAACAACGTTACAAGAATCATAGTAGTGACTGACAAGTCAGGTTAGACGTCGTTTTCGAATCATAAACAGATTTCGATAGTTTCGATGCCGCATCTAACACGAATGTGGGTGACAACTTTGTTCTCGTTGATGACAATGCGAGACCGCATAGGGTTGTTGGTACATCATTTATGATGAGCCTTGGCTGGTCGGGTTTGTCAGTCCATGCATTACAGATGAGAAATGGTATGCTGTTTTTGCAAGAACATGTTTCAATTGTGTTTTCTCACGCACGCTAGGTCACCACAACTCTGAAACACCCTCTGTATTATGCATGTTTGAGTAGAGTTCCCTTCCCGCCTGCCAGATATTCTGTGCCTCCACCCGTTCTCGGGGTGAGTAGTGATTCCGGGGGCAGAGACCAGAGACCACCATTTCACCGTCCAGAGAGCGCCATTTCAAGGTGAACCCCTTCCCGCTCGTGGCCGGTTCGAAAATTCGAATTTCGAATACGCATCTCAAATTACCTGATTATATGGAAACATTCGCGAAGTGCGCGCCAGGTGAAGCGATTGTTTTGGTTTCGTGCGAAGAACGGTGGAGATCTACAGTGACCAGTGTCCACAAGTGATTCACCGAGTGGCAACAAAGAGATATATATTATTTTTTCATACTTGGGGTCACACGTTCCCATACCGTAAGTTATTAACTATTTTTCCAAATTGCGAAAATTTGATATTTTTGAAAGCGGCAGCTATAGCGACAAGAAAAGTGAAATACAGGCTATCCCAGGTTATCGTATACCTACAGGCATTATCTCGCTTATTTGACAAGATGAAGACATCCATTTCGATGCTTGGTATTACTATCAGCAATAACCTTTCTTGGGAAAATCACGTGAGATCAATTGCTAAAAGTGCATCCCAAAAACTTGCTTTTCTGTTTCGGGCCAGGAGCTATTTCACTTCCAGTCAGCTGCTCATGATCTATAAGGCACAGATCCGACCTGTCCTAGAATACTTTTCCCATATTTGGAGTGCAGCACCCAAACATACCCTGAAACTGTTGGAGTCTGTCCAATAAAGGGCAATTCGTCTCGTGGGTGATGCCTCGCTCACAAACTCACTCACTTCTCTGGAACATCATAGAGAAGATGGCGATCTGGCTCTATTTCAAAGATATTTTCATGGACGATGCTCTTTTGAAATATCAACAATTGTTCATTCCTTGGCAGTCCCCGCGAGACTAATCCGTCGAATTGAGGCTTCGCACCCCTTCGTGGTCACTTTGGAGACCTGCAGAACATCTCTTTCCAAAGACTCGTTCATTCGAGTTCATCCAACGAACAGCGAGGCTCTGGAACATATTGCCAAGGGAGGTGTTCCCCGAGATATATAACCTCCAGAAATTTAAGAAGAACACCAATTCCTACCTTATTTCCTTTGGTTTTCACGATGTTCTCTGAACATTACAGGATATCCCTTTTCGTGGGAACCAGAACATAAAAAAAAGGTAATTCAAAAATTCAAAAACTGCATTGAATAGCATTGAAGTTCCTTCCTAATGACAAATAAAAAATCGATTACATTTGACAGTTCTCTGGCAGCTATCCTTCACTTTTATTTTCAAAAATGGCACTCCCTGTATATTGTCATTGAGAATCATGTGTCATCCTATAAGGAATACAAGGATAGCATATACTTGGTATTTTTTTAATATTATAAAATATCAACATTTATGTATGAATTTCAGGTAAAATATCTTTTATGCAAATCAAAAAATGAACTTAAAATCACAGCAAGTTTCAAAATTATTTTGACATGAGGAGCATCGGCTTTTTGAAACAAAAAACATAAGCGGAGGCAGTTTTTCATTTTCATAAGGATAATTAAGTAACGTGGCGCAAGTCAGAAAATGGTGATATTTTTGTTGTTATCAAAAAAAAATACCAAGTATTATGCTATCCTTGTATTCCAAATTGAATGAGAAGTAATTTCCAATGACAATACACAGGGGGTGCCATTTGAAAATGGAAAGTGAGGGGGAGCTGCTAGAGAACTGTCAAATGTAATAGACTTTTTCATCTTTAGGAAGGTACTTCAATGCCATTCAATGCAGTTTTTGAATTTTTCAATTATCTTGTCAAATAAGCGAGATATTGCCTGTATACGATAACTTGGGACACCCGGTATTCATTATACAGGGTGTTTCATAATATATGCACAGGACTTCAGGATGTGATAGCTCGTCCAAAAATATGAAAACAATATTCGATTACCCTCTGAAATGCTCCATTTTCGAGATACAGAATGTTGAAATTCAAAAATGGTATGACCATTTTTTGAAATGGAAAGATGAAAACATAGTGAATACCGTAAATGAAACTGTCTTAATGTCATACTTCCAGGAACTAGTCAGTTTATCTCATGAAAAATATTAATATTTTTTATTCATTTTACATTATTTCAGTCTGAAAAATATATATAATAATTCGATTCGTGATTGAACTTTTTCTGATGATTAACGAACAAAATTGATAAAAGGTTCAATGGAGAGCCTTAAATTAGCCTTAAATTTTGGTGTACTCACTATTCTTCCTTTTATTTGAAATTTGATTCTGTTAGCTTAACGGTTATAAGCTAGCGAAACTCATGAATTTTTAAAGAAAACAATCTGCGAAAAAATCGGAAATATAGGATATATAGGATTAGGAAATTATGGTGTGATCAGCTTTGTGATTGAGCTTTTATTTAAGAAGTGGTTCTGCTAGCTTAACGTTAAGCTAGCAGAACCCACGTTTTTTGCACGAGAAGCAATAAATTTGGCAATAGGGTAATGAATTAGCCTTAAATTAGCCTGAAATCATAACCAAAGAAAAAATGAAAGAATCCAAAGTGGTTCTGCTAGCTTAATGGAGGTTAATAAACCGGAATTAAATAATTCCGAAATAGGCACTTCAAAGGTAACAATTCACAAATTTTTAATCCAACTGCAATTTGGGAAGCTTCTAATATGTGTAGGTATCCTTGCGTTTTTTCAGCGTTTTTGATATTTCAAAATATCGTTGATTTCAATAATTACCTATTCAGAAACCACAGTTCTGAGAAAAAAAAACTGAATCATGCTCAATAGTTAATTGAATGGGTATCCATGATCAATGCTTCGTCGAAAGCTGATTGCTCAGATCTAATGTTTCCATGTTTCAACCCAATTTATTTTTCAAATACATTATAATGGTTTTACAACATTAGCAAATTTTTATTATAAACAATAATACAATGATAAGTAGGTAAAATAGACATGGCAGAATGC